TGGAGAATCAGACCGGGAAGAAGATCAAGAAGCTGCGAACGAACAATGGTCTAGAGTTCTGTAGTTCTGAGTTCAACGAATTCTGTAAGGATGAAGGGATTGCCCGTCATCGGACTGTGAGAGATACACCCCAGCAGAATGGCATTGCAGAAAGGATGAACCAGACGTTGTTGGAGAGAGCACGATGCATGCTCTCTAATGCTGGACTAGAGAGAAGATTCTGGGCAGAAGCAGTGAACATGGCGTGCTTCCTGATCAACCGTGGACCTCACACAGGTATTGAGTTGAAGACTCCTTATGAGGTGTGGTATGGTAAGCCTGCTGATTACTCTTCACTGAAAGTTTTTGGGTGTCCTGTTTATTATCATGTGGATGAGGGTAACTGAACCCAAGGGCAAAGAAGGGTGTATTTGTGGGTTACGGAGATGGAGTTAAGGGATTTCGAGTCTGGTCACCTTCTGAGCGTCGAGTTATACTCAGTAGAAATGTGATATTTGATGAGAAGTCTATGTTTAACCCCATGTTGAAGGTCACTGTTGTTGAAGGTAGCAGGAATGTTGATAAGCAGGTGGAGCTGCAAACTCTCAAAGAGAGTGAGTTTGAGCACCAAGGTGGAGAAGATCAACATGATGAGGATGTCTCTGCAGAGCCAGAAACTTCAGAGTCCAGTGCACGAGCTCAACAGTCTATTGCTTCCGGTAGACCGAAGAGAGCGACTGCAGGAGTACCTCCACAGAGGTATGGCTTCGAGGACATGGTGGCGTATTCATTTCAGGTTGCTGAAGAAGTGGATGCAGGAGAGCCACAATCCTACAGAGAAGCAGTTTCGGGCGGTGAAGCTGATCAGTGGCTTGCCGCAATGGGAGATGAGATGGAATCCCATGACAGGAATCAGACTTGGGAGCTAGTCAAACGACCACAGGGAAGGAAGATTGTTACAAACAAGTGGATCGACAAGAAGAAGGAAGGAATCACTTCTAAAGAGGGCATGAAATTTAAAGCTCGGGTGGTTGCACGAGGCTTCTCGCAGAGGGAAGGAGTTGACTACAATGAGATTTTCTCACCAGTGGTCAGACATACTTCGATCAGAGTGCTACTAGCAATAGTGGCACATTATGACTTGGAGCTCGAGCAGCTAGACGTGAAGACAGCTTTCCTACATGGAGAGTTGGAGGAAGAAATTTACATGACTCAGCCAGAAGGATTCGAGGTTCCGGGAAAAGAAGACTATGTTTGTAAGTTGAAGAAGTCCTTGTATGGACTTAAGCAGTCTCCGAGGCAGTGGTACAAGAGATTTGACAGTTACATGCTTGAGCTGGGCTACAGCAGAAGTCCATATGATTGTTGTGTGTATCACAACAAGGTGGAGGATGGTTCGATGATCTATCTTGTTCTGTATGTGGATGATATGCTCATAGCTGCGAGGTCGAAGTCTGATATCCAGAAGTTAAAGGGGCTTCTCAGTGCTGAGTTTGAGATGAAGGATTTGGGAGCTGCTCAGAAGATCTTGGGTATGGAGATTTATAGGGACAGGTCGAAGAAGAAGCTTTTCTTGTCACAGAAGAGCTACATCCAGAAGATACTGTCGAGGTTTGGCATGTCTTCAGCAAAGCCCTTAAATACTCCTAGTGCTTCAAATGTTCATCTATCCTCAGCTTATGCACCGCAGCCAGAGGCTGAGAAGGAGTACATGTCGAGAGTCCCATATGCTAGTGCAGTAGGTAGCTTGATGTACGCTATGGTATGCACTAGACCTGATCTTGCACATGCTGTTAGTGTTGTCAGCAGGTTTATGATACAACCTGGGAAGGAGCATTGGCAGGCTGTGAAGAGGATCTTTCGGTACCTTAAAGGTACACCTGATGTGGGAATTAGCTTCGGAAGTGATACAGAGTGCTTGGTGTCTGGGTATTCTGACTCGGACTATGCTGGAGATGTTGACACGAGGAGATCGATGACCGGTTATGTATTCACTCTTGGGAGTTCTGTAGTGAGCTGGAAGGCAACTTTGCAGTCGGCGGTGACTTTGTCTACCACTGAGGCAGAGTATATGGCGTTGACAGAAGCTGCTAAGGAGGGAATATGGTTGAAGGGACTGGTTGGTGATCTGGGTCTACATCATGATCAGGCAGTGGTGTATTGCGACAGTTTGAGTGCAATATGCTTGGCCAAGGATCAAGTCCACCATGAGAGGACTAAGCACATCGATGTGAGGTATCATTTCTTGAGGACAGAGAAGAGGATTAAGGTGAAGAAGGTTGGCACCGCGGATAATCCTGCTGATTTGTTCACGAAGCCGGTTCCACATGGCAAGTTCCAACACTGCTTGGACTTGCTGAATGTCTTGAGTGGGTGACTCCGCCCTGCGGGGCATTGATGGCGGGAGAGAGATAGAAGGAGCAGAGTACATCAGAGATTTCAGAGGAAGAGGATTCAAGTCAAGGTGGAGATTTGTTGATATGACTTGAATCGGATTATCAGCCGCTACGACTGGTAATCGGGGGTCTCAATGTTATTTGGGTTCGGGTTCTGGGCCTGGTCTGTAACCGTTTCCTTTGCCAGATTGGATTAGGTTTAGACCCACATGGAGAAGTACTATAAATACTTCTCATACTCCTCTGTAATCTGTAATCTCCTCAATATAGTGAAACTGGCTCTCTCTCGCCCGTGGACGTAGCTAACACACATCGTGTTAGTGAACCACGTAAATCGTGTGTCGTGTTTTCGATTCTCGCTTTCGTATTCTTGCTTTGTCGATTCCTGCGATTTCCCGATCCGTAGCAGCGCGTTTATAACAGATCCAAGCCAAATCCTTGCCCATTTTCCTTTCTTTTCTTTGTCTCCATGAGATTTTGCCGTTTTGCAACTTGTGATGATGAGGTGGATACCATTGATACCACTAGCTACCTACTTGTACTGTGCTAAAAAAAAATGCTTTATAATAAGTTAGAACAAATATCCCAATAACGAACCCCACCAAAACTTTATAAATTAGGTCAAAGTAGAGAAAAGGGAACATAGAAGCTGGCAAACAACAATTGTCCAAGAAAACTGTACAATATAATAACAATCATGGAGACGGCTGATCTTGTTTTCAAAGGAAACGGCGAAAGTAACACGACCTATATGTTCTTTATCAAAGCAAATATTTGGATCCTCCGTAGTGTGGCAGCTGGTTCTGATGCATATGATAAAGAGTTTTTTTCACGGGACGCGAAAAAGAGTACGCGACGAATAGTTGTATATTGTGGATGCAGACTGAATGTATATGTTGAAACTACTTATATAATAAGCTGGAACATATGCATATGCATCATAGTTGAATTTGTCTATAGAATATGAAATCCACTTTTCGTGACTAGTTCGAAGTCGGTTATATAAGACTCTCTCAATCAGTTCAATGATATTGATCATCGTTTCATATTCGAGAAAATTTTGGAATTTCTCACATTAAACAGGTAAGTTTTGGTACAAATATAATAAATTCCCGTATTGATTTATGTTAGGGATCAAACTCACCGTTCTCAAGGTGACATAAATGTATTTTGTAATGAGTTAAATCTCACTTCTTGGTTATCATAATATTAGTTTATTTTACTAAAAATGAGTTCACTATTAAGCTAATTTATATTTTAAAAATAGGACACAACTAATAACTTTTGACTTCATCACTGGTGTGGCAGCTGCCAATGCCTTAATCATCACTTCCATATTTTTTTTAAGTACTTAATATATAAAATCCTTTGTATAGCTATAACGCATTTTGGAACCACAATAACAGGCATAAAGATAGATTTAGTTATCTATTAATCTGCATGAAAATGACACTAATCAACCTAAAAAAAAAGTTAGACATAAAGCACATATAGCTGCCATCTTCTTGTTGGCTTCTAGTTAAGAAAGAATAAATAAGATTAAATAATCTAGCATGGGTTTATAGACTAATTGTTAATTAATTAGTCAGTTAAGTATGGTTATATATGGACAATTCACAATTGCTAGCTGTTTGCCTCCTTTCCGCAAAGTGTTCCACTTCACACTGACTCAGGCCTGACCACTCTCATCATCTCATTGCTATTCAGGATCCTAATAATATGATAACCACAAAAATTAATGATAGCACATAGCAATTAACTAACCTAAGCAACTTTTTTTTTTTTTAAATAAACCGATATATATATATATATATATATAATACTAATTAAGTTGCCAATCTGTCATCTTTGTCCTGTCTCGGAGATTTCCTTTAATAAACTGTTTAGTGCTTAATCAGGTACGTGGCGTGGTCTAATGGATAGCGAACTGACACATGCGCAGAGTACTTAATAACAAAATACAAGAATACTGGTTTTTATATTATTTTTTTTAAAAAAAAGGGAATAAAGCAACGTGTATGAACATGATTTGAGGTACGCGTATGTGTACGTACATAATGTACTCATATATATTCTCCCCAATTTTTCTCTTTTTTGCCGGCCTTCGATTTATAAATAAAAAAAAAATCAAGTCGTAATTAACTCTCTGGTAAGGTTGTTTTGAGGTACATTTTTTACTTATTAAATCAGGAATTTTCCTAGGGGTCGTTTGGATTGAGAAATGCATAAACGAGATATTTGGATCCAATTTCCTGATTTAAAATTCTAGAGATTTCTAATCAGGTTTTTGTTTAATTATTCCGTTTGTTTGTTGATCAACATTTCATTTGTCAGCATTTTAATTTTTAATGATAGATAGGAAAGTACAATATTGCCCTTCCTCATCCTCTCCTCTCCTCCTCCCCCAACGACCAAAGTCCATCGTCGACGTTGGTGAAGAAATCAAACTCAATAATAGACCCAATCTCTCGTCGTCGGTTGCCTTCCTCCCGCTGCCGGAGACTAGCATCAGAACGCACATCATGCATCAAGCCTGGCGCCACCCAGCTTCCGTCCACACATACCTAATTTTCTTCATACTCTGTTCCCCATCCCCAATCCATTCGCGGCCGTCGCCGGTGACCAATGAAAGCCGGTGGGAAATCAGCCACGCCAGACAACAAAGGGACTCAAACCCATGTCGAGCTGATGACGGCGAAGCCGGAGACTCCCACTCCCAAATTCAGAGTTCCCTATGCCTCCACTTTTCCCGATTCTCTAGGGACGTCGAGGTCTGCGATTCCCTCCCCTGTTTCGATCCATTTATATGCTGTTAATTTGATCTCTGCCCTGTATTCACAGAGCTATAAAATCTCTGTAATTAGAAACCAAATACGCAATATGCAAGCTGAATCTTGAATGGAAGTGGCAGGGGATGCGATTGGTGAAGGAAGGCAAAGCTTTGTTCGAGGCAAACTATGGGCGGTCGTAGATCTAAATTCGGGTTGCAGATCTGAATTCTTCGTTGACCGGCGTAGGGAAGAGGAGAAAGGAGATGAGTCAGGAGCGGCGGTGGAGGAGGATGTGGTGGTGGTCGTCTCTCTCGCGTCGTCGATCTCTCTCGCATCTAACTCCGGCGAGATTGGCTCTGAACACGCTGGGAATCAGCAACGCAAGTACAAATCGTCGTCGTTCGTCTCTCTCGTAGCCACGCAAGGACAAGTTGGGAAGAAACCAAAAAATTGGGGCCGAATTTTAAAATACCTGGGTGCTGGCAGCTATTTCTAATTCCGGGCTAGGCCAAAATTTCAAAAACCCGAAGGCCCAAATCACGCCATTTATTTTGGCTATCCAAACAAGAGAATGGGTTAAATTCCTGGACGGGCCAGGATTTGGGCCGAATCCCTGCCCACAATTCTGAATCCAAACGACCCCTATGGTTATTCGTTTAGGTAATGGTTCGGTGGTTGATCGAAATGTGTGGTTTGTTATTTGCTATTTGCATTGCGTGAAAGAGTTGGTTAAAAGTAGATGAGATTGTAATGAAAGCATGAAGAGGAAAGTTATGAAATTAGAGTGGGTTATGATACATAATCCTGATATGTATAAGTCTACAGATATATATAATTTCGTGTATTTAATTTGTCACACTGATATGAAATATTTAGGGATGGCAATGGGTCGGGTCGGGTGCGGATAGTGCATATCTGTTACCCTACCCATAGTACGTAGTTCGGATTTTATCCATACCCACATGTGAAACGGGTAGAAAATCAAAATCATGCCCATACTCGTTCGGGTTTCGGGTATCCACGGTTATCCATGGGTAATAATTTCTCTTCATAACTCCAACCAATATGTTAACATTCACACGTATTCTCACATTACGTAAGAGAAAAAGTACGACAATAATTCACTGGAATGAAGAAAATTAATTAAAAATACCAAATTTCATGAAAATATTATATTTATACGCTAAATATAAAATATGCTAGACAAAAATAATGATTATTTCTAAAATACATATGCATGTGTATAATCGGGCGGGTTCGGGTTGGATAATGAGAAACACATGCCCACTCATTACCCACAATATTCGGGTTCAGATTTTACCTGTACCCATTAAAATGTCCTTCGGGTTCGGGTTTAACCGAGTTATATGAAGAAAAAAAAAAAGAAACAAATACACATTTATAAATTACAAGTAGGCCGCTAAGCATTGAAGGCAGGGAGCCGCATCCTTCCAGTGTCACGTCGGGAATGCTAATGAGCATGAGCTACATCATGACATGCATGGGATGGATAATTTTTTGGATTATAAAACAAGAGGGGATAAGTCAAACGGCAGACAAAGCCAGTTGGATTTTGGGCCTTGATCGTTTCTACCAAAAAAACAATAATGGCTCATTTTCATTCAAAAAAAATAATGGACTTTTTTATTCAAAAAAATTAATGATTATGGACTATTCTATTCACAAATCGACATGATGATGAAGTCAATCAATTCTTCCAAAAGGAAAACTTTGATAATGAAAAATAATTAATGCAGATACTCTTAAGAAGAGTTCATTAACATGGTATTAATGACATACTGCTGGGAGAAGCCCAACTCGGATGAGGCCCACACTTTTGTTCTTTACTTTTCAAACAAACGCAAAGGATCCGGCCCATTCAAGGCCGCATACAATACGGGAGGAGTGAACATCACAGGACAGCAATTCACACAAAATGGTAGGCAACGACTACCCTCCCTTTTTCTATGCTCACACCAACTCGACCTAGTGAACTTCTACGTTATATTTGAGCTTTTTCTTGAGATATAGTGAGCTTAAGTAAGTTATTTCAAGTGTCACACCAACAAAAAGAGCTTTTTTATCATGTCAAATGGAATTTATAAACCTTATCCAGGCCTAGATACAATGAACGTATGAAGTCACGGACGAAAATAGGCTAATACACAAAAACAATCGACTAACAACAATAATAATGAAGCAAGAGATGTCATGAAAGCGGCCTCCTTCAAATTAGGTTACCCATAACATAGCACGACTCACAACTCCCTCCACATGGGTATAAGTTGCGCCGTTAGGGGTGGCCTCATCATCGATCACGCAGTATGCCATTTATCAACATTCACATGTGACCTAAACATACCCTTCAGTCACCCGGGCAGAAACCAAGGACGCCTTCCATTGGCAGGGCACCAGAAAGTTCATTTGCATCTAAACTCGTGGTGTGTGGTTCCGGTTGATTCAGAGCACATACAAAAAACGAAAGAACACCAACATGCATGCTTCAACCATACTGATTTTTTCATCAACTTATTACATGAAGAGACTGGCGAGTCATTGCCGCTCACAAGTCACAGCTACAAAGAGGACAACAAAGTGCACAAACCATATACTATTGCATAAAGAAGTGGTCACCATATAGCTAGAATTATATTCCTCCTAATTATAGTAATAGCATGATATAGAATCAATGATATACACGCACATACAGGTTAGTTATGTGGAGAAAAATATACACCCACAACTAGCAAGATGTTAAAAATCAGGATTAACATATATCACCCCACCAAAACCTAGAATAATTAACTACGTACATACTCTACCTGTACAACATACCGGCCGGAGACTACTCATTGAATCCGCCGGCCGGCCGGCCGTACAGATGAAATCAAATCATAGTTACAGATCGAGAAACGGATCATATATATATACACGCAGTTAGTTAATTAGTTAATTAAAGCTAGTCAGACATGCTTATAAGGCTGCGGCATGGATTCATCATGTTCAAAAACGCTAACTATCATGTCGACCACGTGGCACATCTCGGGCCTGGCCTCGTAATTCTCCAGCAGTGCAAGGTTCGCCACGTGGACCATCGCCCGAACCTGCTCCCAGTCCGCGCTCCCTTTCAGGCTCGGGTCCAGCAGCTTCCGGAGCGCCTCCCCGCCGTCGTCCGCGTTGAGGGCGCCGCGGGCGTCGGCGGTCCACTCGGGGAGCGTGAAGGAGCCCTGGACGGCCTTGAGGCCGGTGATGAGCTCGAGGAGGAGGACGCCGAAGCTGTAGACGTCGCTCTTGGGGGAGACGAGGCCCGTGTTCAGGTAGTTGGCGTCCACGTAGCCGACGGAGCCCTTGATCGGGGTGCTGGGGCGGCGCCGGTGGTCGGCCGCCTGCATGTCGCACCCGAGCTTGCAGAGGCCGAAGTCGGCGAGCTTGGCGTGGTCGTTGTCGATGAGGAGGACGTTGGAGGACTTGACGTCGCGGTGGATGATGGCCGGGTCGGCTTGGGAGTGGAGGTAGTCGAGGGCCCGGGCGATGTCGAGCGCGATGTTGACCCGGTTCGACCAGCTCAGGATCCCGCCGCCGGATTGGCCGGCGGCGGTGTGCATCCGGTCGAACAGGCTCTTGTTCACGTACTCCAGGAGGAGAAGTTGTTCCCCTATGTATATGTGTTAGACGACATAGTCAAAAATCAAAAGAGACACTATTTAACTCAAAATACAATCATCATGATTGAAATTATATATCAAATTTCTTATAAAGATCAATCATATATCAAATTTCTTATAAAGCAATTAATCTCAATAGTTCGGATTGTTGGAAAAAATATATATATATAAATTTTAACTATTTATATGTGCCTTTCAAACAAAAACCAACTTGCAGATTTAAAGTTTGCATAGATCTACTATATCATGTATTTTGTGATAACAATTAATATTGGAGCATGGGGATAGTGATGGCAAAAATAAATATTTTTCACACCTAACTTATTATAGGTCAAATCATATTTTTGTAATTATCTTTTGGGGAATACTAATACCCAACCTTTTATTTTGAGTATAAATTAGGTCCATAACATTGGATAATCAAAATAAAATGAATGCCTCATTCTAATACAATTTTTACATTATTTTTTTGTAATGAAACAAACACAAAGGTTGAAAGATCAACATTATTGGTGCAATTGAGTTGAAGGTAGTTAATGAAATTATCGATATCAATTTTTGTCGTGTATAATCATATGAACTTAATAAGCTTGTTTTAGATTGGACCCAAATAAGTTGATCTAAATTGAACCAAATTCAAATCCAACTCAAATTTCAAATCAATAAAAACGAATTGATTATATGATCATATTCTCATATTAGTCATGACAATTGAGTCATCAAGTGAACTCAATAACAAAACAATCCTAATACCTTTTTCAAAGCAGAAGCCCAATAAAGCGACCAAGTTCGGGTGGGAGATGCGGAGGAGGACGGAGACCTCGTCGAGGAAGATCTTCCGGCTGCCGCCCCGGTCATCCATTACCCGCTTCACCGCCCCGAACTTCCCATCCCCGAGCTCCGCCAAGTAGACGTACGACGTCGCCCCGACCCCGATCCGGATCCGGAAATCCCTCGTCGCCAGCTTCAGCTCGTCCAACGAATAGGTCCGTACGCCGCCGCCGGAGCTCCACATCCGCATCATCGCCTTCTTCTTGTGGTAGCGGTGCTGCCGCTCCATCTCCGCCAGGTGCTCCCGCCGCACCGCCTGCTTCTCCATGTACTCCCCGACCCACCGCAGCACCATCGTCACCGCCACCACCATCACGATCGCCCCCAGCATCCACAGGCCTCGCGGGTTCGTTGTCGAGAACCCAAATAGCCACATCCAATGTTTCTCTTCTCTTTAACCCAAAAACAGAGCTGTTCTGTACGTGTTGTTGATTGATGGTCGAGGTGGAGATGGGGGAAAATTGGGAATTGAGGGGGGTTTTCGAGATCTTTTGTTGTTTTGTTCCTTTAGTAGTAGTAGCAGTAGTGATTAAAATGATGAAATGGAAAATAATTTTTTTGAGTATTTTGTGTATGCAGCTGCGATCGGGCATAGCTCTGGAGATTCTTTGCTCTGGAAATTTTGTTGTGTGTGTTTATTATGTATTCCGATTGTGGTATATGATTCATATATGCCCAATTCTGTGCGTATATGCGTACGCCTGTGAGCATATGGATACTTTTTTCCAAAGATATCATATATTGATCGAAAAATAGATAGTTACATCCTGGAAGCTAGCCAGGTCTGGAAATCAAAGAAGCAATTCATAGTCGGATATAAAGAGAGGGTTTTTCTAGCTATCAAATGAGCTACCCTATTGTTCTCACGACCTACAAAATGCACACTAAAGCCAGGTTGAGTACAAAAATAATGACCAAAAGCATATGGATATAGGCGCGACTAAGCATTGTATCATTGGTGTGATATAGAAATAATTGCTTGAATTGTATTGAGGATTGTTGTGCTGTATACTAATACAGAAAGGTAGGAAGACAAAACATCGATAAATTACACTGAAAACCACGGCCATAATTCTAGGATTATGCGGTAAAGTTCTCACAATTCTTCTTATCATAAGACATGTCCATATTGTACTGTTCATTAGTGTCCCATCAATGGGTGGCACTACCGTAATTTTTTCTTGCCGTTACTTTCGGCGCTGCTGTAATTAGTTCTTTTTCTGCCGTTAGGTCCATCATTGTTCTGTGGAGGAGAAACGTCAGCCCTGCAAATCCTATCTACCCTGTAATTCATTCTTTATTATTCTTCTTGTGCCTGGAGAAAGAAACGCCGGGCTAGAGAACCTAGAGCCAGGGGAGGTTTTGCCGTGAAAGATTGCTTCTTTTGTATTCCCAATCCATTTCTATTCCCAATCCAGTGCATGCCCAAATGATTTTTTTTGCTTTTCCCTCCATCTCTCTTCCCAGTCACACAACTTTTCTTCTCTCTTTCTCTTGCTTCTACAGAAACCAACAACCCACTTATTTCTTTCTCCCTCTCTCTGTACAAGAACAAAAAAAATAAAAGGAAGAATAGGAAGAAGAAGACGCAGGAAGAAGAAGATCCAGGAGAAGAAGAGGAAGAAGGAACCCCCCACCCCACCTCACTTGTGCTCTCCTTCTCTCTGTGGTTTATCTCTCCGATGTTGTCTCTTTCTCGCTCTGCAATCTCAAATCTCCGAAATCGGCCATGAACCGACAAACTTGCCAAGGAAGGAGAGTCATTCGACGCCTGGTCGGCTTTATCGTGAGTTTTCCTATGTTTTTTGTGTTCTTAACGCCGCCGATCTTATTTCTCCGAATTTGTTCGCTTATTTTCTGTTTTTCTTTGTTCTCTTCCTTGGTTAGAACGTCCTTCTGGATTGATGAAGAGAAGGGAAGGCGTGAACGACGATGAAGGTTGGCAGCAACGAGTGACAACCATTTTTTTTATGCATATTGTCCTTTTTGGGATTTTTTGTTTGGTTTGAATTCTTACTTCTTGTCATCTTTTATTCCTGGGTTTTCAATCAGGAAGAAGGAAGTGATTCGTCTACACTCATGCCAGAGGAAACATGCCATCTCGCCGGCGGTGAGACTGCTGTCAACCGCGACCAAGGTGGTAAGTTGTTTTTGTTGATTTATTTTCTTTTCGGTTTTGACATGTTTGGATTTTTAAGGAGTGCTTTCTTGCTAATCTAATTGGACTTATTCTTTTTGGCTTTTCGAGTTCGGATACTAGCCAGGATAATGGAGGAGCTGCTGGCAATGTAGATTTCCAAAGGCAGCAGAGCCAACGAGGGCTACCCACTACTCTTTGGGTAAGGTTCTTCTTTTTGGGTTTTGGTTCTGTTTTTGGGTTTTCGTTTTCCCGAAATTAGCTTCCAGTGATTGTCTTTCTCTCCTCACAAACTCTCACTGCTTTTCTCGGTTGATTCATCGGCCGCAAAAACATGCTAACGCCGAACTTGCCTGGGGAGAAGGATTGTCAGCCGGCGGATTGCTTAGCTTGTGAGTTTCTGCCTTTCATTCTGTTCATTCTTTTGTTACTTTTAGGGTTTTGATCATTGCTTAGACGCTGATTTTCTTAGATGGATTCATAGATTGCAATAACAAGTCAATGATGAACATTCCTCAGGGAGGAGGAGGTAGCAAATGCAGAAGTCCAATGACCAATAATGATTATATCTATAATCGTTGGGAAGGAGGAAGCAGCTGCAGAAGTCTACCATTAAAGCTTCGGTGTTGGTGATCTCCTCTCTCTATTTCTTCTGTTTTTAGTTTAGGTTTCTTCTCTTTGCGTAGATGGTTTAGAGGTCTTGAATAATTTGTTTATGATTGGTCATTAGTTCCAACTATCGCGCTCAACATTATACTTTTTACTCTATTGGTTTTAGCACGGACTAGCCTCGACTCCAAATCCTTTTATGCTAAGATTCCTATGTTTTGTTTCCCTTACAGATCAAGTCGAGTTGGTTCTCTTGCTCGGTTGGACCTTCAGGTGAGCCTCAATTAACATGCTGTGGGGCGTGGTGAGAATGGGGATTTTCTTTCATTTTTGTTGTTTTTCCTGAACCCTATGCATTTTAGCGGGGGATATCACTACTTGAAAGCTTCTTGCATACTTGCATCTCCAGTAGGCTGAGCTGTATATTTTTTGAGTTCTTAATGACAAAGACTTTGGAAATCACACGGACAAAGGTGTTGGGGATTGATTATTTCAGAACTTGAGGTTGTATGGTTCTGTTTCATTACATGCATACGGTCATATAACTAGGGTGATGCAAATGTGGGGAAGTGAGTAGAATGCATTTTCACTAAAGTTCTCATCAATATTAGCCATTGATGTTGCATATTTCTATGAATCCATCATAGGGGATGAAAAGTGATTGGGTTTTTTCTTTTGAATTGCAGGTGTAACTATATTTTCCCTTTGCATCCTTCCAGCCGAGGAGTGATAAGTCGGCTTGGGGTGGGTCTCCTCGGCCCCCTTCTATGGAAATGTCAAGCGCCGACGGGGAATACAACATTAGTGGCCAGGGAGGATGACGGGTAACAGAGAGAAGAGAGATTAGAGGAGTTTTTGCCTCTGCCAACACTATACACTGTCCCTTGCAGGTATTCGCTTTCTATGTCTCTTTATTTTGTTGGTTCTGTCTAGAAATTACAACTTTTGCCTGCTTTAAACTGTATATCTAACCTATCTTGAGCACTGTGTCATTAGTCAAAGTTGCTCCCTTAATTTTTACTTTCTGTTCCCGTGTTTGATTGCTTGCACCTGCTATCCGCCCTAATACTCTTTCTTGATGTCGTCGTTTGTTTTTGTACTAGAGATCGAACACCCATAGATCTTCATTCAGCCATGGTCTCCTTTTCACTGCCAATCACTCGCAAGGTAAGCTCTTCTGCAAGATTGTTGTCTGTGCTCCAATCCAACACCTTTCAAGATTTTTTCCATTATAAGCTCCATTCCAACACCTTTCGCTACCAATCAATCGCTTTGTAATGCAGATGTCATTTGGTATTTAGCTCTAGCGGTTAACAACAATTTCTATTGCTTATGCTGGGTTCATAGGGTCTATGTGAAGGTACTCAGTTGAGTAGGTTATCGTCTGCAGGCCTGGAACCAATGTCAATTGAGCCATTGGAGGAGTGTAGGCCAGCAAGTGTCTTCAGAGAGAAACACGGGCAATCTACAGCAAGAAGCTGATCAGATCACTCTTATGCTTGCAATTTAGTGACAAGGTTAGCTCCTCAATGCAAACTCTTTTGTTATGTCCACACCCTTTTCATCAATTGTTCTGTTTTACTGATATTCACTCGATCCTGCTTAAGAAATTTGATGTGCCAAATCAATTTTACTTCTTTCTTGGGGTTGGCTGATTTATCCGTATAGTTCTACGAAAACACATATTGCATTTCTTGCGATAAATTCTTTTCGAAATTTCCTCACAACTGAACTCCAATGTGTTCATTTTCCCTCTTGATTGTCGGTTGATGTTGAGCTGTTCTTATCAGCCTATTATGCGCCTGAAGGCCTCAGGGTCATGCTGTTGTTCAGCCTGTGCCCTGTTTGTTGTAAATTGATAGAACTTAGGTTAAAATTTGCTGCAGTGTTTGTTCTTCGATTTTAAACTTCTCTTTGCAAATCCAATGTATTTTTATGGTATCCGTTCCCTTCATTCCTTACCTATCAATTAAGTTCATATCTTGATCAGATCCTGAGATTTAGTTCCTGTGAAATCTCGCTTGGTGTATTTGCATTTAATCCCGAACTTTGTATATAATTTCATGGTCTAAGCAATATGAAATCAAAACTATGCGTCCATCTAATGCTACAAGTTTGATGTTACAGGACTTCTGTGATGCTGCAGCTCAGCAGCAAGTTCAAAAGGGATGGAGTCAGAGAAATAGGCTAATAAATAAAAGTTATCGTCCAATGGGAGAATGGAATGAACAAACTAGGGGAGTAATAACATGGTCTCTGTAATCTTTGTTTCCATCTCACAGTACACACATGAATGTTAGGTTACGTTGAATGTTAAGTTCAGTCGGGTTTACGTCGTTTATGAATTTATTTTATTTTTATTTCATATTAGCTGGTTCAGCCTGTCTAGATAGGATCTCTCTATGTGTGGTTGGTTTAATCCTTTCTTGAATCCTACTGCCACATGAGAGCTGAGTTTGGGGTTTGATGGGAAGGAAGATTAGAAGAGTACACCAGGATCCTTAATTCTCTTAAACTCAGTGGGAGAGGTTAAGTCAACAGCTAAATTGCTTCAAAATCTTGGTTTGCTCTGTTTTGGTTTCCGCTCATTGTTTTGGCTGCTCAGGGGTTTCAATTTTTTTAACATTCTCATTTGAATCGTTTTTGTTTCCTTTTGTTACTCTTACATTGTCGACAAAGATGGAATGCTTTTCATCATCGAATCATTGTGCTAGAGAACATGGGAGCTGCAAAACAAAATGTGAAGAAGCTAAGAAAGAAAGCAGGTAAAAGAGGTGGCCATATTCATTTATTTTGCTCTTCTGTGATATGGATGCGAGCCTACAATTGGTTGTCATGCTTGCTTGCACATAACCGATTTCCAGCTTCGTTTTCAACATGAACCTGCAAATTCATAGGGTTCTTATACATTGATTCAGCCCTCTTAACATTTTGTTGCCGAGTGATTCATCGTAGGCAAGTTTGTGGAGATAGCTACAGTTGTGGGTGAAGTTTTAAGTCTGCCTAGCTTCTTAGATCATGCTGTGCCTAACCTCCACGTGGTTGATCCTGTTCTTTTGCCTATCAGTTTATCTTATTTTGTTTAGATGTTTCTCATTTATTTTAAATTGTTTGTGTTGCGTTGTGTTCCAGGAAAGCTTACTCATTAAGTAACCTGTTTAGTTATTATGTAGTGACAATTAAGAAATCGAGTTTATTAACATAAGAGCTATAACTCATCGCCTTCAACATTTCTTAATAGTTTTAATAAATTGGATTGTGTATGCTGATTGTTTCATATTATATAGGTGGATCATCCGTGGGATAGAGAATCTTCTTCACTCAGCCCGGTGCAAGAGAGGTCATTAACACTAGGATCAAGAGCGACAACAAGGGAACGGGTGGTGCTGAGGGCCTATTTCACCGTGGGGTTGGTTGTGATTTGATTTTGCCTTCCAAGTAATTGCTTATCAAACTTTCAGGTATGTGTGCTCCCAATTATTTAACGTTTATAGAAGCTTTTAGTATCTACAAATAATACTTAGTTGCGTCCCGGTTTGTTTGTTTACAACCGCTTCTTTTTCGCGTTCCATAGATGTTCCATTTTTGTCACTGTAGCATTGATATGATCGGCTTTTGCCTCTTTTATGTCCCAATATGAGATTAGAGCTTCTCTTCATTTTGCTGCTCAATTCAGTTCTTAACTCTCTCAAATGTTGCCTAAAGTTGCCCTCTACGGTACTTGATGTTTTATTTTAAATATGGAGCAGCTCTCAATGATTGAATTTTTAAGATCAGAGCCATACAACCTCAAGTTCTGAAATAATCAATCCCCAACACCTTTGTCCGTGTGATTTCCAAAGTCTTTGTCATTTAAGAACTCAAAAAAATATACAGCTCAGCCTACTGGAGATGCAAAACAATATGCAAGAAGCTTTCAAGTGGTGATATCCCCCGCTAAAATGCATAGGGTTCAGGGGAAAACAACAAAATATTTGGCACATAAAAGGTTGAGTGAGGAAATGTTTTTTTTTGTGGATCTTTAGTAGTTTTCCAGCTTATTGTTTTTCGACTCTAAGAAATGGTGTGTGCATGTGCACTTTTATTTTGGTTTCATTACTTTTAATCTTTACCTACCGGTTTTGGTTTACAGATCGATTTTCATTTGACTGTCGATTTAATGGGAAGTGGGAAGTGGCACTGTGGCAGTGGAACGTGGTGGCTATGGTGCATATATTGGATTTCAATCACCGTTTATAAATTGTTAAGTTGTGTTTTTTATAACTTAGTCCTAGAGTCAAAGCGTGTTAGTTTGGTGAAACTCAATTTCTTTTTGATTAGTAAGATGTTGCCTTATATATAAACACAGGTTCATGATAGTTACTCCTACTCATTCTGTAAGTTGAATTGCTATAGTGTTTCAATCAGTTGTTTTTGCGGCCAGCTGTTGGCTCCATGGTGTAAGGAATATGAGTTGCGTGTTTGTATTGACGTGACCGAGCTGTTGTCAGACATGTTGGACAGCAGGAGAATCGACGGTGACCGTGAGCGCCGAACTTCTAGGCTGCAAGGAAGAGCTAGGGTTTCGGGATCAAAGCTGTAAGGAATGTGAATCGTGTGTTTGTATTGACATTGAGAAGGGGAATTTATACCCACAATTGTACAGGTTCATGTAGGAAACTTAAGACAAAATGAATAAAGACTTATCCCTAATACATGATGTCTATGGATGCCATACATATGATTTTTGATAGGTTCATTTGACTGACATTTTGGGATGGATTTCTAACTAAATTTTGTAATTGCTTTCTAGGAAATTTAATTATCACCAGCTGAAATTCAATCTATGACTTATCCCTGTTCATCCATTTTCACTTTCTTTTTAGATTTCTTGGTTTCTATATATTGGTGTATTCAATGTGGTTTGAGACGTGTAAAAGGTGATTGTCAAGGTGTAAAAGGTGATTGTTAAGGGAGTTGTTGACGATAGCTACATGCATTATCTTATTTGAATATCGATAAGATATTATATGTCATTTAGGATGTTTTTCGCATCATTCTAACTTATAAATCCCGAGATACTGTCCACTAGCCAAAATTGCAGTCGGCCAAATAAGATATGTACTTCAGGTGCTGCAATTCAGTCCAAACAATGAATTATGATTTGGTTGGGTAGGAGCCTTTAATGTTCCTTTTATGATCTTCTATCCATTTTGCAGCCTATTTTTTTTTTATATCATTGTTTCGCATTGTTCATTCAACGCGAAGCAACGCGACCGGGTCTACCTAGTTATGATAAATTTGATGGTTTTATTTGAAGGAATGGTTATGTTTGTCATCATGACATAAAAAGCTAATGTATGACGCGGCGATTTGAAATTGATGTGACGTACATATTAACTTGTTGTTAGAGAAATTTTACAATGCTATATAGTATCGGTGCTATAGGTTTTTTCCTTTATGGTACAACTTAAAATTGTACATTTACGTTATGGTACAACTTCAGATTGTACCTATACGTTTTGTACAAATTCTTTTATGATACAACTTGAACTTGTACTTTATATGATGGTATAACTTCAAGTTGTAAAGTTGTACCATAACGTAATGGTACAAATTGCTTTATGGTACAACCTAAACTTATACATTTAATGTTATGATACAACTTTAAGTTGTACATTAAAGCACCAATGTTATATAGCATAGTAGAAGTGCTCAATGTTCTCAACAATATTTTTAGTGTGGTTAACATTTTTAAAGAAGGGTAAATACAATTTAATATCCAAACATTTCATTTTAAACAATATAATAGTCAAACTTTTTCGAAAACAATCTAATATCCAAATCGTCAACTTTCCGTTCGTTTGACCGTTAGTTGACACTTCATCAAGTTCGAAGTACGACACTTTATCAGTATCCATCGATATCTTCTCTGAAAAACCACCAACATATCGTGGTTCCAAACCCGAGAAGTCCATGACTCCACCATGATGGTATAAAATATCTAAATATTCATTCATCTGCAATGTCAAAACAAGAAAACAAAGCTGTATTGTGACAATTTCCCCTAAACAAAACTTTTTTGAAGTGTCAACTAACGGTCAAACGGATGAAAAGTTGACGATTTGGATATTTTTTTTAATAAGGGTGATATAGGTTTTTTTTTTACGATTTGGATATTAGATTGTTTTCAAAAAGATTTGACTATTATATTGTTTAAAATGAAATGTTTGGATATTAAATTGTATTTACCCTTTAACGAAAATGGTTATATTTGCCTTACAAGCATTTCGAATATGAATATATTTGTGATTATTTACAAACACATTATAATGATCAGAAAGTCAAAATTATGATTATACAAAGGTATTTTGCCTTATTTTTATATCGGTCCAGTGATTAAGGCAATCCGATTTATTCAATCTGCCGTACTTAGTTTGATTAAGGATTGTAAAATCGAATGTACCGAAAAAATGGATATAACCACAACTCAATCGTTTTGACACGGCTAAACACGATTAGTAAATTTTTTCCGTCGGACCACAAGTAAAATAAGGTTTCACGAACACTTAATCTGATTTGATCCTTCGGACTAACTTAAAATCTATTTTCCAAATACCAAACTTTTCTGAATGCAAGAATTTTTTCTTTTGTGGTTGTAAGGAAGTGGTTAAGTACCATACACCCGCCTGTATAAGATCCAACATAACTTTCTCCCAACAACTCGAGTTATCGGGACCAACTGGTTCATGACATGGTATTAGAGCTAGTTTGTCCTTGAGGTCACGTATTCAAGTCCTTACGACCTCGAATATTAACATTTGTCTTCAAGCCCATGGGTCGACTTTCGTTTGAGGGGGCGTGTAAGGAAGTGATTAAGTACCATACACGAGCCTGTATAAGATCCAACATAACTTTCTCCCAACCATTCTGAGTTATTGGGACCAACCATGATAGTGGTGATAGCTGATAGGTAAATCCGTAAATGTAAGAAATCCTGGAGATGGAGGAATTACGAGAAAAGGTAACTCCACCATCTCCCCATATTCTAACATGGTCGCCGACTCTGTCCTAGTCCACGACTCTCCTCGTCCTTTCCCTGTGGCTGCCCTGTTTCCCAATTCCCCCCACTTGATTGCTCATTGCATTACAAAAAGTTTCGAATAAAAAACATACAAACGCATTTCTGCTATCGCTAGATTTGGATTCGGCCGCCTCTGTAAATTTCGGTTCAAACGCGGTGGTATTCGGCTGAAGTTTCAGGGATTTAAGATTCCATCACTGAGTAAGGGAGGAAGCAGCCAAAAAGGAGGAGAAGAAGAAAAGCGGGAAGAGGGAATTTCGCCGGGAAGGAAAGAGAAATGTTAGGTGGCGGCGGCGGTGGCGGAGGAGGAGGGTTTTTAGGATGGAGGAATGTGTACCAGGAGTTGGCGAACTCGAGGCCGTTGTTCCTCTCGATCTACGCCACCGTCCTGCTTGGAATTGTGTTCTCTTCCTTCTACGTCTTCTCCGCCATTCACTCCGCCCCCAATTCTTCCGCCTCCGCCGTTTCCACTCCCTGGCTCTCTTCTCCTAGTTCGCCTTCTCCTCCCTCTCCCCGAAGTAACTCCCTTTGAGCTCCATTACTTTACAAATTTAGCTTCTTGCATGGTTGATCGCCAGTTGGCCGCTTTGTCTTGTGCTCGAGGGTTGACTTTTTTCACATTATGATCGCTTAACTGTTCAATCAATTTTGTTAGTTCTTCGTCTTCTTCTTCTTCACCAATTTGCCATAAATGATGAAATGATCTTCTGTTTTGGTGTTTCTGACGATGTAGTAATTGTCCGGTATGTATTGGTCCACTGTTTAATCTTTCTGAGTTCGTTACATTTTTTTTATTTATTGTTGCTTTTTGAGTTCCGGTGAGATTATAGTTACAGTTCTTTGTTCCTGGTCCAGTTTAGGGATCTGTTGAATTGGACGCTACCATTTAATGCATTCTGCAAATCCCACCATCTGAATATCTGGTAGCTTTTCTCAAGTGATTTCAGCTGTTTCTGCGTCCTTACTTAGCTGCCTTATTGCTAAGGTCTCCCTTCATGGAAATTTCTCTACTTTGTAACACCTCTCAGCTCCATTTAATTATTGATCTCTTCACGTTATTACACATGCAATCTACTCATCCGGGTTTTTCTTTCCTTTTCTCCATTGAATTAGATGTATTTGCACCTTATGCCGGCCAATCGCGCAACTTTTCTCAGACAAAAGCACTAGCTACTGCTTCTTCACCACTATCACAGCCGCAGACGTCAGGGTCTGGGTCAAAACCGATATGGGAAGTTCCACCACAGAACTCCGAGATGCCACCTCTGGAGGCCTTCAAACTGACTAAAGAACTTGTGCAGCAAAGAGTGAAAGACAATGTGGTAGTAGTGACCTTTGGTAACTATGCATTTATGGATTTCATCCTTACTTGGGTTAAACACTTGACAGACTTGGGGGTCTCCAATCTTCTTGTTGGTAGGTTAGCTTCTTGTCTGGTTTCTATCTTCCAACTGTATGATCTCTGGTGAGCCGCTCATAATTTGCTAATTACAATTTGATGTTTGGTAGGTGCTATGGACACCAAGCTGTTGGAAGCCTTGTACTGGCGAGGGGTTCCTGTTTTCGATATGGGCAGCCACATGAGCACAGTAGATGTTGGTTGGGGGTCACCAACTTTCCATAAGATGGGGAGAGAGAAAGTTATTCTGATAGATTCAATCCTTCCTTTTGGCTTTGAACTCTTGATGTGTGACACAGACATGGTTTGGTTGAAGGTATGTGCATGTTATGTTGTATTTGGGATCATTATCCATCCCATGCATAATCATCATAATTTGGCTGCTTCACTGTAATGCCAAATAATTGTTTCTCATTAGCACCTTAAGTTTGGGTGCAACGTTTCGTGCTTCAAATTTCTCTGTCATTGCAAGTAGAAAGACCTTACATCTTGCTTTAAGGTATTATCAAGACTCCGTGACCCATCAGATGGCATCTTTTCTGTTTGAGCTATAAGCTCTTGACCATATAGGATGATGTTCCAACTTCTAGTATTTGTGACTATGAGGATGAGGATGATGATGAAGGAATGCTGACTTGGCAACAACTACAATGACTACTATACTACCTATAAAATGGGGGGAAAGTGATTGCTGTCCCTCGGGTCCTATGTGTCTTGCCAGTGTCCTTTCTGGTGCGATAAATATTTCTGATACTAATTATGAAATTGAGAGATTTGCATCCCCCAATAACCATTTTCCCCCCGATCTCTTTGCTTGCTTCATCAGTACCCTGCCCTGTCTTCCACCATGCTAAAGCTTTATCTCGTCTGTAAACTGTGTTGGCATTCTGTAAAATCTGCCCAGGCACAGTTCATATTGTTACAAAAGAAATTATGCATACATGAGTTTTGTGTTATAAATATTGTTCTGCTTGGTCTGTCTATTCCAATTCTTGTTCAATCCAGCATCCTTCCATCTTTAACATTGTCAAACAGTTAATCTGATACTTTATGGTTTCTTTATGGAAATAGAACCCACTTCCATATCTAGCTCGTTATCCAGAAGCAGATGTCTTAACATCAAGTGATCAAGTTGTCCCAACAGTCACTGATGACAGACTAGAAATCTGGCAACAAGGTAAAGAAAAAAGAATATCTTTTCACACGAAATTTTTTGCCATTCTGCCAGCAATTTGTGGTCCAGACATTACCTAATTTCTCCTTGCCAAAGCTGAGATTGGTATTGCCATTGATTGAGTGTCCATATGTTATACAATCTAGTCCTGTGCTTGAGTGCAGTGAGCTTATATTGGCTAGCAACTTCGCCATCCTTGTTTAGGGTTATTGTCTCGGGAAAATATTCATTGAAATACTGACATATTGACATCTTCACACGTGCTAAGGACTTATGAAACCTATTGACTAACTTGAGACTTCAAGTCTGACTCTCAGTATCAAGCTTTTGTTCTATTTTTCTGCTCAATTAACTAGCTATGGTGTGTTGCATTTGCTAATACTATAATGAATCTACTGAAACTTACTTCCTTGCCACCTTTGGCAGTTGGTGCTGCTTTCAATATAGGAATTTTCCACTGGAGGCCAACAGATTCTGCAATGAAATTGGCGAAAGAATGGAAAGAGTTGCTTCTTGCTGATGACAATATATGGGATCAAAATGGGTTCAATGATATTGTACGAAGGCAGTTCGGACCTTCAGTTAATGAGGATGATGGACTTGCATATGCTTTTGATGGAAGTCTGAAGCTGGGGATTTTGCCAGCCAGTATATTTTGCAGTGGACATACGTACTTTGTCCAGGTACTAGATATAATATTGCTTCAACTGTTTGATGTTGACTAGATAGATTATATTAGACTAACATACATGATAAGCTGGACAAGTGAAACAAATATCAGTGTGGCTTAAATGTCTATGTTGGCAGGCGATGCATCAACAGCTCAGGTTGGAGCCATATGCAGTGCATACCACATTTCAATATGCTGGCACGGAAGGCAAGCGTCACAGGTTACGAGAGGCCATGGCTTTCTATGATCCTCCAAATTACTATGATGCACCAGGTAATTCTGTACTATTAGTTGTCTCTAGGAGCATAAGGGTGGTAGGATGTAAAAGCTCTTTTTTCAAATGACCTTCTTTAATCCCAAATAAAGTTGATACAATGTCTCAAACAGCTCTCTTTTGGTACCCACTTTCTCATAACTGTAACTATTTGCTTATGAAACCAATGTAGCGTTGGTACATTAGAATTTAGTCTTGGAAGCAAGAAATACCTTTTTGTGCCTGAAGCAAATTTCCTCTGTGCACACAACTTCACTTCAGTTTGCTAAATTATCAGTTAGTTCATTGGCCTGTTTGAATTCTTGTTTTATTGATATTATGACATTTCTTAGAGCCCGCTTGCTTAAGACGTGATGATTGAGTTCGCGCAGGAGGTTTCTTGTCATTCAAGCCATCTATCCCAAAGAATTTGCTACTAGATGGAGAGCATAATCTCGAGTCTCATTTCGCTCTCGTTAATTACCAAGTACGCATCGTTGCCTAAGAATGCTATTATTTCCACTTTATGTACTTTAATGAACTGACTGGTCTTTTGGTATGTCTTGATTCAGATAAAACAAATACGGACTGCGCTGGGAATCGCCTCCTTGTTAAATCGTACCCTGGTGAGAATACTGTGCCTCCCAAGTTCATGATTATAACTTGTAACTGAAGTTTTGGCTTGACTTGTATGGTGAATTAATTTTTAATATCTTGTTTCAAATAATTATAATCTTTCCGCTCTAATCTAGTTAACTTCCTTCTTCAAGTTATATTTTGTGTCAAATCATTTTGTGTCTAATATTTCTCCAATTAACTGCTTAGGACTGTATGTTTAGTTTCAGAAGTCAATGGAAGAATTATCTAGAACCCTAAAAAATGTACCATGTTGTTTATTTTGTTTCAAATATAACTTATATTGTGCAACCACTATAAATTTGTTTATATTTATATTTATTGAAACCCATATACTGTTCAACTTATTATTTGAACATGAACTGAAGCTTGTGTCTTAGATTCCTTTGCTTCGTTAATTTTCTTGTATAAATCCTTTGCTTCGTTAATTACAGGTCATGCCCCCGTTATGGTGCAGGTTGGATAGGCTATGGTTTCCTCATCCTGGAGTTCTGCAAGGGACCCTGACTAAGCAACCTTTTCTCTGCCCTTTGGATCATGTGTTTGAGGTACAATTCTCTGATTGTGCAAAACTCATGTGTCTATGATCGACATTTTACTCTTTTAACTTCGGGCTAGTCTTTGTTCTATTGGATTATTGTGGCTGGAGCTCTCAAAACTGATTTCTAGAAAAAGTGATTGCATCATGGTGCACTAAATCTTCATGTTTCGAAAAGCCGGGTCTTGTGCTTCTCATGTTGCAGAAACACATGCGATATATATTCTAGAAATTTGACCTCTCTTAGTGAATCTTCTGCAGTTTGAACACCGAAGATATAGTTTGTGCGATTGGGAAGTTTATGAAAGTTCCTCTTCTTGACCAACTTCTTGGACTTGCTAACCTCATGCTTTGGCTCAGTTGTGTTGTTGGTCTTCTGGTGTATTTTTCCCTTTCTGCTCTTGGTTCCCCTTACACCCATCTCCCTTTCTTTCATTTTCAACATAACTTGCATTTTTTTCGGTGTCTTGAAATTTTGTACAAATTGCTTTGCACAAACAGTCAGATTTCAGGTTTAAGGAACAGGTTGAGTTAGTTCCATTTATCAAGATTCAAGAGAACCAAAAAATAGTCATCTGATCTCTCGACATTTCACGCTCTCTCTTGTTTAACTTGCTCTTGCAATATAGGTCAATGTCATGTTGAAAGAGCTGCCAGAAGAAGAGTTTGGCCCTGGCATCAATATCAGAGAGTACTCTTTCCTTGACAATCCTTCACTGCCTAAACAAGTGAGTATATATATTTGCATTGATGACGCCAGTCTTAGACCAACAGCGATGCTTTTCCATCACTTCAGTTGTTGCTAAGGTTATTTACTTTGGGACACTTGTAGGTGAAAGAGTCATGGATTGATGTCCAAATCTGTCAAGAAGGCAGTCACGGTTGCAATGCTTCCAACACACCACCAGGAACACTCAAATTTCCAAGACAAAGCAATGAAGAAATGGTACTTTAAGCTTCTACTCTAGCGCTACGACTTTCATATTGTCTACTCCACTTTCCTTACAGATTCTCTTCATTGCCTGTTTAACATATTTCATTTCCACATAACAACCATATTTGCTATGAAGAAATGGTACTTTAAGCTTCTACTCTAGCGCTACGACTTTCATATTGTCTACTCCACTTTCCTTACAGATTCTCTTCATTGCCTGTTTAACATATTTCATTTCCACATAACAACCATATTTGCTGCCTTTAAATTTTTTCCTTTAGAAAAATGAAGCTGGTAGAATCTAAAATATGTTGTGTGAGACATTCGTTTCAAGTAGACGCAAACATCCTTTTTCCCCCCTCACCATTGAAAATTACTTGGATGCAGTTTCGGACAACATTCGATTCTTTCAAAGATGTCAAAGTCATTCAGTTCTCTTCAATGCAAGATACATTCCTTGGTTTTACTGACAAGGCAAGAAGTTCTCTTTTACCCTCACCTTGATATGATGTTGAAGTTCAGTTCAGAACCATTTTCATCCAACAAAGAAATGAACTGGCCAGTCTCTGATTAGGTTTGGTGTTTAAGGTTCTGAATACTGAAAGATGTGTGTTTGAACATTACTTGCATTGCAGGGAAGGGAAGATAAATTTAGGAATCGGGTGAAACGGTACGTAGGCATATGGTGTTGTGTAGACAGTCACACTCCGGGACATATATATTACGACATGTACTGGGATGAGAAACCCGATTGGAAGCCGATCCCACCATTGACGCCTGAAGATGATCACCCAAATTGGTAAGAAAAACTAGGCTAACATCAGCCCCAATACACTTCTTGAGCATTTCCCACTGTCTGGAGTCCCTAGCAAAGTGGAACCAGGATCATGTTGAAGCAGTGCCAGAGGCTCAAAGAACTGGTTCACTGCGGCAAGACTTGACTAGGATAGTTTTTTTTTTTTTTTTTGGAATTTTGGTCATTGCTCTTACGGTAACACATAATGTCAAAAGTGAAGAGATCATGTAACCATGGTTAATAGGCTTGGAAGGGGATTGCGTATTAAGCAGTTCACTCGTGTCTTCATTTGTGCAAAACTTTTGGTGCAGTACAGTAGAGATAGGCTGGGCGATGTATTCTCATATTTGTATCCTTAGTAGGCGAGTTTTGGAATCTTTCTTGTATGGCAACGAGTCGAGGCGGATAGTATATCTATTATCCTTTCCAAAATAGTTTGGGTTTGATGCATGAGTGGAATGAGATCGACGATTAATTGAGAATCAAGATGGAGATTGCGCTATCCAGTTACTAAATATATAAAGCAAGATTTTGCAAAATAGTTTGGGTTTGATGCATGAGTGGAATGAGATCGACGATTAATTGAGAATCAAGATGGAGATTGCGCTATCCGGTTACTAAATAGATAAAGCAAGATTTTGGTTGAACATGTTACATCTTACATGGTAGTATTTTCACCAAAAAAATCTTACATGGTGGTATGCTACCAAGTAGCGACGGAACACCAACACGACAGTCATAAATAAGAAAAAGTAACAGACGCAGCAACGCGGCGAGGGAAAGGCAAGAAATTTCCGGCTTGCCGCAACCAACGGCGAAGAAGTAACGGTGCATCCATGAAGATTACGATCCCGTCGGAAGGTTTTCTATGATGAGGAGGACGACGACCAGCGGCGGCGTATGGGCGGTTGGGCAGCGAAGCGGAAAGTAGCTGCGAGACAGTTATATCTAGTTAAACCAAAACCTAAGGCCAACGATATCAGAACGCCGCCGCCTGCGCGGCGCTTCTTTTACCATCATCATTTGTCCCCAAACACAGCTACTCTGCTCCCTGGTGGAATTAATCTACGTCAACTCTTTCGACAAGGCTACTTTCTCTTCAATGCGGGCATTCTTCTCCCGGAAACTAATCCGGGTAACTCTTTGGTTCGCAGTTCCTGTGTCCACTACCATGCCTCTCTTCTGTTCGACGAAATGCCGCAACCAGCTGGTGGACGTTTGGGAGATGCCACCATCGTCCGCGTTTCCCGACTCCTCAAATTGCCAACCGCCGTAACACCTAACGCTCTCACGGCCCGTACGGCACATGGATTGGCCATCAAGGTAGGCGCTTTGGGCCACTTGCCCATCGTCACTTCCCTTCTCACACTCTACTCCAAAGTTGCATATTTTGGTGCATCTCTGGCTTTGTTCGATGAGGTTAACGAGAAAGATGTGATCCTCTGGAATGCAATGATCACAGCTTCCATTGGAAATTGTTGTTTTTCGCACGCCATGGAACTTTTGATGAAGATGATTGAGGTAGGACATGGTTTTGATTCCACTACCCTGTTGCTTGTTGTTTCTTCCATCTCCTACTTGAAGAACTTGAGCTCCGGAATGAATATTCATGGTTTGAGCATCAAGTCTGGGATGCTCTCGGATCCCAATTTGTGCAATTCTATAGTGGACATGTATGCAAAATGTGGGGATGTCAGCTCCTCGGAGTGTTTGTTCCGGGAGATGAAATATCGAGATGTAGTTTCTTGGAATTCCTTGATGACTGGATTTCTGCGTAATGGCTATCCAGAGATGACTTTGCGGTACCTCAGAGAGATGGCTCATTTTGGTGAAGTAGCAGATGATACAACTCTGTCATGTGCCATATCAGCATCTGCTTCTCTAGGCTGGAAGAGTTACGGAGAAGCTATCCATGCATTGGGGTTAAAGTTAGGTTATGACCATGTATGGCATATCTCAGTAGCTAATTCTTTGATTTCACTCTATTCCCAAGCTGCAGATACTGGGGCTGCTGAGGCTGTGTTCTCGGAAATGCGTTCTAAAGATATTGTGTCATGGAACACTCTGATTGACGGGTTTGGTTCAAATGGAATGGTTTGGGAAGCATTTTATCGATTCCACGAAATGCAGTTGTCAGAGGCTGTTCACCCTGACTTGGTGACTATTGCTTCTTTGATTTCAGTCTGTGCCAAATCATTGCTATTAATAGAAGGTCGAACACTTCATGATATGTGATTCGTCAACACAGAGGATCTGATTTGTCCATTGCAAACAGCCTTATAAACATGTACTTGAAGTGCAAGCAGGTAAACAAAGCTGAGATTTTGTTTGGTACAATCTCAACAACGGATCTGGTTACTTGGAATACAATGATCTCTGGATACTCTGAAAATGGATTCTTTAAAGAAGCTCAATTATCATTCCGGGACCTGCTTCGTCATTGGTATTCAGGTTTCAGTTTGTCAACACTATTGGCTATTATTCCTTCCTGTTCTTTCCCAGGAGGAATCCAGTTTGGTAAATCAATTCACTGTTGCCACTTGAAAACAGGGTTCTCAAACAACACTATTGCCGTGAATTCTTTGATGCACATGTATATCTCCTGTGGAGACTTCAGTGCTGCTTTATCATTTCTGCAGAGTATCTATTTGATTGCAGATGTTGATAGTTGGAATACAATAATCGTAGGGTGCACCCAGAACTGTCGATTCCGTGAGGCCCTTAAAACTTTCAACTTAATGAGGCAGGAAACCTCCATCAACCCTGATGCCAGTATTTATGTCAATGTCATTTCAGCTTGTGGTAATCTTGAGTTGGCATTGGAGGGGAAATCTATTCATGCACTTTCTATCAAAACTCCAGAAGGGTCAGATCAACGTGTGCAGAATTCCTTCATTACCATGTATGGAAGATGTGGGGATATTGAGGGTGCCAGAACTGCATTTGTTTCAAGCTCAGATCACAACTTGTGTTCATGGAACTGCATGATCTCCGCTTTCTCTCAGAATAAAGATGGTAGAGGAGCAATCGAGTTATTCCGCTCTATTAATCTAGAACCTAATGAAATCACCATCGTCGGTATTCTCTCTGCCTGCACACAGATTGGGGTACTGAGACATGGGAAGCAAATTCATGCTTACACAATAAGGAGGGGATTCCATAGCAACTCCTATTTATCTGCAGCTCTAGTGGACATGTATAGCAATTGTGGAAGACTAGATACCGGGGTCCAGGTGTTCTCAAACTCGAGGGAAAGGAATGTCACTGCTTGGAACTCCATGATATCTGCTCATGGGAACAATGGTGAAGGAAGAAAAGCCATAGCTCTTTTCAACGAAATGTTGCGTTCTGGAGTCGTAGCAAACAAAAGCACTTTTGTGAGCCTTCTTTCTGCGTGCGGCCATTCGGGACTTGTAGATGAAGGAATGTACTATTATGGGTGCATGTTGGAGAAATATGGGGTGCAGCCTACAGTAGATCATCAGGTCTATATGGTTGACATGTTGGGTCGATCAGGAAGGCTTGAAAAGGCTCTAGACTTTGTCATGCAGACAGAAGCCTTAGCGGAGCCTGGGATATGGGGAGCTCTGCTCAGTGCCTGTAACTATCACGGTGATGTCGGAATGGGAAGAGAAGTTGCAAATGTTCTCTTCAAGTTGGAACCTCAAAATGCCGGATACTATGTTTCTTTGTCGAATATGTATGTTGCAGCAGGGAGATGGAAAGAAGCGGTTGAGTTGAGAAATATTGTTGAAGAGAAGAAGTTAAAGAAACCAGTTGGTTATAGTTCGATCGATGTCTGTTCTATGTGAGAATAAGCTCTGTTGCAGTGGGACTAGCCAAGTTGATTTTTCTGTTATTCCATGTGCCTACCAAGGCATGCCTCTACTATTGCATGTAAGTTGTACGCTGGTCCATTCAGTCTATCACTCTAATACTCTATCTAGATAAAAATAGAAAGGAAAAGTGATGAACAAAAGTGGACAAAAGTATATTTAGTTCATTTGATTCAACTCAGTATGATCCAAATTCAGTTTTAGTCCGTTTTTCCTTCGTACTTGGGATAATTGTAGAATTGAAATCAAATCAAAATATATTCAATCAAGTTCGATTAGATTTAGATATAATGCAATATGGAGCACACCCGAACTACATGTGCCTACTTGGGAAACAAGCAAGTTCATTCAGAAACAAACAAAAAACAAACAAAAAATAGAGGAAGGAAAGGACCACATTTTCAAACCCGATTTATATAAAAAACTGTCTCATGTAGCTAAAATGAGAATTTAATGAAGTCACCAAAACTGGGCATGAAACTCAACTTCCAAAACCGCCATGCCCTTCAACAACTCCGACAGAGGCTGGTGATTAAATGGCCGCCTAACAAAATATGACACTCTGAGATGTAGGCCGAAAACTCTTTCAACATTACATTCCAACTTTACATCAAATGGTTCAGCTACCTACTACTGCTGTCAATGAACAAACTAGCGGGAACAAGAAACAAGGCTACTAGAGAACAAGTGTTGAATAACGGCCACTACTATGGATTAATTATAGCTCAAAACAGTAAGGCTCAGCAGACTCTTCAACTGAAGAATCGAGTCAAGGACCATGATTCAAGTTCTGGCTATATGATCACGAACGCATTATCTTGCCGCACAATCACTCCAAGCAAGGCCCTGAAATCTGCAATCCATCATCAGACAATGAGAGACGATGAGGAAAAGATATAAAAAATGAAAGACTTTGAAGCAGCTTGCTACCACTTGAGAAAGTACTGATAACGACTCATATGAGCCAGGAGATGCATAGGCGTCCCAGTGATCAATCGTCCAGGTAATAGTATGAACCAGCATGTTTCTGTTCTCTATCTTTGGTCGAGTCCAGCTTGTTGATCCTAGGCCTGAAATTTGTAGGGTCTCGCCTAAATGTGATATCCAAATGCTGCATCAAGTAGGACACTGATAAGTTTTTGTCGTCAATTAAAGAATTGTTAAAGAGAAGTTAGACAAACATAATGCAACCCTTGCTTGACCTCGAAAAATAGATAAGTGAACAAAAAAACTTATCAGGAAGCCAGGCCTAATGAAACTCAGCCAACATTCGCAAGAAATACGAATTGGCAACTTCATAGCTAGAACAAACACAGAAATAAATAATAAAAGACTCAGAAGAGTTCTGATGCCCTTACAGATAGGAAAAGGTTCATCCCGGTCAGCAATGACTGGGGAGAATTGGCTATGCAATCTATAGATGGCTGTCCCTCGTAAACGATCACTCTGTCGGCCAAATAAGTAGCCATAATAAAATCATGTTCCACGACAAACGCCGTCTTCTTTGCATGAAGGATAAACCTTTTTATGACTTTCGAAGCAACAATACGCTGCTCGGAATCAAGGTATGCGCTAGGCTCATCGATTAGATAAATGTCAGCCGGCTGCATCCAACCAATCAACACAGATAATAAATCAAATAACCATCAGGGACCATTGCATAATAAGAATATTATGTCCAACATAAGAATACATATAAAGTGAACCAACCCAGTCCAAACAAACATGAAGCTACCCTGTTTGGCTCACAGTAACTAAGCAAAACAGCCTACTGGATCAAAACAATGGAGGGTACAAAACAAGCATTAGCAAACTACCAGAAACAAAATCCAAATTCTATGTACAAAAAAAGGAAGAAAGAAACCAAAATCCAATCATCAGAGAGCAAAAAGAAGGAGTTATCAGAACTATAATACAAGTTCTGTTAACATAGGAATAACACAGCAAGATCATGCCAAGCAACTAAGACTGGGGTTTATCAGCAGGAATCACCACAATTTCTCATATAATTATTGAACTAGAACATCCAATTTCGGAAAGCGAAAAAGAATCACCCATGTGTACAAAGCCAAGGGACAGAAGAAAACATAGGAATAACACAGCAAGATCATGCCAAGCAACTAAGACTGGGGTTTATCAGCAGGAATCACCACAATTTCTCATATAATTATTGAACTAGAACATCCAATTTCGGAAAGCGAAAAAGAATCACCCATGTGTACAAAGCCATGGGACAGAAGAAAAATTATCCCTAAGGTGAAGCGTCAATGACACTACAAACCAAATGCATTCAGAAGGTAAAGTCTAAGCCTCAACCATATGCTACCAAAGTAGAACTTCTTACCTTCCCAAGACAGAGACATAATGCAACTCTTTGCAATTCTCCTCCAGAGAGATTCACTACTTCTTGGTCCATCAGTTGTTCAATAAGCAGAGGTTTCATAACATCTGATACAAACTGGGGATGCATGTAAGAATCCCGTATCTTTGAATGTAACAGATGTCTAACAGTATTTTGAAACTTGGGACTGATCTTTTGCGGCTTGTAGGAAACATTAAACTCGGGTATCTCCACCTCTGAAGTCTCCACGTCATCAGGTTTAAGTAAACCAGCCTGCATGATTTATGGTCAGGGAACTGATTGGCAGTGAAATGGGATAATTCAGAAACTAAGAATGATATGAGCCAATGAGTACCAGCATCCGGATGAAAGTTGTCTTTCCTGTGCCATTCTCTCCCAGCATAACAACAATCTGAGAATCAGTGAATTCACCCTCCACGACGCGGAGCCTGAAATTTCCCTGGGTTTTGGACATTGTTGGGTACTTGTATCGTGCATATGTTTCAACCTCTTCAGCACTCTCCTGGGGAGTCTCCGCTACCTGTTAAAGGCAACCAAATGTAATGAATAAATGTAACAGAACGTTAGCCAAACTATTCCATGTACAGAATTATTTAGGTTACCTTGAAGGTTAAAGATTCATCCCGAAATCTCAGGTTTTCAGTAGGAACAAATCCAGCCAGGAATATATTGATTCCTTCCCTAACGGAGAAGGGCAAAGTAACAACTCCATAGGCACCAGGTTTTCCATACAAGCAGCAGATAAAGTCAGACAAATAGTCCAGCACACTAAGGTCATGCTCCACAACTATCACAAAGCTGCAATCAACATTCAACTCGTATATAAGCATAACAGATGCTGGAGGACAACGAAAGAAGAAAAATAAAAGTAAGCAAAGAAGAACATGAAACCTATTAGGGCGGAGCAGAGATCTAACAACTTGGGCAGCTTTGAGCCTCTGCTTGACATCAAGATAACTTGAAGGTTCATCGAACATGTAAATCTCTGCGCTCTGTATGGCAACCACAGCAATCGCAAATCTCTGTAGCTCTCCACCAGATAAATCCCCAACATTACGATCTAAGACCTGATTCAGATCGAGATCAGCGCAAAGCTCTGCTTTCATTTCCCTCTCATCTTTCTGATCAAGCACCTGTCCTACATTTCCTTGGACAGCTTTCGGAATGTGGTCAACGTATTGAGGTTTTATGATAGCCTGTTGAACAATAAACAAAATCTGAGAACCAATAGTCTACTGAGGTCTAACACCAAAAACAAGTATGTAATGAAAAACAAGTATGTAATGATCCAGAAGACTAAAATAGTATATAATATAATAATATAAATAGGGAGGTTGAGGAAGGGACTCAGCAGAAGCATGCCAGCTACACATTGGCTCTTGCCTCTCCCAAGATAGGATCATTTAAGATTCAGATTCTCCCTTTTCATTTATATGCTATTAGCAGACACAAAGGAAGAGTTCCAGAGAGGTAAAAACATAAATTGCACACTGAATGCCTAAAGACCAAAGACCACTGGAAGTCCTGGAATTGCTCCACTGATAGGCAACAAACCTGAGAAAGTAAAGTCCAGCAATACGCTTCTAACACACAAGCAAAGAGAAATTTAGTATTGGTCTGTAACTGGTGGATGCGTTTAGGGAATGTACAAGCTAGACATTTAAATCAAGCTACTATATGTCATCTACACCATCCAAAGATTAGGATCTAGCCACTTCATCTCTTGTTAATACTCATAAGAAAATTGTATTATAAAGTCAACGAAATTATGAGCCTTGCTGGATATACAAAATAGAGATACCTTCAAATTATCTTCCAAGATACGAGTGAAGTAGTTCTGGAGCTCAGATCCTCTAAAGTGCGTCAATATTTCTTGCCAATCTGGAGGGTTCTAAAATGAATAACCAAGGAAGATCGGCAGTGTCAGTAAAAAAGAACATAAAGAGGAGGAATCCTGAAAAGGATGTGCCAAAGGTCATTATTACATTGAAGCGGCCCAGATTTGGCTTCAGTTTTCCAGCCAGGATCTTGATTGCTGTTGATTTCCCGATACCATTGGTTCCAACCAAGCCGAGAACCTGTCCAGGTCTAGGCACAGGTAACCTACAAACGTAATCATTAAGATTGTCAAAAAATGAAAACAATTAATCCACTAGATGTCCCTGGCAATTGTGTTTTCTAGTCCAACCTGTGCAGTTTGAATGTATTGGGACCATAACGATGAGTGGTATCCTTCTCCAAATCCTTCGGGAGGTTGATGATCTGAATGGCCTCAAACGGACATTTCTGGATTGGCATCAAAATCACCCATTCAGGCTAGTTGATGACTTCAAAGGAACAAGAAACTAAGACCAAAAAGTTATGCTGCTGAAACGAGGCAGACCTTAACACAGATACCACACCCAATGCACAACTCCTCAGAAATGAATGCTATCTTAGACGCAGAAGCAACCTCAATACACAGTTTTCCTGTTCAAAAGAAACAACCCCGTGAGGGAAAAGTAAAATAGAGAAGCTTATACTGGAGAAAGGACCACAAAATCTCAATTCATCATCTAAGTCGTTCCAATCGAAATCCACAAAAGCCAAAGTGACATCGGTTCTAGTGATTATCCATAGAGTAATCGATTGAGCATGGAAATGCAGAAACCAAAAGGTGACCGCCTCTCCAATCTTTTGCTCGATGATGCGGGATTAAGAAACCATAGAACCTGAAACACAGATCACAAAGAGAAGGGAGCAAACCAGTTTTCACAACTGGACAGCTCTTTTTGCACTCCTGGCGGCACTTTTTCGGCTTGCAGCGATCGGGAGTGACAATCGCGATTCTCGTCAGACGATCCGACATCTTCCCCGGCGACAAATTCCCTCTCCTACTGCCCGTCTGCTGTTTGCTGCTGCTTTGCTCTCTGATAAGCGGAAAACAAGCGGAGAAATGAAAAACCCTAATTATTAAGAAAAAGAATAGCAAGATTTGCGGAGAGAGGGAGGGACAAAGCTGGATAGGCAGCCGCTCTTACGCTGAAGAGAAACGGGCAGAGAGAGAAGGTTCGACGGAAAACCTACGGCTAACACACTCCTCCGATGCTGTTATTCTTATTGCTCCCCCTGGTCGGCCCGGACAGTTGAACCAGTTGAGTCTCGACTCGGGGCTTTGATCGGCTTGATGGGTCCTGGGTCAGAAACCTAACCGGAATGTGCTTTCCTCAAAAAAAAAAAAATTATCTCTTTCTCCTGGGAAAGGGAGGGAAAGAAGATTCTTTTCTTTTTGCAAGTAGGAAAAGAAGAGATTCTCCACTGCTCCTCCCTCGGTTGATTTTTGCCATTTATAGGGATCGAAAATTTCTTTGCCGACACGGAATTTTTGTAGGAACCGAAAGCTGTAACCTGGTTAGGGGGTTTTCTTGAGTGTCAAGGAATTTTTTTCCTTTCTTGAATTGGTTAATAATCCTAGCAAGATTAGCAATTCTAATCGTTGGATTAAATGAACTAAGGAAATCATTTAAAATTGATTTGTGTTATTGTCTCATTTCAGCTGCTAGGAAGAATACAACACTGGCATTGGACATGAGAAATTCAGGCTGAATTGTAACAAGGAAAAAGGTAGAAGAACACAACGATTACTTGGCATAAGAACTGTAGTCACCAAATTATCCTCCAAGAAACCCATGAAACAAGAGTTCTTCTGTACAAAGATCACCCAGAGCTAGGACTTAGGAGGCCACATAAGCCCCAAAATATCGATCCGTGTTTAGAAACTTGATCAAATATTATACCGATATCAGCCAACAACACGAGAGACATACATCATCAACTTGTATGAAACTTTATTGAAACGTAAGATGCAAAAAGGGGAAACGTATCAATATATATATGTAGAAGCATAGTCGTCCATCCATGGCATCTCAAGTGCGTTCTTGATCATTTCCACTTCTTGAACTTGCCTCCACCGAACATCCCGCCCTTCCCATGCTTCCCGTGCTTGAACTTGCCACCATGCTTGAACTTGCCATGCTTCCCGTGCTTGAACTTGCCACCATGTCCATGCCCGTATCCACCGCCATAGTGAGCAACACCACCATGGCCGCCACTGTGGCCGTAGCCGCCGCCGCCGCTGTGGCTAACATGGTGAGCACCCATAGCAGCTGCAGCTGCTGCTGCACCCCCAGCAATCACTGCCCCTAGTCCGCCATGACCTGGGATCATATCCCCAATTCCCCATTAGTAATCAAGAATCAATAATGTATCACAACTACACAAAGAATGCTCCTTTTTACTACCACAACCAATTCCATGATTCAACCATGTAATCTCCACAATTGAGAGAGTTTGAGATTTCAAACCAAACAAGACCCTAAATACAAGAACACAACAAGCAAGATTCACACAGCAAGTTGGGTTTTGTCAGAACTGCAATTCCCTTGAACAGCAAGCTTACAAACTACATTTCAAATGGATGATCTAGCATCTGGGTCTAAACAGTAACATCTCGCATTACAAACAACACAATTGGTCAGCAAAATATATTCGCAATCCACAAGCACCATCAATCACACACACATACACACGATTCATCATCTGCTAAACAACCCTAATTCCTAGTCAATTAACGATATAGAAGATTCATAAAAGATAGTGGAATTACCTGTGTGGTGAGACGATCCAGCGGGGTAACCAGCAGGAGGGTAACCCTGAGGAGGGTACCCTTGTGGAGGGTAACCACCCTGTTGCGGAGGGTAGCCGTGCTGTGGCGGGTACCCTTGCGGAGGGTAGCCACCCTGTTGCGGAGGGTAGCCGTGAGGAGGAGCTCCAGGGTAGGCGCCAGGTGGCGGAGGGTAGTAGCCACCTGGAGGACCTCCGTGCCCTCCCAAATGACTGAACAATCCCTTATCTTGATCCTCATTATGCTTATCCTTCCCACCTCCCATTTCTTCTTCTCTACAAGCAAAAGAAAAAGAAAAATCAAATCCTGCCACCACCATCAAAGGAATGAATTACAGGAGTTAGAAACCAGAGGCACAAAAATGAAAAAGGTCAACAGGGATGGTAGATCTCATGTTGGGAGTTGGGTGAAAATGGGTCAGAATAGATATCAGAGAGACTCAAGAAAGACGATCGACATCGCTAGAATACTCACCGAGAGAGGAGAGATTCTGCGGTTTCGACGCTGTTTCTTGTGTGATGAAGAATGAACCAGAGAGAGACTTCTTTGGCTTGCAACGCTGGGAATCGGAGAGGGTCTTGAACGTTGAAGTATTATTTATAGGCTACGACTAATTAGATGAAATTCGACGACGAGGACATGATCCATTCCATTCGGCCGAGTAACCTCTTTCTCTCTTGTTTATTAAGAAAAAGATAAAGACGGGAATAGTAAAGTAACAATAGATAAATGAGAATCAGAGAAAATAATAACGAACGGCTGCTCCTCCAGCTCCTAGCCGAGTTTTGCCACTCCACGCGTTCCCCTTACGCGGAATGGACGCGTGGATTGTTATTCATTCGTTTCCCATTTTCTGTTCCGATATTTTGTCTCTCTTCTGTGGGCCTGGGCCTGGGCCCGGCGGAAGCATCAGAATCTCGGTCTTGTCCGTTTCCGTCTTTTTCTTTTTCTTTCTATTTCCGATAATTAATTAAACGAAAATGGTGCGAGTGGTTCGGAGGATAAACTCAAATAGTTTGCGATCAATATGACAAACGAAAGACCACTTCTACTATGCTATAAAACATTGGTGATTTAATGTACAACTTCAAGTTGTATCAAAATGTTAAATGTATATGTTCAGCTTGTACCATAAAGGAATTTATATCATTATATTATGGTACAATTTCACAACTTCAAGTTGTACCATCACATAAAGGTACAAGTTCAAGTTGTATCATAAAAGAATTTATACAAAAATATAGGTAAAATCTGAATTTGTACCGTAAACGTTTAATATACAATTTCAAATTATACCATAAAGACAAAAACCTATGGCACCAATACTATATAGTATTGAAAAATTCTTGTTTTCGATGTATTCCAAATCAAGTAATATCCCATTTTGTGATGTATTCCAAATCAAGTAATATCCCATTTTGTAAATGTTTCTGTGTCCCTTTTTCTCCAGCCGACTCCTGCTGTTCGTTGGCTCGGTCGATCACCTGAAAGTCGTACCAACATCACTTACTCAGCTTCAAGAAGAGCTCGCTTCTCAATCTTAATAGGCAACAGACCTTGGATCGAGTAGTGACCATTTTAATGACCAAGCTCCTCCTAATAGATTCTCTGCATGGAAACTCTTAAGAAATAACGAACCCCTCAATAATACAAGCAAGAACGAAGACATCCATCATCAGCATGGTTACATGGGGCCTCCATTATTATATCCAAAACTTAACATATAGCTGGTTACCAAAGATTGGGAAGACCCAAACCCCGACCCCAACCCAAACCCGAACTGCTATTAACCAGCAACACCATCACTGGCACAAAGAAGGAACATCCCGCTCGAATAAGCACAGTTTCCCCATTTTCCAGGCATCATCTTCGTTAGAATTTGACCACTTGAAATGTCAGTACAACATCCCGAGCATTCAAAGGGGACCTGCTGCAATTCTCCACAGCAGGATGCTCCAGTGACGATTATGAGAATTTGAGACCATGATGGTTCTTTCGATCAGCAGAATCTTAATGTAGCCTCAAGCTCCTCCTCGTTCTCGCAGTTGTACCCGAGCATGTACGCCCTTGCTGCACAGTATACAAGAAAATAATGATATCAGGATTCTACACAATATGCTGGCCAATGCATGATAAAGAGTCGGCTCTGAGTACAATGTCGAGTTAATTCAATTACCAAAACGTCCAGATCCCATGAAAGGTTCCGCTTCATCCATCCCACCGAATTGTTGCTGGTCCTGCATAATTCACATAGATAACCCAAGTTAGTTTCGAGGCACAAGTGAACTCTAAGATAAACATCCTCCTCTCTTTCCATTTATACAAAGCAAGATACTTGCTGGGCTGGTTCAGTGAAAAGGTAAGAGGAAAGGATAGAGCCTTTGCTCGGTTAAGAAGGAAGAATGTCAGTTGAAAACCCACAAATTATCAGGAGAAGAAAAGAGGAAAGCAGATGTCTTTATATAGTCTGAACGCTCTAAAGTTCTAGAGAAAGTACAAATTTTTATCTATGCAACTGATAAATAAGTGATGTCTTCATCAAATAGGGTCACATGAGAACAGAAACTGCAAGAAAAGAGAAAGGTTAAGTGCCACTTAGTACTTACGGGCTCCGGCTCCATTTCAGATGGTAACAGCAGCATATCGGAACAACGTCCAGATATTGTACAGACCAAAAGCTCATTTGAAGGGTCAGTAATGACTTCTCTGCAGGTTTCGTCACACACTGGAATGGACCAATTGCCCAATTAAGGACCAAATCATTGAAAAAATGCACCAACAATGTATGTGAAACAAGGTAAACATCTTACCATGAACATTTCCAGTCTTCTCACATACAAACACATCCCCAATCTGGTAGTAAGAACATGTATTGCCTGAGCACCTATGGTCCATGGCCACATCGTCAGTCAAGCCTCGCGTGGTTTTCCATATAGATATCTGATCAGCAACTGTCTTGTCAAGTATTATCCGGTCATCTTTCACCTTCAACAAATAAATAGCCATAACTTTAAGCACTATAACAGTACAAGTTCAGACTCATCCAATGATCTGATATGATCCAAATTGGCCACTTCTACAAGTCACAATTACTTGCCAAAGAAGCTATCAAGGTTGGAAAGAAGAAGGGCAGAATTTGGCTAAGTCAAAATCCGTGTTCGGGGTACATACTTTGGAGGCATGATTCTCTCAATTGGCTTTGTGGAAATTCAATGTTAAGGGTTTTTATTGCAGATAAAGTTTCCATCTTTCCAATGGTATGCTTTGTGGATCCAGATGATGTCATTAAGGTTGTTTTCCAAGGCCTCAAATTTGCTACCTCAAAACTGGAAAACTGCCAGAATTTGGTTAAGGCAGAAACTGTGTTCAAGAAGCCTACTTTGGAGCTCCATTCCAGAAGCATGGATGAGATTCGAGTCCAGAGGCTTATACCACATGAGAGTAGGTATGTTCTACTATAAAGACATGGCATTGGATGATTGGAAGTTTACCTGGAAGGCTTTGATCGAGAGGCTCAAAGATGGCATCAAAGCTGTTTGGTTACTTGGAGCTAAAGGCAGATTTCTTTTTCTTGTTTAGTTAGGATTTCACTGTTTTGGTAGTTTTTTTTATTCCTTTTCGTATTAGACTGTAATTAGGATTTTATGGGACGTGTGTAACCCTAGCTAGGCCTATTTATGCTTTCTATTTCGTTGTAAAACTAAGAGACTTTGATTAATCGAAATTGAGAACCGTTTGGTTTGTGCAAGTTGCGACTTGTTTTGGGTTTGGTGGATTCCAAACTTGCTGAGCTTGTGTATCGATTGAATAGTCACTTCAATCGTGGTCGAGCAACTACCCTCTTATACCAATCGAGCTATCCCCAGGTGTGGATTTGTCCTTTTGGTTCCGCTTTATCCAAGTTCGTATTAAGAACGCTTCGTTCTTGATTCGAGCTCAATCGATTCTTCGATTGAGTCGTTAGCTGCGTGACTTTGATAACATACACCCCCCAGGGGCGTATTATTATCACCCTTCAAAAATAAAAGCGAAATTAACACAGAGCCTATTGTCTACAACTTGAATCAGCAGATGACAAGATACCCCAGGAAGAAGAAGATGACAAGATACCCCAGGAAGAAGAAGTCCCAGCCACCTCCAAGGAAGTAGCATGTCATCGATGCTATACCAGTCCCACACTAAAGATACAAACATATGGACCCGATGTAAGGTAGCAAGCCAAAGATCATGATTCCACAAACATTACCAATGCCTCATGCCCAAATATCAAAGACAGTGAAGTGCATAACCCAGATCAAAGAAACACAAAGCTGATTGACCTATATGGTTGACATTAGAATGAAGAGCCAGTGCTCAAAACTATGCTCTAATAAAAGCAAACCGTTGGTTGATGAGCGACTCAATCAGTCCTATATGCAAGCTTAGCATGGCATCCACAGGACATTGCAGATCGTAGAAGTTGAATTACTCGGTAGTAGAAAAACTAAAAAAGAAAAGGGTGGAATCCTGCCTGGGAAAATCCCATTAACATCGAAAGTGGCATACCAAACAAGAGTCATGAAGAGGAGCTACTCTCAATTAGGTCGGTCCCTCTTTCAAATAAAACTCTGGAACAACTTTGAATCCAAATAACCCAAAAATGTGGCAAACAGACCCTTCAAACAACTTGCCAATGGAATAACAAAGTACTTCATAAAAGAAGGGAAAGTTTTCAGATATCTAGCGGTACCTGTGAAGGATTTGGTGTCTGGCTTCTCTTTGCTGCCTGCATTTGGACATAGTATCGTTTGAACTCAGGTGGGCAGTTACTAAGCAGATTGACAATGTCCTCTTCATCACGCTGAAAAATGTTAAGGCAATGCTTCAGCACTAATTTCATTTGCCAGATTCAATACTTCAAACAATCGCATGCTAAGCAAAGCAGAGGGGGAAAAAACTATCCAAACAGGAGTGTATTATCAACAGAAAAAGGGATCATAAACAAAAGAAACAAAGAGAACGAAATTCAACTGAAGCTCTGTTTTGCATTGACAAATGAAATACAACTTCATAATGTGTTGTCGGCAGGAAAAAAAACTAGATAAATGAAGAGTGCAACCAAACAATCCCTACTTTGGTTCCTTGAATCAATGAGAACAGCAGACATCGAGAGAAACACAAAGTTTGAGAAGAGACTACCTGAATATAAAGCTTCTTCCATGCTCGCTGAGATAAGTTCTTGGTGGGAGGCAATATACCCCAACGCATGCAGTACCTGCAAAATCTCTCACAGTGTCAACTCAAACGATCCAGATCAACACGAGACAGGAAAAACCAGCAGAAAGTTATGAACTTGGGCACGAAATTACTGACAAGCGACGCCACAAGGACTCGTCAGATGCTGCGAGATTCATGAATCTACAAACCCGCGAGCAAGACACAAGATCCTGTTGCCAAAGCACATATTTTAATCTTCTACACATATACACCGTTAGAAACCTAAAAATGAGGGGGAAACATTGCAAAAAGGGGAAATGTAAATTGCTGACCTCAGAAGAAAGAAATTTGAGGATGTGAGGGAATAGCTCGGGAGGAACTACGCTGAATATCCCACTCTCTATCCTCCTGGACCTGATAATCCTCCGTCTATCCCCATTTTCTTCGTCCGCTCGCTCCTTCCCTTTCTCTTTGCGATTGTTTTCTTCGCCCTCATCGACCCGAATTCTCTTCGCTTTAGGCTGCGCTTCGGCCTCTTCCTCATCATTACTATGAAGCTCCTTCGGACCCTCTGCTTCTTCCTGCAAATGTAATGACAATCGAAACCCTTGCCCTCATACGTCCTTAGAGACATTTAAATTATTTACCCACAAGGACATCATTATCGGAGGTGGAAAAAATTAAAGGGAAGCAAGCGTTCATCGGAAAGATGAATCTAAAATCAAACAGAGAAATACCTGATCGGAGAGTTCAGAGAGGACCTCAGATTCCAAGAATTGGGCCAAGCTGTCGTTTTCATCGTCCGATGTCGCCATGATTCAGAAGCAAAAGGACGAGGATTTGGATCAGAAGAAGTGAATTGGTTTGCCGGCGGCTGCCGTGAATTTGAACCGGCGGTGGGGGAATCGGAGACCTTAAAAATGAGTTGTATTAGTAGCGGCAGTTGGGGGTTGGAGGAAGCGATAAGGTAAGTCATTCGATCGGACACTGGGGAAGAGTGACAGCGTAGATATTTTCACCGGGTCGGGTAAAATCATGTCCCGGTAAGTGAGTTAACCCGATAGCCCAGTCTGAACAATAACGACATGACGTGCGATGGACGCGCGTGACCACACCCGTATTTATAAAATGGTTTGATTCGATTTCGGTGTATTTAAGTATTTATCCATTAATGTTGTTTTGTTCAGCGTATGTATATGCAATTGTGTAAATATATGAAAAGAAAACATATTGGGAACTAAATTTTAGAATATTTCTTATCATATTTAAATTTGTGCGTACAAATATATTTGTTAGGATATCCGCAAAATGATTTTATTTGTGAAGATATTGCGGAAACATCCATAAATAAATGTCATAATTTAGTAGGTCATTTCAAATAGTATTGTGATAGCAATGGACCAAATTATGTTATTGGGGAGGTTAGGGTCACATAGAGACGTGACTATGGAGTTGAGATCGATCCAAACAAAGTGATCATAGTAAACTCTGATGATATGACTCTTTATATAAAGTTAACCGATGTGCATAGAGATGGATAGACTCTCTTATTGAGTGCATAACCAATGAACTTAGGGGGAAAAAATAATACACAATCACTTGCACAAGAGCTACAAGGTGTAGCAAGGGGCTAGAGACGACATGGAGTACTTGGCATCGAAAATTTGAACTATAACTAGACTTGACAACAATCGTCCAATTACTTTTTACGAGTGCTCTAATTGACCACCGACACACTAGTCTTTGTTTTGGCCTTCAAGGAGCTTCAGAGAATAGATTTAGAGATTCAAATTGCTCACATCTACAAAGAGGCCAATTATACGGTTGATAGCACACGTATACGTATAGTATAAGTAACTCACTTCTTGGTTTTCGATTCTTTAAAATGAGATCCAATGTAAATCGAACTTTCTATTCATAGTTTCATACATAAACCATACCCAAACAATCTCATATCTCATCCAAACCTATCCAAAAATGAAAACTTTGTCCCATGCGTACTAAAAAAATTGTCCAATATATTATCGACTCATATACCCTACCCATAATCAATAAATTGAGTTGGGTTTCGATAAAATTACCCATGCTGGACAATTATCATACCTAGCAGGCAGTAGCAGAGAGACAAGACGAACTTCAAAGAACTACTTACTGTCATGGCATCATCCACAAACAAGATCCAGATGCTACGGGATGAAGGATTTTTCATCCTATATCTCCCAGTTCTGCAACTATTAAGTTCCCCAAGAGTGACACTCAGACGCTATCACCAACTGGATGGCAGTTGGTATCCCTCATCCAATCAAAATTCTTAATTTTCCATGGTGCCGTCTGAATTCCAGCAACCTGCTTATGGACGAAACTCGAGCAACCTAGAAATCCTACAGAAACCTGAGATGATCAATCACCTCGGACTCGGAGGCTGACAGGTCTGGATCAGAGTTTAGACTTGAGAAGAAATCTTAAGTGAGAATGCAAACCTGAAGGTTCTATGAAACTCAAGCTAGATGCTGCAGTTCTAATACACACGAGAAATGAAGGTTCTATGATCAATCACCACAACCATGAACACCAGAAAGAGAGCAAAAGAAAGCGAGGAAGTAACCTTCTGTTGCAAACAAATATGATAATGTTGATGAATGACGACAAAATCATTCAACATGTGAGCAAGCACGAAGGAACGTGGTTATCCTAGCTCAAGGGAGAGGAGCTCCACGAAAATGTACCAGGACTTCAATGTTTGTTGAACCCAAAACAAGAGTTAAAGATGCGGGGTTTGATATTTGAGATGGGTTTTGCTACATATGTTTCCAAGCTGGAAGACCACTTCGAGGTCTTACGAACGGTGGTGAAGGCAGAAGGCAGGCAGGCATGCTTCAGCCAGATTTAACAAATTGCTGGGAGAGCAGCTTCGCTATTTCAGGGATACCAACTCTTTCCTTGCCAGCCAGTAACGCTTTCAGCTTATCTTCAGTGAAATTATCCTTCTTCATTCCAGGATTCTGCAAAGCATTGCAGGTGTTGGACTAATTCTACCATTTGCCCATCAAGCAGCCAGCTTGAATTGAAAACTGATTAAGGCCACAACTCAAATCCCTCCATTCATGAATTATGACAGAGACCAATTATCATGCAAATCACGAGAGAATCTCACAAAAGCGCTCTAAGAGACATTTTATCGAACACTTGGCCGACAGCTCAAAAGTTCTAGACAGACTACGAAGAAAACAAGAGAAAGAGACGGGGAACGGACCTGGCGATTGTTGAGCTTGATAAAACGGGAGATGAGCTTGGAGAGATCGGAACGAGTGGGTTCAGGAATCCCAAGGAACTGACCCAACTGAGACGAAGAAGGTGGGGTGACCTTGGCTTTGATTTGGGAATTTACAATGCTTCCTTTCGATGCGTACGCCGGGTGCTGCACCAATGCCTTCTTCAGCATCTTTCCTACCGCCATTGTCTCGCTTCTTCTCTCCGTCGAACCGCCGTGTTCGGTGGGCTTCTGCCGCCGCAGCTCAATTTTTCGGGTCTAAAAGAGGATGCCTGTCAGGCGAAACTCGGGTAAGACGTCCAGTCCAGTTCGCAGATTCAGTAGTTGCTCCAGCTGCAAGATCTAGAAGAAATTTTAGTGGTTCAGTTGGAGGTTTGCATACTCATCCTCTTAGTTCGGAAATTTTGCATTTAGATCCACCTCAATTCTTTATTTGTATTTTCTTTGAACAAGATTACTGTTAGGGGTTATTTGGTTTTGGTGATTATGTGGTTGAGATAGTTACAATGCATGTATGATGTATTTTTGTATTTTCTGCACAAATAATACATGCATTGTTTGCTTTAAATGACACAAACTATTACTCAAATGAGTGATAGTTAAATCTCAATTTTTTTTGAGATTATTGAGATGGTTTGATTGGGCTTAGGATAGGGGGAACGGATCAGGTCACTAACCTTATGGTCAGTAACCATGAGTAACTTGTCCACATCAGCATGACATCACTATCCCTCTATCTCCTGGAATGTCTCTTATCTTTTCTCCTTTAATCTTAACGGACGATTTCTCTCTCGTTTTAAGTCAATTTTTTTTTTTTGCACAGATAAATCAGATTAAATGTGCTATTGAAAATGATATCCACTTTTATATATTTTTAGTACAAAAAAAATTGAATACTTTTTTACCAGTCATTACCATATGGTATGCTCATATTTAATACCATATGGTAAGAAAGCGTATCATGATGATATGAACATACCAATATGGTAAGAAGGTTGAATACATGATAGTAGGAGTATACTAAATGCCATTTACGACTTTCATCATTGTTTACCACAAGTTACCACCCACATACCATAGTGGTAAAGTATGATAATTTTTGGTCGAGTATTTTTTTCACCCATAAATTTGTAGATCCAATAGATCATGATAAACTCATTTCTTCTGAGTAAACGTTTTCAAAAACGACTTAAAAACGAAGAAGTTACTATATGGTATGTAGTTGGTAAAAAAAATTTCTCGAAATATATTGAAAATTGATCTCATTTTGTATAGCACAACGAACTCGTTCCATCTGTTCAAAAAAAATTGAAATCCGAGTTAGAACGAAGACGATTAGAGTCGATTAAGAAAACTAGGGAAAATAAAATGTCTTTAATTGACAACCCTTAAATCTGAATTTTCTGGATCCACTTAAATCTAAAGGGTCAGATGTAGTTACTCATAGGTCAGGTAAATCTGTAGCCATTATAACCTAGATCGTCCAAGCCTGAATTTATGAGACATGAGTGGAACTCATCCATTCCCCTTGTATCAGCTATACGACCTCCCTTCTTTTCTGTCTCGAGCAAGACTTGATTGAAGTCTCCTTCGCAAATCCATGGGCCACTCCATTGATTAGCCAGTCGGTCTAATAATTCCCAGGTCTACCACTTATCCTGATCCTTAGGCCATCCATAGATGCCCGAGAATCTCCATATGTCCCCATTGTCTTCTATTACTTTTGCATCAATATGATGCAGCGATGCTGGCATTACCGTAACCTGGACTCCCTCTTTCCACCACAAGCTAATTCCTCCTCCTCGTCCACCCTGAGATCTATCTATAGACCAGCTCTCGCCCCTCCTATTCCAATTTACTTCTGGTGCGCTTATTTTCATCTTCAGTTTGTTTTGTTTCCATAAAGAAAACAATATGTGGGGAAGTACGTCGTAGTAACGACTATAAAGCTCTAACTGCCCGCGTTTTCCCCAAGCCGCGACAGTTGTAGCTGAGGATCCTCATCTATGATCTGAAGGGGATCGGTTCCCCGCACCATTTTTTCCGGGAGTGGCCTTAAACTACGATACACCAATTTTCTTATATACATGTATTTATTATGCATGCATTGATAACAATGCATCAATGTAACTATCACCAAAACCAAACGACCCTTTAATTTTATTTTGTCAAAAGATCACTCTTATTACCGAGAAGTCACACGGTTGAAAACAACCATAAAACAAAATCTAACCCTACTAAAGAAAGAAACATAGAAAGGGTTTTTGTTGTCATCAAATGTACAACCCTATTAGTATTACAATCCCTACAAAACTACTTATTTAGATATTTGTAGTTTTCCTACTATGATTTATCGCTATCTAAATAAATAATATTAAAATTACAGTATTTTTTTATTGTGCAAATTACCGTATTATTACACCCATAATTATAATTTCTCAAATTTCACACACCATTTTATTGTAATTTGTTTGTAAATTTTAACATCTCCCCGCTGGTTTGCAAAACCACAACGCAAAGAGTAAAGAGTTCGTCTTCACTCTTCACTCTTCACTATTCAGCCATTGTCAAAACTCAAAAAATGGAAAAATGAAATTTCTGAATGCAACAAAAAGGGAAATGGGGGAAGCGACATACGCATGCTCTGCATGGCGTTCGTACGGACTACGGAGTGTCAAGGATCTTTGCTGGCGTACTTGCAACTTGATATGAATCCCTCTTCCGTCATTGGAATTGTTCATCATGCCTCGAGACTGCAGTTCTAATTCCTATTTCAGATCGATTTAAATAGCGATAACCAATTAGAGATACGGGATGATCTAGGATTCTAGGTCAGCTTCTAAGTCTCCTTTCCTCCTCCTACTTGCAATTTTTGAAGATTATGCTACATGATTTGTCCCTCGATTCTTGATTACAGGTTTTGAAGCTTTGCAAGGAACAGCAGCATTTTGCAAAGGTCGCTAGACAGCTCAACCGCCAGCAAACAAGCTCGGAAGACCTGGATATTGTGGTATTTCGTTTCTGCTCTGTTGTAGTACTTAGTTTCTTCTTGCCCTTTTAACTTCAGCCGTGAATTGTTTTTCATGATCTTATGTCTGTGGTTCTGTGCTTTCTGGTTGCGTCACCTGCCCTGATTTTGACTGTCAATTATGGTGGGCACTTAGGTCTTAATCATTTGTTGGTTCAATTGCTCAATTATCATCATCAGTCAAACCACAATTCTAGGGTTTTCGGTTACTTTTACTAATGTCTATCATTGCCTGACCCATGGGATTAAGAAGAATCACAGGATTATCTACACGTCTTCGACGCGTAATTGTTGAAGTTTAAACCGGCTTTATCTCTTGTCTAATCATAGTTGAGTGCTTCACTTAAGTTAAAAAGGTGAGTTGTGTTGCTTCTTTTCTGTTTGACAGTTTACTGCCTATCACTATCAATTGTTCCAGCTTACCTATTGATTCCCAATTAGTTACTTCTTTCTCTACTTGGTCCTGCCCATCTTCCTGGCCTTATGGCAGTCCCCTTTATCCTGTGAATTTGTTGTTGATGCATCGAATGGAAGCCATTAGAGTAAAAAAGTGACTTTTTGGCTTTGAGAACAATTCCTGCCTCAAAACAAATGTTCAGAGAACAGTTCTACAGAATAGTTGGAGGACAATGTCCAAACACTTTATGCTTTTCCTCCTTTACCAGCAACATGAGATGTCCTTGTTACATCCGTATCTTATATGCTTATTCCGGTATCAATATGCCTAAGTTAGGATTATGAGATCCAAGTATGACAGATAGGTCTGACCATCCATTAACTGGGAGGAAAAATTCACCAAAATCTTCAGACCTTGGTCCCCAGCCTACATCTAACATTATTTCTCCGTTGAAAGACGAGAGAACTCTTCAAAGTGTCTTTCTTCTAGAAGCAAAGCATTGCTAAATTCACCTCAACTGTACTCGATGAAGTGCAAAGTATGCAATGAGTCGATAACCTACCAACATCAAGGCCATAACACACACATCCATCCACAAATTGTTCAGCCCCATTGATTTGATCGCAGGATAATCTCCAACCCGGCACAGGACTCCCTTGGAACACTCATAGTAATCATCTTCTTTGTATTGGACTCCCAGTAGAAGCTTGTAGCAGTAGTAGCTGTAGCTCAAGTACTTAAGCCAAACAATGAATGGAGGTATTTGTTGCACGTAGTAACCACCAGCAATGAGGAAGACCAGAGTTGTAACTGATGCCAGTGTCGTGGCTTGTTTTATGTCCATAACAATAGCACCAATGGCTAATCCTAGACTTTGGGAGACCAGGACACTGTAGAGAACCACAATCAGGGACAGCACGAAAGTTATGGGATCAGGTTTAAGCCCACCCATCCAATAGATTATGAAAACAAATGCTGTAGGGAGTGCAAGGTCCAATGGCAGGTCTCCGAAGGTTCTGGCTAGAAAGTAGGACGAGAGATGATACATTCCAGATGCCCGCTCCTTGATCAACATTCTCCTTTCTTGGGGAAATGTGAAAACTGCATTGTAGAGAGGGTAGAAGCCCCAAAATACCGAGAAGAAGAACAGCAATGCTGTCTGCATATGAAGGCAAACACACATCAGTATATAAGAGAAACTACAACCATAAGTTTATAAATCCCAGCTATCAGCGTGCAACTAGAGTTATATGGCTGGGGCTCCAAGCTTCACTAAAAGTATATGAATATTGATACATTATTGAAGTTCAAAGCATTCTATTGAACCTCAGTCAATGGTAGCAGTCATAAGATGTACTCAATTGTATGTTGTAGAGTGAATTCTTACTCGGTCCCCAATGTGAGATGTCGGGGTTTGCCACCAGAGGAGCCCGCCAAGTACTGCAACACTGATGACTTGGAAAATTCTCAGCCTGTTGAATGATTCAAACCGCCGCTCCCTCAAGCCCCTCTGAAATAGCACCTTGAACTGATGCCACCAGCTTGTAGACCACTCCTCTGAATTGGTATTTTTTCCTATACATTTTATACATGGTTGAATCTTAGAATCCCACTAGAGAGAGGTTGAATTTTGAGACAAGGGATACAAAATACTTTATACTTACTTGCAGGGGTATCTTTTATGTGGCTGAACCTATTGACATCCAGGTTGCAAAGCTCCGCTTTTAGAGTTGTTGAAATGTTCCTCTCGTAAGCAGAAATTAGAGTTTCCTTCACCAGCTTCTGTTCCTTTTCCATGTTCTCACCTTGCTCACCTCCATTCCTATCAGGAGCAATACCTGCAATTTAGTTCCAAGTGTAAGATCCTTTGTAATTGACAAAGAATTTTTTATAAGAATAGGAAAAAATCAAGCTAGGAATTACCATGCTATGGATAAAAGTAAGTAGAGAAAGAAATAGAGCACTTCAAAAATTACCATTGGCGAGATCAAGTAAGAGATCAGATGGATTGACAGTCATGGATGTGGAGAAACCGACGGAGGAGAAGTATTCCAAGGCAGCAGAGGCAGGACCATAATAGATTGGAGATCCCTCAGAGAGCAAAACTACCTTATCAAACATGTGGTACAATCGGCTTGAAGGCTGGTGAATGGTGGTAACTACTGTTCTTCCCCCTTCAGCTAACCTTTTGATCGTTGTAAGAATTCGCTGAGCTGTGGTTGAGTCCAAACCTGATGTAGGCTCATCTAGTAGTAGTAAGCTCGGGTTGATTAGCATCTCTTGTCCTATGCTCACCCTCTTCTTCTCTCCTCCTGATATTCCTCTAAACAGTGGGCCACCTATCATGCTGTTTCTGCAGCGAGTCAATCCCAACTCAATGATCACCTGTTCTACATGCTGGGCTTTCTCTTCCCAGGTTAAGGTTTTGGGAAGCCTTAACAGTGCAGTGAACATGAGAGTTTCATTCACAGTTAGATGTGGGTACAAAACATCATCTTGGGCTACAAACCCTGTGCGTCGCTTTATGACGCCAGAAAACGGCTGCCCGTTGTATGTGATCTTTCCTGATAATTTACCATTGAGCCGGCCTCCGAGGGCTGTGAGGAGGGTGGTTTTACCACTGCCTGATGGGCCTAACATAGCTAGGATCTCTCCAGGGCAAACCATTCCTGAAATTCCGTTCAGTATAGTTTTCTCTTTACCGTGCCATGTACCTCCCCAGCATGATCCTTTCTCTTCCCGTTTAACTTTGTAGACCACCTCCTCAAACTGCAAAACGTAAGCAAGGAGATATTGCATAAATCTCAAGTGATACTCCAAAGAAGTTAACTTTGTTGAGAAAGTTCTATCTGAATTTGTTTTGATCTGTGATAGTCCTTGTAGCAAGTAAGAGAGATAATAATATGATGTATTTGAATTTAGGTGAGAGAGAGAGTGGGAGTGACCTTCAAAGCTATGGGAAATACTCTGAGTTGGATGACAGATTGTGTCTCAGGTGGTAGTGGGTAGGCAATCACAGCCACATTACTTGGTTCATTCTTCCCTGACAGACTTTCTCCTGGGGCTTTGCTCTCATACTCTGGTTTTGGTGCAACACAGTTGACAGGCATGGTACTGATAATTGTTATAGATGGTTTCTATGAGCAAGAGAAGAAGTTGTTTAACTTGGCTCCTAAACTGAACTGGGGCGCCCAAATATATAGTGGAGGGTACAAATCATGCTAAGTCTGATGTAGGTGGGACCCTCATTGCTTTTTTCTTTTCTTTTCTTTCTGAAAATATTCTGTCACTAACTCTTAGTTATATTTATTTTCATCTCTTCATGAGTTCACTTTAATTCCATCTTCTTTCTCTACCTGACATACAGTACACATCTGGCCATGGTGGCACATAAAGCATTCAGAGCTACTTGCTTTTAGACTTCTATGACTGGAAATGAGGCATGCCACTATGCCAGTGTTTATTTTTAGGAAGTGAGAAATTAAGCATGCCATTGATAGAGGATCAATCATCTGTAGGAATCTATCCCTATGCACAGCAATGCTTTTTCTTTCTTTCCGTTTGGAAATATCATACCTCCACAATGAGGCAAATCAGTGTGCTGCAATACACTGCCGATTTGGTGTCACAAGTCACCTTTGGTGGATGTTTACCTTTGTTTTTTAGCTGCTTCTGGTGCACATGCGTGCTTCACAAATAGTTTTTTGGGTGCTTGTAGAATTGGAAAAAAAGAGTTATTTTAGGTACTGCCTGCTAGACAAATGATGCTGCTCGCCACTGCTTCACACAAAATTACGTAAGATTGTGAAGCAAGTGGGAACTTGCAATGGCTGTGTATTTCAGCACCTCAAGGTTTTGGAGGTCATCAGGTCATGACAAACAACACATGCTTTGCATCTGAATCCTGCATGTTATTATGTGAATCCAAGTTAAACTTGCCAATGTTTGTGGTGCGTATCAGTTTACACAAAACTTCTTATGTGGGGTTTCGCTGTTAATAAACGTACCTGTCGTGCAGGGATGATTTGTGCATCACATCAGTCCTTTTTGCAAATGGCCTCATGCTTTGGTGATTTGGTTGCCGAGAATCTGTATCATATCTCCCTATGTCGTTTTCGACCTGCAGTCTTATTCAGGTAATCCTTTGATTTTGCGTCAAATGTATTGGATTCCACTCCTTTAAAAATTCATAAAAAATCAAATATGACCAATTTGTGAATTATAGTATAAGTGATCTTCGCTTTGAGGGAATTGTGTTCGACCGTGCTTAAGTAGAGTATTAAATTTATGGCATGACAAAAACAAACGTTTATCTTACATTGTCCAAAAGTCTGGCTGCATTATATTCTTCCATTTAGGTGACTTCTTGAATGCTTTCAATCTCCCAATTCGTATTTTGTTCATAAGAGGGAAAGTTTAATGTCACAGTTGATTTCTATAACATCAAACATAAAAGTAGATTCAAAAGGAAGACTCATCTTCTTTTATCTTTTTTGAGCTCTAAGCATATTATTATTTTCTCTTGCTTCACAAAACTTATCAGTTCGTGCACTCAAAAGTTCCTTTATGAAACTCATGTACAATTTCATGAAAGCAACCCTTAGAGCTAAGGGAAGTTGAGTTATTTTCACATGTTTTCTCTCAGTAGTCCAAGGACAGTGACATGACCCATCTCATGTCATGTTGTATTAATTTTCGATTTTCGGGACCATTTCAAGTCATTCACAGAACTTGAGAAAAGAGAGGCGAATCTCTTAGTTTTCTGCACATCTACTGTCGTTCTGTACATGAGTTTCTCACTTGAAACTTCATCCTTTTGTTCTTTGTTCTGATTCCTCCTCTGTAGGATATATATTTATATAATGCTGCGCCAAGTTAAATTATACAGCAAAAATGCCATTATAGCCCATTCATACTCTGTTAACCATGAAAGTCGCGTTGTCTCTACGAATGTGAGGTATATCCTTGCTTTAACAGGAGGATTTTTCTCTCATCTTTATACCTTATCTCACAGCACACAAGTTATGAGCATATGAACAAATAATCAAGTAGGGGCCTGGGGGATTTGCCAAAATTAGAAGTAAAAGGGTGGACGAGGGGTTGCTTTCCTTTGTATAGTGAAGCCATTAGCCGACATATTCTTATATTCCTTCTAAAAGTTTGTGTCTTTCGAGTTCTGGCGTTCCAGTACTGTAGTTTTCACTTTTCAACATTCGTATCGCCGAAATTAGATATGAGTAGCATTGCATGCCTATGTATATTAATAATCAAATAGAAGATAGAGAAGAAAAATGAAAGTGGAGATAGGGAGAGGGGAGTTAGATGCTATAAGCATAAATCTTAGACGTATTATTCCCTCCTTTATCTCTCACCTCCTTTGCACTTGGTTATTTTCATATTTTGTATATGAGAGTGCAATGATTAAAAGGAGAACCCATCACTTGGATTCCAATTTCAGTCCAATTCAAAAATAAAAACAAAAATTATCGAAGCATCATTTGTTGCAGAGCATTGACACAAGAAGTGTGGTTGTGCATGGGACCCTTTTGAGTTTTGATCATTCTTTGTTTTATAGATCTTGTGAGTCATCTATGGCCTATGGGGGCTACTTGGAGTCCCTTTGGGTGCGCATAATATATGAGTGCTTGGCTTCTTTCTATCCTACCCTCCACCTCAAGTTGCATTATATATCTCTGTGTGTGTTATTTAATATAAGCATTCTGGGAGTGATTTCGGTTCCACTAGGGCATGCCAGACCACCCACCCCACTCTCTGCTTTATGTTTGGTTCAATTTTTCTCTCATTTGTTTTTGGCCCGATTAAAATCGTATTTACTCTTGTCATTCTTTGAATTCTAATTTCCCTTATGGCTCCAGATTCCTGTCTGGTATTGATTCGCTTTGCTTTTTATCGCCACAGTTTCTGTGATGCCATTTAACAGTTAAAGTGTTCTCCGTGTAGGAGTAAGATGACGAGGTTTGAAATTCCACTTAATTATCTTATATATAATATTAGATATATTCAACTATCATTACCAATCATTGAGCATTGGCTGCTCACAATTCTTATTCTTTGTGCTCAGTTGACTGATTAACTTAATCTTGAATCAGGTATAGTATTCTTGTGGGTCATTGGCGGCACTGGAGAATAATGATTCATTTTGCATTTTTGTTTAATTGTTTTCATCACGCTCTCTTGTTGAACTGTTATCGTGGAGTTCGAACGTCTACTCTTGAATGAGCCGTGAATTAGTTGTGAGCTTTATGTGGTCTTGAATTGTCTAGCCATTTCTGCACAAATGAGAAAAGGAAAGGTATCAAACTCAGCGATCATAGGTTTTTTTATAACTTTTGTCTTTTGATATGATAGTAATTCAATCAGAAAGCCTTTATCTAGGTGATGCTGAGTTCAAGGCTGGAACATACACGTAGATTTGTTGTGTTTATTAATACTAGGATTATGTTTGGACCTTGATAGATAATGGGTGATACTACACAGCAAGGTTTGAACATAGGTGAGTATAACAGTATGAGATCAGGTAAATCCTTGGTTGAGTATCACCTATCATCTAGAGAGCAGTTCGGCTCTCCCCTCGATCAAGGAGTATCACCTAATATTATCGATCTATATGTCCACTATCATGTCTGTTATCTGGATAATTGTTGGCTGGAAACTGCAAGGATTTACCAGATGATCCTTGGTCAAGGATCACGAGTGTGGAAGAAAGTGATTAAAGCAACTAATATAGCTCAATGCTCGATAATGCCCCATCATTTAATTTGTGGTGGGAGAACTGGAACCCAAAAGGACCTTGTAGCATAGCTTGGTACTGCAGAGGGGAGAACCCAAACTGAAGTGAGGAAATTATAATGTTGTATGAGTCTGAACAAGGTAGGAATCTGGTCTTGGCCTTTACCCCTCCTTGAGTTCTAGTGCCTGATCTCAGCTTCAACTTGGAACAGTACCAATAATATAAGGATTTCTACAGCAGGGAATGTGATTTCTACGAAAGTGGACTAGTGGCGCTTAGTCTGGACTAATGAAGATTTCTCTTTATCACCATTAACGTGCTTTTTTTTATATATCGTTTGGGTTTGCTGTGCAGGCCAAACAAGCTATGAATGACGGTTTGAGGGGGTCAGGAATACACAGGCTCCCCGGGGACAATACTGCAGAAATGATTTGCGCAGCATATCGGTAAGCTATACTATAGCTGTTTTAATTCTGGATGCAATGGTAGATCCATATTTTCCGGGGGTGTATCACTCTGTGTCCAGGAATCGAGTTGAGCCAGTATTAGATCGGAAAATGAATACAGAGATTATATCAAAGCAATATGCAATCAAATAGTCTTTTGGTCTGGTTACCTTCTGTTTCACAATCTTGAGTTAGATGACTGAATCGACAACCGAACAACTTTATGTTGAGAATTAAATCCAACTCGAATTGCACATCGCTTTGGGTTTGACGGGTGCCTGGTGCTCGTTCATCCTTGCTGAATCAAGAAGCTATGGTAAGAAAACATGAGGGCTGATACTTCTATGTGGTCATATATCATGTTAGGTTCCAGTGTTTGTTGGTTGCTTCGTGGGTACATTCAACTTTGTAGATTTTTACATTAACAGTTTCTGGCTAGAAATTTTCTTGTTTTGAAACAGCTTGTTTATATTTGTGTCACAAAAGTGGCAAGGTATGTTAAGTGTGTATATTTATATTTATTTAAGAAAAGAATACGACTAATGTAAAAAAGAGTATAACTAATTGGAAAAATGTAAGAGGGCCGAACATACTTGTTTGAATCTTTTTCTGACTTTAGTTGAGAAAGGCAAACTAATTTGTTTTGTACCTTCCAAAACAAAGTAAGGTTCTTTTTAATATGTTGAGATTTTGCATTCTTTAATTATAATAACAACCCTACCCTTAGAGTCGGCTTAGTACAAAACAAACTAATGAACCTAAACATGACACTTATGCACGTTTTGAAAGCCTAGTGCAGAGAGCAGAGGCACTAATGACAAATTACTTTGGGGGTGAGTTTTGGAGGTTTTTTAAAATAATTATTATTTATGTCTATTATTAGGTGGCCCTTGCTAGCTATAGTTGCTTTTCATTTGGGTCGTTTTTCAACTTTTATTCTATCCTTTTGTTTTATTAATTCAGCGTTTCAGGCTGAGTGCTTAGAATATATTAATGACGGCCTAATCCTTTTTTTATGGAATAGTGACGGCCTAATCTAATAATATCTACCGAAATAGAAAGGTACAAGCTATATTAGTATACTTCCAAAACCGTTATTTGGTGTGACTGAGTTAGCTTTGCACTAGAACTTGACTTTGAGGGCTCGACATTGTCAGGATATGTATTTTAATATTATCGCGAGAAGATCAATTGTTTTATTTTAGATGACAGTCGTGATTTCATCAATTATTGAATGATTTTTTTGAGATATATTCATTATTCAAGGAGATGGTTGGTATTAGTGTCCATGAATATATTTGTAGAATGGTTAGTTTACTTTTTAAATAATATCAAAATAAAACGTTATTTTACAGATAAATTTAAGGAAGAAAACTCCATGATTAAAGATATTAAAAAATTACCGAAAGACAAAAATAACCTAGGGTTAGTGCCCTTCCGTTCCGTCTAAAACAAAAATATGCCGTCACATCGACGTGGGAGAAACCGATAAATCTAGGGTTGCCCTTGGAGAGAGGATCCAGTGACTAGGGGAGGTGCTTAGTCACTTGACTAAGTTCCTCCCAGACCTTAGATCTGGATATAGCAATCTGATGGTTAAAAAGTGGGAAGAAATATTTAATTAATGACAGGGGTAGTTTGGGTATTATGAAAAATTACGAAGTATACAAACCGGACTTACAATCAGTACAAACCATACAAACATACAAACAGTACAAACTAGAGCGTCAAAACATATAAACAGATTTACAAACATTACAAACATATGAAATGGACAAAAAATACAAACTAGACCGACAAACAATACAAACCATACAAAAAGAAAAAACAATCAGGTTGACTTTGGAGGCTCTATCCCTATATAGAGGGGCTCCTTCCCAAAGTCAACCCGGGTGTTTTTTAAACATACAAACATAGTGGACAAAAATGACAAACTAGACCAAAAATTCATACAAACTGGAAAAACATCCGGGTTGACTTTGGAGGCTTCATCCCTATATAGAGGGCTCCGTCTCAAAGTCAACCCGATTGTTTTTTAGACATACAAACATTACGAACACGGTGAAAAAACACCCGGGTTGACTTTGGAGGCTCCATTCCTATATTGAGGAGTTCCATCCAAAAGTCAACCAGGTTGTTTTTTTAGACATAAAAAACATAACAAACATGGTTGACAAAAATGATAAACATGGTGCACAAAAATAACAAAGTTTACAAACATTACAAAAAAAAAAAAACGACAAACATTACAAAATAACAAAGCGTACAAACAATACAAAATAAACCGACAAACAGTACAAAACATACTAACCGTACAAGATGTCACTAAAAATGACAAACAATACAAACTGAATCTATACAAACATTATAAAATAGGTAAGCAAACATCACAAATCCAACACTATCGTCGGGAAATCCTTCTCCGTCGTCGCTGTTCGCCGGAAAAGTTTCCTCCGGTCGATGTAAAACTCTCTCTTTCCCTCTCTCTCCTAGGGCAACAAATTCCCCATGAATCATGAATAATTCCCCTGGGGCAACAAATCCCCTTGCCGGCAAAAGGGAAGGGACGTCGGGGAATTGTTTCTGCCGGTGTCCCATGAATCATGAATAATTCCCCTGGGGCAACAAATCCCCTTGCCGGCAAAAGGGAAGGGACGTCGGGGAATTGTTTCTGCCGGTGTGAGCGAGAAAGGGAAGGGGGGGGGGGGATTTTTGGCTGGAGTGGGATTCTTCGCCGACAAATTAGACACTGAGACGCGAGGGAAATTTTCGACCGAGGGAGAAACGCGACAGAAATATAGAATTTTTTAATTAATTAATAATTGATAATTAATAAAGCTTGCAGTTACTATATTATCATTCATTAAAATGGATTAATCTGAGCCATTAAATTTTAATGAGGTGGAAGGGCTGAGATTCACTTAGTCACCTGATCTTAGCCTTGGAGAGAGAATGTCATAACGGAGTTGGGAAGCTGACACATGGCAAGCACTCAGGCTCCCAATAAAATTATTGCTGGAGTGGGGGAGGGCCCGATTGGACTATGGATATAGGGGCTGGGTATGGTGGGGGCCCGTCAGTTTGTGCGGTCTGAAAAGGTGAAAATAGATTATGTTTACACCCAATTTGGATCTACCAAATCATATAGTTGGAGAGGCCCATTCCTTATTGGGCCCACTCGCCCACTCAGCACGACCCTTTCTTTTCTCTGGACAAATATGTATATAAGTATATTTTATACTATATTAGCATTTTTTTTTTCTTATACTGTTTTTTAAACTGCGTGTAAGTAAATCAAAATTATTTTAGATAAAATGCAGAAATTTTCCAATTAATAGAAGCCATAAAAAGTATTTGATCGAACAATATTATGGTTGATTTTCAATCTAAAGATTTTAAGTTTAAATCACAAATCAATTTTCTCTTTTCTCAACAGAAATCCTTCAATAGCATGTAAAAAATCATTAAAATTACCGACCTCATTTTCAAGTACAATCATTTTTTTTTGTTACTTTTATATATATTATCGTTTGGAATCTGTAGCTTTCTATCCTTTATGTTCCTCACTTGTGCAATAATTTTATACTTTATCAGTAACTACCTTTAACCGATTTTTTTCCAGCACAAAAATAATCTTCAATCGACTTTTGTTACATCTAAGGAATTGATGGTCTTCTTTCTTTCTACCCTTTCGAATATTATAAGCTTCTACCTATGCTTTTCGTTTGCTTCCTTTCAACAGACTTTATTGATTCTTATATTTTCTTTTTACTAGAAAATCAAAGTTTGCTGTAGGCAGAGCAGGATCAGGTCATTAAAGCAAATTGATAACATTAATAACGATAACATTCATTAATACGAATGTGTACGTAAGTAATTAGTGGGCTCCCTTAATTTTTGGCGAATTTTACGAGATATCACTTATTTCATTATGACTTGCATATTCTTAGTAACAACAAAAAATTATTTAGATCTTGAATTGATCGAATTTCGAGACATGATAATATATCATAATTCTTAAAAGTTAAAATCTTGGCCTTAGACACAAAGATCAATTTAATTAGAAATAGTAATCAATGGTAATGATTCGTTGAAATATTTGCATCATCTTAGAGTTTTTTTTAGAGAGTTTTTTTAAAAGGAACCATCTTAGAATTTATGATTTTATGATTCAGATAGTTAGGATCTAGGGTTCACTCGTTAACAGTTAGGTTATGATATTATACCCTAAAATCTTGTTAATTTGATATCTAAAAAGTCAAAAGAAATAAAAAGGCAAGGAAATAAATAAATAGGCTTTAAAGGATTCATCATAATTGCATAGTAATTATTGTTTCAACATTCATTAATTGTAATTATTGGCCCAATCATTAGCTTGAAGAACAATGTAAGCACTACGCATCGGTCACCAACAAAATTACCGTGGACGTCGATCTGATCTCTCCAATCTGTACTTTGCATTTCTCATCTCCATTTACTCACAATACATAGTTATTCACTTATTCCATTTTATATCCCACCCACAGCAGATGGAAGAAGTGTTAATCCATTACCAATAATGTTGTTTTCCTCCGATAATATCAACAAATATCCAATTAAATGGCTGTGAGAATAATAGAGGCGAGAAATGAATTGTATTGGTGGATTTTATGAAATAAATGTATTAGTAGATTTATTTATTGGATTTATAGATCCAAATGATATCTTAATGTTGCACTGATAATAAAAATTTTAAAAAGTTAAGGTATTAAAATGTTATCATAAAAAATTTAGATACCAAAATGCATTTTCAAAGAAAAATTTTCCCAAAAAAATAGAAGTTTAGTTATCAAATTGAAATTATAAAATATGCAGGTACTAAACTATAATTTTTCAACAATCCATGAATCCGCAAATTAATTGCATTTTGGATTAAATGGATTGGATATGGGACTATCAACACCCTTCTCCAAGGTTTAGATTCAATAATGGAACGCTTAATTCTTATAGCCTCCTTGCTCTAAGTCTTGGTGTTGTCATAGTCAAATTTATGTGACCATGAATAGAGATAAGAAATAAGAGACGTCTCAATAAATTTGAAGTTTATATAAGTTTGTCATACTTTACGTTTCAGTCAACTATGAATAGAGAGGAATCATGAAGATTCAAATAAAAGACGTCTCAATAAAAACTCTAATACTATATCAAAAATCATTTAGTCTTTCAGAAAACAGTTAGTCCACAATAAAAAAAAAAATAATCTTATCTCTCACTTGTAAGTTGTAAGTAAGGAGAGCTTATCTCATGGTAAACCGATTAACATCCGGTAGTTGAACAAAAAACAGAGAATCATAATTGAAATGATTGTGGGGTGAAGTTGGAAATGGCTTAGTTGCCTTGGAGGAAAGCATGCGCATTGCCCATCTCTCTCTCTCTCTCTTACAACTATCTCGACGTCACCATGAGCAATCTCCAACTCTGCATCTGATCCCAAATCTCCCAGTTCTACTTTTTAAAGATTGAGATGTTGCACTTGCACTTGCACACTCGATGATGCCAACATGATTGTGCCCTTAGAACTTATAGAAGCGACTTGGGTGAAAAGATAACACATTCATATTGTGAGAGCCAACCTTTTTGCTGTTCAATTCCGATTAACCAGAGAGCATGATATGATACAAACAAACACTTCTCGACAACTCAGCTCGTGCCCCTGTTTTTTTCCTTCTCCTCTGTTTTCACTTCTTACAAGAACAATAGGAGTTGATTGTTTATTGGCTGGATTACAGTGTGTTGTAGTGGTTCTCCGATCTGTTATATTAGTTAAAAGCTGGAGGCAAGTGTTGAATCCTTTAATCCACCATTGTGCTCATATTTGAAATGATTATGGATCTTGAAATTGTGTAGCAAAGTTATTGAGTGGGTAGAATGGGTTTTTAAGTGTTTGTGATAATGTAAAATAGGGTGTGAGCCTTTGGTGCAGTAGATTCCCACTGATGAAGTAGTTTCTCTTTTATCCCGAGGATGAGCAAAAATAGGACTTTTAAGAAACGATTCATTAGTTTTCTATAAATAAGCGGTTTATGCTCTACATTTTTGTTTAGCAACTCATTAGTCACCAAAGAGAAGGAATAAAGAAAAATATAACATTTCGCTATATGGTATGGATGTATTGGTGTGAAGAGCGTTCGGAGAAAAATATAACATAAAGCCCTCTTATCGGGAGTTCGACTATTGGTCGACTCCCGCGCTTTACTTGACTCCTTTATTTGACTCTCTTGTTACTCCTACTTTTGAGAAGAAAAAAAAATATGGAGATCAAATAGTGATCTAAAATTCATACATTTTTTTTTTTCCGATTAGTGGCTTGCTGTATCACCCCTACAGAAGTCACAGCTAATACTAGGAGGAGTCGAATGCAAGCAATGATCAATCCTTTTCTCCAACCAAGCCAACCTTCTCTCCAAACCCAACACCGCAATGTGCATGATCCTAACGTCAACGCCTGCAACTTTGGCACAAGAACGCAGCAAAATGTAGTAATCTGCATGTGCAACGTATCTCAAAACACCCTCATCCTGTTTTCTCGTGTACTGAAGGTAACCGGATTCCTTAACCTTAACCCTTGGTGGGATGTAGCAGAACCGATCGTCCTCCATGTCGGACTTCAGTTTTCTGACAGCAGCTTCTTTGGAAGGATTGCCATTCTTACGATCCTGCAGTGCTCTCTCATGACCCATCTCCCTGAATTTCCTAGTTGCTGACCGAGTAGCTGACTGAGTTGAGACATCACTGGCATCATCACTTCGTGATCTTTTCGGGTTAAATGTGTTGCCTTGCGTTCCAAGGTCTTCCTCTGCATTCTGATAAGAATCCCACAACTTGTCTTTCAGTTCTTCTATCTCCAACTGATCACTGTGGGAAGATGACCAAGCTCCTGCAAATACCATGTCCTTGCAGTACCGGAGATATGATGTCAAGTCTTTTGTAAATTCTGCAGGCACAACAAACACCAGAAGATCGAACCACTTTCCAAGATAATAGAAAGTTAGACACTCAACAAATGCAAAAAATGGTTACCACATGGTTTTTCAATCTCATTGTACTCTGCCTCAAGGTTTTGCAAGAGTTCTTCGGAGTCAAAACCAGATGTCTGAACACCTTCACTCTTGGCAAAAATTTCACTTGAACCTTTCGATAAGCATAAGCTCCTTTCCCATGCACCAAAACCATTTAAGTTGTAGAGAATTCGTATGGATACAACCAATATAGCCATCGCACAGACACGAGTGGGAATCCTCAACTCATTCGTCGATAACCATAAATCTGGAGGCATAGACCACTCATAGATGCGGCAAGCATGTGGCAGAATCTTTTCCCCGGGAACAGACAATTGATCGAGATAGCGAGATGCTACTGCATAGAAGTTCACGGGAGGCAGATTCAACCCTATTCTCTTGGCAATCCTGGCAGCCATTGCTTCCAACTTCTGGACTGGAATTGGCTGAGAAGGCCTAAACATCAGGGCTGGACTAATAGGACAGGCGAGCGAGGGTTGCGCGAATCGCTTCACGATCTCAACATGAGCACCGAAATAAGGAAGTTTCCCTTCCACTGACCACTTCACTATATCTGTTGGTAAGATTGCCTCTCTTGCGACATGGCAAGCCAGAAAAGATATAGCCAAAGTGTGATCCAGTGGTATTACTTCTCTCAATCTCCTAAACCAAACCATTACAGCGCGCTGGCCACTTGCGTTACATGGTTCGTCATGATGAACATTACGGCGAGTAGATTCTCCTGCAAAACATCACTGAGGGATAAGCATCGAAATTCTAGCAAGACAAAGGAATTGCATTATATGGTTCATCCCCATCATCATAATGAACATTACTGTGATCAGGTTCTCTTGCAAAACAACATTGAGGGATATGCATGGAAATTCAACCAAAACAAGACAATGCAAGTAACATGAGGCCGCTACCAGCTTAAAATGCCACAAGACTGAAGCTTTACAGCAAACTACTACCAACAAGTTACAACCTGGCTAGCTTTCAATACAAAAAAAAAAAAAAAAAAAAAAAAATTGAGCAAGCCTAACAAATTTTGAAAACCCATCATACATGGTTTTATTACCTCCTTGCTCTGGAGGCTCGGACTTCATCAGAGTCTCATCAGCCCACGTATCTTGGAAGACTTCAGTGGTAACCAAAAACCTCAACCAAACAGCAGAAGCCACGCCACAGATCAAAGGGCTGGCGTTGAAATTCTCAACTAAAGCCTCACACTGCAACTGAATCATCCGCTGTATCCCACTCACATACCTACACCGCACCTCGTTGAAGTAATCCTCGTAGGAGAGTTCCTTCGTCTTTGTTGCCTCGTGCGGCTCTTCCTTGGCGGACGGCCGACGTCGTTTGGAGTGATGATTGTAGAGGCCGCCACCTCCTCCATCTTTATTGACCAAGCCCTCGTCGGCGTCGTCAGTCTCAGTGATGCCTTCCACCCGAGAATTACAGACTCTGCAGAAATAGTATCCGCTGTCAGCGAAGGCGTCGCCGCCGCAACCGCATTGGAAGCCTTCTGCCGGGCTATCTTCTTCTTCCGCCATCGGAATCGAGAGGAATTTTGGTTTTGCCGGATTTTGGTGTTTTGACTTTTGGCGGCGAACTAGAGGTTGTTAACTTGCCAGGTCTTGGGGATTTTTGGCGAGACCGGATCGCCCCGGAAGCCCAATTCCACTTTAGGGCCGGCCCAAGAGTACAGAGAACCAGCCCAATGCTCATATAGCAAGCTCATTAGATTTATCGGCGAAACTGGAAGCCCAGTCCAAAGTGCAATGGCTTCGTTGATAATTTCATTATTTGGCTGCCGCTGCCTTCCACCGTACGGTTTGCCGTTTGGGAGATAAAAAAACTCAGTGACTGTGGGGACGAGGAAGAAATGGGGACGATGGCGCAGCAAGGACTGGCTCCAGGGCTATCTAGGAAGCTGAAGAAGGTGCTGGAGTGCCGTACGGACACTCCCGATCTGGTGTCTTCTCTCTCTACTCTCTCCAATTTCTACTCCGACAACACGCCCCAGGCTCGCCGGAACCTTAGATCCACCATTGAGAAGCGCTCTCTTCAGATCAACCTCGATTTCCTCCAGGCTTCCAGCTCCGCCCAGAAGGTTTTTTCGGTGTCGCTTTTATTCAATTCTCCCCCTGTGCGTCTGTTCTGCTTGCCGCCCTCATTTCTTCGGTTTTTTGTTTCGATTGTTCAAATTCAGGCGTTGGATCAAGTGGAGCAGGAGGTTGATGCTCTTGCTGAATGCTGTGACAGGTATGGCACTGTACTCCAGAATACATTAGGGTTGAATCTTGGAATCAGGCTTGATTAGTTTAGGGAATCATCAAAGGTTTTTTAGTAGTTTGAAACATAGGACCATCCTCTGGTCGATTTCGGATAATCGTGCGTAGGATCGAATTGAACGAAGTGGCACTGAATTCTGAGTAATCTATGTGAACGGGATAAGTAGTAGTTTTGTGGCCTGAGGCAACTCCAATGTGTAGTGGCCAGAGATTTGTCAGGTTAGAGTCGTGTATGGACTCAGCGAGCTGTGAGTTTCTGTGTATCCCAGGATTGGCAAGGCATTGAACAGCTGTAGCGCAAGCACAGCTGATATTATTAGCACCACTGAGAGGTTGAAACAGGATCTTGAAGTTACCACACAGAGGCAAGAGATCGCCTCATGCTTCCTTCGTGACTATCAGCTTTCTAGTGAAGAGGTCTTAAACCTGAACCTTGGAGCTTCTTCCTACAGATTATTCAGTGGCCTTACCTTTTCAACTCAGAATGTTGTTTGTGGTTTTTAATTTTTCTTATTTTGTGAACATCATTGTAGATAACTGCTCTGAGGGAAGAAGACTTAAATGAGAATTTCTTCAAGGCACTTTCTCATGTTCAAGAAATTCATTCTAATTGCAAAATATTGCTACGAACACATCACCAGGTAAAGTCTGTGTACATTGTATGTCTTGCTTCCTACTTTCTAATCCTAGCGAAGTCTACTTCTTTCTTGTGCTCTCTTTGATTAAGATCTGAATACTCCTATCCGGCCATCTATGTTGGAGAATTATTATACCTGGAGTTGTGGCCTAGTACAAGTGGCCATTATTAGCAGTACAGTTTCCTTTTCAGTTCTTTAGTAAAAAAGTGTTCATTCTAGCTTTAGACCTCAAGTGAGTTCGATTTGGTGTTTATCTTCCTTAGCTGCACACATTATCACTTAATTCTTAATATTGTAGGCCTGAAGTTTTCCTATACTTCTACTTTGATGATAGATGGCGTGCTTCATTTTTTGTTTTCTGTTAAATTTACTAGCTGATTCAATTTAATTAATTGCCCTGAGCTTGGGAGTGGTAGTAATCATTCACTTAAATGACTTTTTTTGGCAGAGAGCTGGTTTAGAGTTGATGGATATGATGGCCGTGTACCAAGAAGGAGCATATGAGCGGCTATGCAGGTAAAATTAGCTTCTTCACTGGGTAATTCTTCTCTTTTTTCTTTCTTTTTTTCTTTTTCTTTAAGAATGTTTCTTTTACTGAGCATATACTGTTTTACTTTCAGTACTTATTCATCTGAATCACTAAAATGAACTTTAGAAATAAAATTTGGATATATGAACGTTATTTTATTTACACTATAGTAACAAGTAACCTATCCCACAGCTGTTCTTGTTTGGTCCTGACCTACAAACCAATTTCTTTTAAGTAGCGAGGAGATAGATATTGGTAGTTATGAGATTCCATGCTTTTGTTCTTGCTATAACTCCTATGTCTATTTTGCTGGCCTTAATGCTCCTACACTATCTTGGTACACTTGGATGATAAGAAGCCTGGTTATTAGTGTCTCTTTTAGCAAACATTCTGAGGTGCATTTTACCTCGGTTGATAAGTTACTCTGGAGTTGTGTGAATCTACTATAGACTGCTTAACTCCCTAAAGTTTTTGTCCTTTACCTGACCCGTTAGTTGTATTATCCCATTCTAGGTGGGTTCAGGCAGAATGTAGAAAGCTGGGCGATACTGACAATCCTGAAGTTGGTGATCTTTTGAAAACAGCGGTCCGGTGCCTCAAAGAGAGACCGGTCCTTTTCAAATATTGTGCGGAAGAGGTGAATATTACCTCTGAATTAAGAATCTCTGCTTAGAATATAAGTTTTCATGTGGCATGAAAGATGTGCTTTGGAACAAATGTACAGGTAGCAAATATGAGGCACAATGCATTATTCAGAAGATTTATTAGTGCTCTTACACGTGGAGGACCTGGTGGACTGCCAAGACCGATAGAGGTTCATGCTCACGATCCATTACGATATGTTGGTGACATGCTGGGATGGTTGCATCAGGTTTGGGTTCAACTTCCCCTTGATCGAGTTTTTCTAAATTTGTTCTTCAGACGAGCTTTTATAATTCGTTCTATCATATGCAGGCATTGGCATCGGAGCGTGAACTTGCTCTTGCGTTACTTGATCCTGATGCAAATGCAGATGCTGGATCAACGACAAACTATGTTCCAAAGGTTTTGATGAATGGTAATGGAAAGACAGAATCCGACATGACATTTGTTCTGGACAGAATTTTCGAAGGAGTTTGTCGCCCATTTAAAGTTAGGGTAGAACAAGTATTGCAGTCCCAACCAAATCTTATAGTAACATACAAGCTCAGCAATACCTTGGAATTTTACTGCTACACTGTAAGTGATTGCACTGCCCTTTGTTTACTTTATCTTCTTTATGTTCTGGTTTCATCCCCTTAGCTGAAAGAAACCAACCATGATAACTATAGGTGTCAGATTTACTTGGGAGAGATACAGCCCTCTGCAATACGTTGTGGCTACTGAAGGATGCCGCACAGAAAACATTTTTTGGCATTCTGAAAACCCGTGGAGAGAAACTCTTACGTTATCCTCCTCTTGTAGCTGCTGATCTCTCCCCTCCACAGGCTGTGAGGGAAGGTGTATCTGTTCTACTTGATATAATTGAAACCCATAACAGCATGATGGTTCCTGCTACAGCAAAAAAATCAGATTTTGGTCCAGTTATATCTGCACTACTTGATCCTATAATTCAGGTGTGGTCTTTATCTAATACTAAGTTCTGGGATCAATGTATATACAATGCTGTATATAATTTTGCTGGGATGATAGAGAATGTATGTATACTTTGCTTGTTGCGCTTTTGTTAAGTGGATATTCTGTTTTTAGTGTTCTTGAGAAGGTGCGATCAGGAATCACTTGCGGGGATGAATTCCTCACATTTTCTGTTACTTTGAAATCATTTGGTTTTTCAAATCATTTGCATGTCATCTGTCACTTAAGCTTGTTGGTTCAGTTGATTTTCATTCTTACATTGTTTTCAGGGCTAATAGCAGGTTTAATGATTCTGTATTTGCTCTAATGCTTGCCAGTTACATTTTATGCTTTCTTTTGAACGGTGTTACACTCTGAAAAGTTATTTGAAGTCAAAATATAAAGTGAAGGTTATTATGCTCAGAAATTGTGTGCCCAACCCCTAAGTTAGTCAATATGAAAGATTGTGTACTCTATCTGAAAAAAAGGTCTATCCTTTCCCATGCGTCATTGCAGATGTGTGAGCGAGCTGCAGAGGCACACAAGTCTAAGGGTGCTGGTAACTTGTCAAGAAGGAGGAGCACTGGCTCAAACCAAGACAATAAATCATCAGTGGACGCCCTTCTGTCGAATGGAAGTGCTGGCCCGTCGTCCCAGGTATCTACTTACCTTTTGCCCCTTCTAACGAGCATCTCTGGTTATCAGACTTCACAGTGGTTCTAAAAATATTTGTTTGTACGCATTGACATGACAGTATCACATTACCCGTTTGATTTTGCTGAAGGTAATCTATAATTTCATTTCTAAATGGTGCTGTGCAGAATTCTGAAACGCCTTCCAAGATCTTCCTCATCAACTGCTTGTGTGCCATCCAGCAACCATTGTCCGGGCACGAGATTGCTGCTGAATATGTAAATAAACTTGGAGCAATGATAGATAAGCACGTGCACGATCTGGTGGGAAGAGAAGTGAACACCATTCTTACAAGATGTGGCCTGTGTCAAAAAATGATTTACTTCCATGATTCAGTTGACGGCGGAGCAACTGGGGATTCGACGTCAGGGGCCAAGCCACTAGCAGAGGTTGAAGAGACGTCCCCAGCTGCTCTAGCAGAGTGCTTGAGGGCTTTCTTCGGGCTTGTACTGGGGAGTGAGAGTGCAATTCCCGAGTTTGAACAAATGCAGGTCCCAAGGTTGCGATCGGAGACCTGTGTGGAGGTGGCTAGGTCGCTTGCTGGGGCGTACGATCTTATTTACAGAGCGATTATGGATCCCAGCAATGGCTACGCAGAGCCGAAATCACTTGCAAGACATCCCCCGGATCAAATAAGGACCATTTTGGGCATATGAAAATGTGATGAGATTCTGCCTTGGCCAGTTGTCAAGAGTTTTATTTGGGGTTTTCACTTCTGTGTAGATGGCAATGTTGATATTCAATTGTATTATGATCAGTGTATCATAATATACTGGTAACGCACTTCTTGTAAAATTGTTTCGATTTTGATTATAGAATGAGGCGGCTTTTTTGGCTGCTCGTCGGACTTTTTTTAAACGAATGCTAAGCTCTTAAACAGTTTGTGCTGTAACACCACAAGTGAACTTGAGGAACATTTCCTCTGTCGCTATAAAAACTGTGGTCGAGATTGCCCTTGTCGCTGAGGAAGCTGAGTAAAAGGTGCGGATTATTTGTTGCAATGGTGAACTGTTGCAATCTTAAACAGTTCCTGCCATGCACAAACTACTACACCGTTGGATACGAGAAGCATTAGCTTTCTGTCGTCGATGAGTCTTTTGTCGCACTAGCTTTCTGTTAGTTGGACTTTTCTATTGCAAATGTTAGTTGTATTTGCATACATAAGAGGCACTTCAATTTGAAAATTAGTAGAAAGTTATGGTTATAAATAGAGGGACATAACATTTTATTGGAAAAGTCTTGTTTTCCTCACTTGTACAGTAATATTTTCCAAAGAGTCATTTTGTAAGGAAAAGCCGAATAAAACCAAACAAGACATGAAAACAAGGCTCTCAGAAAGAAAAGGGCGTTACGAATTACGATTGCGTTCCGAAAGAAAGGGAAAAAATGCCAAGAAAATTTGTCCCTTTCGACTTTGGTAAAGCTGTCCCCTTCCCACCATTTCCATGAGCTTGCTTCTCACTGACTCCAATCTTCCTTCCTTCCTTCCATTTCAACCAATCAATCAGCCGACCGACCCATCTCTCTGATCTCTTTCCGTTTTGTTCCGCTGATTCTCTCATGCATCGTTACACCCAATAATTCATCCTCCCTTCACTTCTCTCGCTCGATAGTGTTGCGCGCTGTTACATTCCGTATTCCCCTGAGGAAGGAGGAGAATACAAAGATGGCTGCTTCCGCCGTCGTTGGAGGCGGAGGAGTTACGGGGGCTCTTGAGAAAGATGTGTCGAGAGCCCATATGTCAATGGCCTTGGTTCAGCTCATCAATGGTGGTTACCATGTTATTACCAAAGTCGCTCTCAATGTCGGCGTCAATCAGCTGGTTTTCTGCGTCTTCCGCGATCTCCTTGCCCTTTCCATTCTCGCCCCCGTTGCCTATGTGCGGGAAAAGTAATTGGATTTCTGCCCCTTTGCTCTTACTCTTTGAGATAGAATCGGCTGAATTTCTTTTCTTCAGGGTTCCTGTTGAAGTGATTGCTGTTCCATTAATTAGGTGGTGATTGTGCCAAGTAAAATCTCTCTGTTGCATGCTGATCGAAATTTCTAGATGTTGTTCAGTCAAGTTGGTATCTTTAGCCTACATGCAATTCAGCTCCTTGATTGCTCCAATATGGCTTTCAATTGGTTCCGATTTGGAGATTCTGGACATGTTCTTTTGTGGTCCATCGCAACTCTGCATTACACTGTATCCTAAAAGCATTTCTGTGTTGTAGGAGGATCCGACCGCCCATGACTAGGCGCTTGCTCCTGTCATTTTTCTTCCTCGGCTTGACTGGGTAAGTCTAATGGCTTAGTAGTCAGGTTAACCGGTGAACTGCAATTCATTATCACTGATAATTGGGGTTTTGGTGCTCCTTAGGATTTTTGGCAACCAGCTTTTGTTTCTTCTCGGTCTTAGCTACACAAATCCAACTTATGCTGCTGCTATACAGCCTTCAATACCAGTTTTCACATTTCTTCTAGCTGTGACAATGGGGTGAGTCTGAACAAATTTTCCCCGTCGGTATATTTTAGTAATTTGTTTGATTTGAGACGAGAGCTTGCTGAACTCTAGAGTTGGGACTTGGGATGTCTTTTTTTCTGATGTACTTCTTTATTATGCAGTACAGAAAGAGTGAATTTGCTCAAAACTGAAGGTCAAGCAAAGATTTTGGGCACAGCCGTCTGTGTTTCTGGTGCCATATTGATGGTTCTTTTCCGCGGTCCTGCTATCATTGGACAGGCAGAAGCTGACATGTCCAGCAGTGAAATAAGGGCTAGAGGTCAACCAGAGCCTGTAGGATGGTTTCTGGCCAGCCTTCTCGACATCGGTTTAGAGACTTGGCACCTTGGGGTTCTATGCTTAATTGGAAACTGTATGTGCATGGCTGCTTTTCTGGCCATTCAGGTAATCTCCTACGTTCCAATGTTGGATTAATAGCTGCAAAAATCCTTCTGTAGTTCATTTGCTGTTAGATTCTAGCCAACGTAGAGGTTGGTGTTTACTTGTCTCCTTTCCCCTCTGCCACTACATTGTTAGGCACATTATCTTGGTGAATGGGCTTTGCTGATGAAGTATGCAAAGTCAAGTTGAACAACTTGAGATAGAGTGCTTTGAACCAGTTTGATTTTGACAACTGAACCTTAGACCCTGTTTCCGTGGAGAAACCAGTGAACTAGATAGTAGTGATCTGCTATGGTTTGTACAGTATTGACTGACTTCTTGTCTAAACTTTACTGCCTGCTCCTTTTACTTGAATTTTTCAATATTGGGATTTTCCCTTGGTCTTGTGTGGAACTGGATTGTAGGTTGTGTGGTGTCTATGAGTTGCTAAAAGTTGCAGTGTGCATAGCATAGCATAGACATTCAACTTCGATTCATATTTGTTTGTTCTGTGCTCTGACGGTATAGGTTTTGTTAAATTTTATCAACAGGTCTTGTTTGGACACTAGTTTAATAATTAAAAAATGCTTCATAAATTAGGATTGGGGGCTTCTAGACTTGCTACATTTTTGTGCTGCATCTACCGTTCCCTTATATTGCTCAACGATCTTAGTATTATGTTTACTCTTTGTACTCACTTTGGGTCTTAGCCTTTGATTTGTGTCCATTTTCCCTTTATACCAGCTATTTGCTTGCAACTCTCATAGAGGAGGATAAGTTGGAACTGACCTACAGTAGTCTGTGGAGCTCTTCTCATTGTTACTGTTAAGTCTTACTACGTCCCCTAGTAATACTCAATTTGACGATGTTAATCTGTAACTTGAAAATTTCCAGGCTCCAGTTTTAGCTAAATATCCCGCTAGCATTTCAGTCACCGCATATTCTTATGGCTTTGGGGCGCTATTGATGGTGTTGACAGCATTCTTTGCGAACAATGAATCAACAGAGTGGAGCTTAACTCAGTCAGAGCTATTGGCTGTGCTATATGCTGTAAGTCTTTGTTTCCTGGCACATCAATGTCTGAGGATATTGTCTTCCGTTACTAACTCCTTTTGTTGCTTCCTTTAACATGCTAGTTACTGAAAATCATTAATATCTAGTATCTTTTCTGGGCCAACCAATACAGTCTTGCATAATTGCATTATGTATTTGTGGAACGACAATGATAGTTCTATGATATCTCTATTAGTTATTTGCATAAGGTAGAAACGCATTTGCTCTTCCAAAAGACTCGATGAGGTCATATCATGAACAAACCACCTCCATGGCATGCAACATTGATCACTCTGCTGCTGACATACTTGAATCGTCATTTTGCACAGTTTATAATTCCATCGTGAAAAGTGAAAACGATCATGGCCATGGTACTTGAAAAGTTTACATACGTTTTTCTTAATTTTGCTCATTGAATGAATAATCAGGGCACTGTCGCGTCTGCTCTTAATTATGGACTAATAACATGGTGCAACAAGATCTTAGGCCCTGCTCTGGTTGCTCTCTACAATCCGCTGCAACCTGCCGCATCTGCCTTTCTCTCCAGGATCTTCCTGGGCAGCCCTATTTATTTGGGAAGGTTGTTCACTTGCTCCTACATATTTCTTTGCTTTATCTTTAATAATCCTATGTTCTGTTGCTTTGAGTCTAGGTTTCAGCAGGTTGTTTGGTTAATTGGTTTGTCCGTAAAGTAGCCATGAAAGAAACACAAGCTGACAGCTTCTGGGTTTCCATTTGTTGAATGAAACAGCATAGTTGGAGGATGCCTAATCATTGCTGGCCTATATTTAGTGACATGGGGATCTTACAGAGAGACACACGCAGCATCGAGCCTCGCCGTGGCTCATGTTCCGGTCCGGGCATTGGATCCCCTGATCCACAAAGATGGAACTATGAACAAGGGTGTGTACCTGAGGGGGCACATTTTCTCCGGTTCCTCACTCAAACCCATAGATTAAGCAAGCAACTTATTGGACTGTGAATTAGGATAAGTTCAGAATCGTTGTTTTCCCCCCCCCCCCCCCCCCCCCCCCCCCCTTTCTTTTTTGGGTTTGGAGATCATAAAACCTCATGGGTCATTTTTTTTTTCTGTTGTCAACAATGCATCTCGAGATACCAGTATGGAGCGGAGCATGTGCTCTGTTTTGTTGTAGTAATTGACACTAGTTTCTGCTCATCCATACATGTACATGTACCAATCCATGCGATCGCGATGCCAGCTTGTGTTGCTGACATTCCACAACTTTATAGCCACGTATAACGATTTTATCTGTACAAGGAAGATACGTAATAATGTCACGTTAACACCATAAATTATAACATCAATAACACTGACAACGCGAAGAGAAAACAAGTTAAATAGTGAAAATCTCTTATAATTGGGAATTTTCCCTTGAACAGTGTAGCTTTGAGAAAAATCTAAAAAGAAAACAAAGACTATAGACATTTTTTTGCTAGCACAACAATTGAAAGTCGAAGGTAAATACAACTGTGGAGCAAATGACTCATTACAAAACACAATTAATTGGGAGAGGGGAAAAAAAGGGTTTGGTGCCTGAAGGTGAAAGGAAAGAGTCCTCCTCCCTCCCTGGTTCCTTCCATGCGTTCCCTCCTTCCCATCTACTCTGTCTGATTCAGTCTGAAAACGGTTTGCCCAATCCAACCACCTCCGAATTGAAATCCCTAATTCCCAATTCTCTTCTCACTCTGATCTCGGATTCTTCCACCTTCTTCACCCCACATCAAAGTTCCGTCCTGTTTCCGAAAGTTTCACCACTGTCGGCGGAGGATTTTCCAGATTCAGATCAACAGTATATTCATGCCGGACCCGTCGCGTACATTCTCGGTGCATCAACCAATCGCGGCCTCGGATACTCTCTTCTCTGGTATTTGCTCTGTTACTGGCATTTCGATTTCCCGGGTTTAACTTACTAATCGGGCTACCGGTGGTAAATAAGAGGATTTCCGTTTTTTTATGTTTGAGTTTAGTTTTGGGGTTGGCATTTGCGCTCATGTGAGAGCAGTTCACTCGTCCGGATAGTGCGATCCGGATTGGAAACTCATCTGTGTGGTTTATCGCCCCACCGGGAAAATCCTCGTTGGTTGTCTCTTGTTTCCGGGGCTAAGTTGTGGTGATGCTACGAGTAGCGTTTCGTTAGTGGTATCAGTTCGTCTGAGTGGACGGCCTGCAATGCGATGAAACGGAGGAATCCGGCACTAGAATATTCTCGTATTCTGATTGAGCAAGGATGGTGTTTGGTAAAATAGCAGCTGCGGTTTCTGCTGCTAGTAGTCGCCTCTCTTTTTCAGGACCGAACTCTGCTTCTGTCCCATACATGTCAACTGGGCTATCTCCCCCTCCAACAGAGGCCGTCGTCGATCATGGATTTTCTTTCTCGAACACTGCACAAAACAAGGCCAATTTGAGGCTCTCTTCATCACTGCAAGACTTGTCATCATATAGGCGACTCGACCCCGAGGAAGGGGACCCTCTGAAGTTGGGGGTTGATAAGAATATTCGCTTGTTACAGAGGGAGAATGCTACTGCTGCAAGTTTCTCAAAGGAGAGAGGACTGCCACCTGCAACTCCTTTTCTACGGAGGAAATGGGTCCGGTCGCTGTTGGTCTTCTTGTGCCTGTTATCATTTACTTTCTTAACTTATTTGATTGCCATTTACGCTTATTCTTATTGGTCTCAAGGATCATCCAAGTTCTATGTTGTTCTTGACTGTGGAAGTACTGGAACTCGTGTGTTCGTATATCAGGCATCCATTGATAACAAAAAAGACGGTAACTTACCCATTTTGGTAAAGTCTTTTTCCGAAGGTGTTTCTCGAAAGCCAACTGGACGTGCATATGATCGAATGGAAACTGAACCTGGGCTTCATATGTTGGTGCATAATACATCTGGCTTAAAGTCTGCTCTAAAACCACTTGTTAAGTGGGCCCAGAAGCAAATTCCAGTGGAGGCACATCAGTCTACCTCACTTTTCCTTTATGCTACTGCTGGGGTAAGAAGGCTTCCTATATCAGATTCGAAATGGCTGCTAGATAAAGCATGGTCGATACTCAACGAATCTCCTTTCTTGTGTCAAAGGGAATGGATTAAGATTATCAGTGGCATGGAAGAAGCTTACTTTGGATGGATAGCCTTAAATTATAGAACTGAGGTACTGGGAGCAAGTCCGAAGAAGCCAACATTTGGTGCTCTTGACCTGGGGGGCTCATCTTTGCAGGTCACTTTCGAGGGTAATAAACAATTTCGCAACCAGACTAACTTAAACCTTAGAATTGGAGCTGTCAATCATCGCCTCAGTGCCTATTCTCTCGCAGGGTATGGTTTAAATGATGCATTCGACAAGTCCGTTGTCCATATCCTAAAGAGGCTTCCAAATGTTGATTTACTGAGTAAGAAAACAGAAATTAAGCATCCTTGCCTGCATTCTGGCTACAAGGAGGAATATCAATGTTCCCACTGTGTGTCTGACAAACAAGATGGTGTTAGTCCTGTTATCAGAGGAAGACTGCTTCGCAAGGCAGTGAAGTCAGGAGTGACTATTAAGCTAATTGGTGCTCCAAACTGGGAGGAATGCAGTGCTCTTGCAAAAATCGTTGTTAATTTATCGGAGTGGTCAAATAAAAGTCCAGCACTAGACTGTGACTTGCAACCCTGTGCTCTCCCCGAGGATTTACCTCGCCCTTCTGGCCAGTTCTATGCTATGTCTGGGTTTTTTGTGGTATATCGTTTTTTCAACCTTTCTGCAGAAGCTTCCCTCGACGATGTATTGGAAAAGGGTCGAGAATTCTGTGAAAGGAATTGGAAAGATGCAAAAAGTAATGTTCCTCCACAGCCCTTTATTGAACAATACTGCTTTCGGGGACCATACGTAGTATCATTGTTGAGAGAGGGCTTACACATCACAGATAGTCAAATTGTTATCGGTTCTGGTAGTATAACTTGGACACTTGGGGTTGCATTGTTGGAAGCTGGGAGAACATTTTCAACTAGACTACGGCTTCATAAGTATGAAATATTCCATATGAAGATACATCCAATTGTTCTCGTTGCCATTTTGCTTATGTCACTGGTCTTGCTCCTATGTGCATTATCTTGTGTTAGCAACTGGATTCCGAGGTTTTTCCGGCGACCATATCTTCCACTTTTCAGGCATAACAATGCATCTGCCACATCTGTTCTCAACATCCCGTCCCCCTTCCGTTTTCAGCGTTGGAGTCCTATCAATACTGGTGAGTTTTTTTTAAACATCAATATAGTTTTGATACTGTAGAATAATTCTTCACGTGAATGTACTGCACATGTTTACAAAGGTTGAGAGCACTTTTAGTTACTTGTTATAGAGGAGCAGAAAAACTTCTGGGCTTGCTGTATTTCATGCAATGTATTCACGAATCGTTCCGTCTCCATTAGTTCAAATTTCACTGAGAAATTATGATAATTTCTTATGATGTTAATATCTCTCCAAGATTATATATGCTTAAACGAACTCAAGGACCATACACTTTTACCATTGAGCCTCAAGAAATGCCCTTAGAAAGGAAAATTTTGGTTAAAATTTTCTTTTGAAAACGTCCATTGAGATTAACTTTCTTATCTAGCTTTGGAAACGACTGATATCCTCATGTCTTTCTGATATTTATTTGAAAACGTCCGTTGAGATCAACTTAATGGGATTTACTCCCTGTGCTAGCTTTCCTTTGTTGCTGTATCTCTGGTTGGTTCTGCATAAAGGTTTTGACAGAGCCATTAGTAGCCCTCCATCTTCCCGAAGGAAATATTCTTCCTGAAAAGTCATATTATCATAATCTGAAATGTCCAATTGAATTAAATTAGCAGCCAGTGATCTGTAATTAGCGGGAGAATCAAGAAAATAAACCGCTGGAACCTCTATCTTATTACTGAAGATGAGTTCTCAGATTAGAGAAGCACACTTAAGTTATTAGAAGCCCTTTCAAGTTTTGTATAAGGGTAACTTGAGTCTTGACTAAGGTTGGATATCTGTAGGCCAGAAGGCAGTGAAGTAGGTTCGAGATGTTTTGTTTTATTTTACTGCTAGAAGTCTTTTCTCGCCAACTTTGCCTCTCCTTTTAACCTTTAGCTATATCATTATTCTGGATTTCCCTTTAACATGAGTGAATGCAACATCAAATATTTCAGGTGATGGAAGAGTGAAGATGCCATTGAGTCCAACAGTAGCAAGTGGGCAACATCGACCATTTGGATTGGGACATGGTCTGGGTGGGAGTGGGATCCAACTCATGGAACCTGCCATATACACAGCGAGTGGCAGTGTTTCGCATAGTTATTCCTCCAGCAGCTTAGGGCAGATGGTTGAGAATAGTAACATGGCTTCCTTCTGGCCCCCTCACAGAAGTCAGATGCGCCTTCAGAGCAGAAGATCTCAATCCAGAGAAGACCTCACTTCGTCCGTCGCTGATGCACATATGGTGAAGGTTTAGGTCACCTGTCCCTTGAGATCAATGGTAAGGAGAAAAGGAAACAACTGGTTGCTGTAGAGGAGATTGACTCTGATACACTAATCCATCTGTATTCTGACCTCTGATTTCCTACAGATCTTGGTCTGCATTGACTGACCTTCACACTTGTTAACTCGGTCACCCGTGCAGGATAAGTGCCCAACTCTTTGGTGAAGGAAGCTAGCTTGTTGGCACTATTGCAGAAATTTTTGACAGGTGCTTGCAGTAACCTTCCTATTTTGTTTCCCCCGCAAAACCCCTAGTTCTATTTTACTTGCTTATTTGGCAACATGTTCCCCACATGTAAGATGGTCCTCATTCTGGGGGAGCGACAGGGCATTCATTCCAGTCTTTCTGGGTCTGTTTTAGACTTGAGTTAGATATGCAGGGGCAAAAGAAAGTTAAGGGTAGTGGGTTTACTTGTTTTAGCAGAAAAGGAATAGACAAGGTGGTAAGAGGTACGCAATGCATGTAGTTCTTTTTGTCAAACTTTTAGATACATAGTGTTAGAAATTGCTGAAATCATTTGGTTGGCTGAAATTGGGTGAGCGAAATTTGCAATTGAACAAATACATCTTATTTCATTGACACTATTGATAAATCCGAATGCATTTATGATTGCAAATAGACTCTCACATGATACTACACAATTGATACAATTAACATCAACATCAAAGGAAGAGGCAGGATTGGTCACACTAAGTGAGCTCATTCTGGTGCATTATAAACTTTTTTTTATTAGGAGGGAAATCTGTTAAAGACTTGCATCTCACTCTCCCTCACGAATAGGGATGGCAATTGGTCGGGTTGGGTTGGGTTTTGCCAAACCCAAATCCATGAGTTTATGATAGAAACACGCAAGTTTTATAGTTTGTTTATTCGGATTACTTTTGTCGGTTTGTTGTTCTTTGATAATTATTGGGGTAAATTGGGAGTTATTTAATAATTCGAGTAGCGGTAGGGAATTTTCTATTTTTATATAAAGCTTCTTCCTTTCAATTAAGTTTCTTAACTCTCCACTGGATAACATCAACTTCATTCTACACAATCAGAAAGAAAAATTAGACATGTCTCCACAAACATAAATAAGATTAGTTGTTTAGAATATTAAATATATCGAGAAAATTAATTATATGGGTGTGGGCGGGTACCCATGGGCCGCTGTGAATAGTGAACAGGTTTAAACCCAAACTCGACTCAAAACCCGTCAACACGGATTTTACCCACGTTGACCGGGTTGGGTCGGGTGGTTACCCGTGGTTCGGGTTTTGTTGTCATCCCTACTCACGAACAGCCCATGGAGCCCGTACGGGACCCGCCGCGGCAGCTCCACTGCTGCCACAATCTCAAGCTCCGGCGATTGAGCATCCATCACCAAAAACCTCGACTCCCCATTTTTCTCGTCGTGAACGTACGTCACCACGTACCCGTGGTCTTCCTCTGCGTTCGTATCCTCCGGGTTCTTCGCCACGAAAAACGGTTCCCCGCCAAAGCAACCCGACCCGAACATCCTGCACGCCACCGTGCTCTCCCCCCTCCCCATTTCGTCCCCGACGTCCAGCTTCACCACCCCCGATATCTTTGGCAGCGGGTCACCCACTCCAGCGTACACGAACCGGTTCTTCCTCCCCACGTAACTCGGGTTAACCACCCCGAAGTCCAGGTTCCGGGTCGAAACCGTCCCCGCGTTCAAATCGATCCGCACCTTTTCCACCAATCCATGGATATGCTCCGACGACGTCTCCAGCGCGTGCTCCACCGACATGATGTTCGTCGCCAGCAAAACGACAACGTCACCGCCTCCTTCCTCGTCCCACGCGTTGATCGAGTGGAACGGGTTGAACCCGATGACGTCAAACCACCTCATTTCCGAATCATCCGCCGCGTACCGGGGAATCAACCCGACCCGGGGAGTTTTCTTTGGGTCGACCCCGACGGGCGACCCGGATCCGAAAACCATCTCCATCGGACCCTGCATCGCGATCTGAATGTCTACAAACACGGCGTATTTCTTCGTGATCACGAAATCGTGGATCAACGAAGGCCGGGAAAGGGAAAATATCGGCACGTCGGGTTGCTTTCTCCCGCCGACGCCGGCGTCGAATCTGAAGTAGGTCAGATACGGCTGGACCGGGCTGTACCGGAAGGCGAACGTCTCGCCAGTTTGGAGATCGGTCTTCGGGTGCGCCGTCATGGTCAGCGCCAGGCCGCCGTCGAAATCGTGGCGGCCGAGTGTCTCGATGTCGCCGTCCTCCGTCAGTCGGACGGCATAAGGGAGATCGGACTCGCCGAGGGCGAATAGGCGGTCGCCGAAGAAGGCGAGGCTGGTGTTGGCGACGCCAATTCCATTTCGCGGGTCGAATTGGCCGGCGAGAATTCTAGCGGCGGCGAGGATAGAGCGGGCCGCAGCGGCGGGGAAGCCGTTGAAGCCGGAGAAGACATTGGGGATCAAAGTAGCCCCAGCGGCGCGTTCCGTCAAGTACTTGTGGGTGTTGACATAGCGGCTGCAGAGCGTGGGCGGGTGGGCGCGTGAGATGGTGAGCGCGTGGAGCATGCCATCCCCATCGAAGAAATGGTAAGGCCCACGAGGGAGGTGTTGTGGGTTGGGCCCGTTGCGGATGTAGGCCCCGTCGAGGCAAGGAGGGAGGGAGCCGTGGATGACGTTGCACTCGGTGGGTGGGAGCTCGTCGACGACGGGGGAGAAGTTGCCGGAAAGGACGAATCGCGGGTCGGTGGAAGGGCGGTGGCTGCTGGGAGGATCGATGAACGTGTTAATGAAGTCGTCAGCCACGTTGAGAATCAAGGAAGGTAGGGAATTATAATTACATTCCTGCTGGTGGTGGTGGTTCGCCGCGGCGGCATGAACTCGTGATTTGCGGATCGAGGCGGTAATCGGCGGGATGGTGGCGGAGGCGGTGAAGGAGGAGGTTCCAGTCGTATACAAGGCGGCGTTCATTGTATGCTTAATTAGTGTATATACTTTACATGCACAAGCATGCTTGCTATTTATATAAAGCAGTGAAGCCTATAGGAGGCAATAAAATGTCTGAATTTGTTGGGCAGGAGGCAGGGAAGCAGTGTTGATTCGATCCATCGACAGTGGGAACGTGTTCGGGTGAAGGACGAGTTTTGAATTTGCTGATCATTATGTGATGGAGAAAGTTTGGCGAGCAGGCCGGCCGGCGGGGTCACGGGTAGAACCAGTACTGGATTGGGCGGGGGGTGGCTTGTTTTGCCAGCAACATGGCGACGGTGACAGATCCTTGAAGGGATTCCAGAGAACTCGTCAAGCTGCATGCTAATTGTTGGGTGTAACAAACTTCTACTAATTAGGGATGTGTTTCCTCGTTATTTGAAGCATAACAGATTAATAGTGCGTGGGTTTAAAGAAAAAGTTTTGTTAGGGGTGGTTTGGAAGTTGACGATAGTTTTGTTGAGATTGTCATTATGCATGTATTGTTTACAATGCATCGTTTTTTGTATTTTTAGGGATTGTTTCTGTGATGTGACATAAACTATCACTTATTTTGAGTGATTGTTAATCTCAACTTTTAGTTGTGATTGTTGAGATAGTTGCGTTGAGATTGTTTTGTCTCAGCTTTTAGCTGATGCGACATACACAATCACACATACCAAACGCTGTATTCTACAATGCATCAAATTCGACAATACATGTATAATATTATACATGCATTCTAAACAATACATCTATTTAACAATCGCAACTTCCAAACGACCCCTTAGTTTCAGGAGTGTTATTGTCCACCACTTTTACTATAGGGTTATAGGTATAATATGCACCTCTACTATGACATTTTATCAAACATGCCCCTCTATTATTTTTTTACATCAAACATACCCATGTACTTTGAAAAAAATTATTAAACATGCCCTTCTGTTAAAATTTCCATTGAAAAAATCGTCAATCATGGTTGAACCAAGATTTAGACGACCCGACATCGGCAAATGGGAGCGAAAATGTCAGTTTTGTCTCTCGTTTTATTTCTCTGGGTCTATTCAAAGTGAAATTATTCGAATTATTTGGATATAGAAAAGAACAAAAAAATTCAAAAGTGAAATGATTAGGAATATTTTAGACATTTGTGTCGCCCAAACCAAAGTTCGACCTTGGTTAAGGGTTTTTGGATGAGAATTTAAACAAAAGGGCATGTTTGATCATTTTTACAAAGTACAGGGGCATGCTCGATATAAAAAATAGTAGAAGGGCATGTTTCATAAAAGGTCATAGTAGAGGGACATATTATACCTATAACCCTCTACTATACTATCAAGCATATGTGTTTTAATGTACAATTTAATTTTATACCATAACGTTAAATGTATAAGTTCATGTTGTACGATATAGGAATTTGTACCCTTATGTTTTGGTACAACTTTACAACTTTAAGTTGTACTGTCACATGAAAATACAACTTCAAGTTGTACCATAAAAAGAATTTGTACAAAAAAGTATAGATACAATCTGAAGTTGTACCATAATGTTAAAGGTACAACTTCAAGTTGTACCATAAAGATAAAAAAACTGTTGCACCAATGCTATATAGCATTGTAAAATTCTTCGTCGTCGTCACCTAATTTACTGTTTATTCACGTAAATTGGTGTTTTTTATGCGAAAATTATGGTTATTTCAGCAAAATGGCAATTATTTGTGCAATAAAATGTTGTTGTTTATAATCCACACCATTGTATAGTTAAAAAAATAAATTTTAAGATTTTGAAATATATCGAAGCTGTTGGTTTAGATGCAATGCCACAACTTTGACCATTAGACCCGGAAGATCCTACTTTCTTTTCGCATTTATCAACGAACAAATCAAGTCAATGAATTCAAATGACAATAACTAGTACCAATACCTAAGATTTTCTCAAGCTTTACCCTCGTTGCACCAAAGACGCTTATGAGGAGCATGCCATCTGGTAGGATCTTTGGAATGTTGTATATCGCTGCCCTTTTGAACAACCCATTCTAATAGGAAAGTCAACGATCTTAAAATTCCTTGATCAAGTGGATGATCCAATTCATGGGCGTTCCAGTGGGTATTATGTGTTTGTTACACAACAATCCCTTGAAGAAGGCAAAACAACAACGAGTAGGATAAATAAAGGTTTGGGCTCTAGAAGAATTTGGTCTTGCTCATAAAAGAAGAAAGAATGCACTCACAATGTTTTGATTGTCTAAGTAAATTGCTCCATAATGGGAAAACTATGTTGACATAAACCCACCTTAATCCAAAACTGATAGTACTCGTGCCATAAATAAATAAATAAATAATCAGAAAGTCCATTATACTTCAAGGCTCAAGCCGATTAGTCTGTGCATAGGGCAACAAAACCCGAACTCACGGGTATCCTATCTGACCTAATCCGGTCAACACATGTAAAATCCGTGTTGACGGTTTTTGGGCCCGATTCGGGTTTAAACTTGTTCATTATCCACCGGGTTGGGTTGGGTTTTAGGAAAATCGGCCTCATGGGTACCCGTCTACACCCATATAATTATTTTTCACGCTATTTTTAATATTCTAAACAACTAATCTTCTTTATGTTTGTGGAGACATGTCTAATTTTTTCTTTCTAATTATGTAGAATTAAGTTGATATTATCCAGTGGAGAGTGGAGAAGCTTAATTGACAAGGAGTAAGAAGCCTTCAATTAATCATGTTGTTTATCGATAATTGTGATTTGCTTCAATTTTCTTGAGTTTTCTAGATTGGTGTTGAACAATTTGTATGGTTAATTTGTGATTTACTTGAATTTTTTAGAATGGTGGTTTATTTATGGATTATTTGTATTGAGATATTGATATTTGACTTTTATTTTGATAGGAACTTGTTGTTGTAAATTTTTTTACGACAAAAACCCATGGGTACCCATGAACCCGCGGATACCTATCGGGATGGGTTAGGTTTGAGTTTTTCAATTCCAATGGAATTTACCTCGAATTTTTTTTTCACGAATAAACCTATGGATTTTGTTTTGAGTTTGCCAAAACCCGAATCAATCCGACCTATTATCATCCTATCTGTGCATGTTCTTATATTATACAAGAACTAGCTTATTACCCGGCCCGTTGGCCGAATTACTGTATGTTACCCACTTGTGGAATGAGAGAGAAAGCAAGTGAGAGTGAAGGGATTGAGATTCCACTTGATTAGGACCGACTCACTAATTCAATTCTTCCCGACCCGCCCCAACCTACAGGGTCAGAAAGAGTCAATAAGAAAATACGAACGGGGAGGATTAGTCATATATCTTGACTCTTCAGTAGTGGGTCAAACAGGATCAAGGTTGGGTGAGGGCAATTTTTAGCGCTAAGCAGAGTTCTGGGTTGAATACCTTTACTTAGGCCTAGAAATTGGTGCTGATGCAGACTGCAGTTTTTATTATACCATCATCAATCATCATTGAATTAGTCCTGGGCATCCCTCCCCGTTGTCGGTCTGAATTCTAATGATGGCTTCATTCCTTGCACCAGCCATATCAGCGAGTTGCCATCTCGAGCATGATTTGCCTATGTACAAATAATACAATTAGAGTATGAAAATGAATTCAATGAAAAGGAAAAGAGAATTCTATCACATGCCAATAAATACACACATAATAGTTGAAGCTAAGTGAAAGTCATTACTTGCACATCAATTCTCAAAAATTACAGACTAAACATTGGCTAGAATGGCACTGAAACTACCAAGAATCATGGACGAAACAACTTGTCAAATTAAATAATCCTTATACTGAAACTACCTTCTAACTTGAAATAAGACATGATCACAGTTCATAGCTCTCTTCTCACTATGAATTGGTTGCAGCTCGTCCTTATAACTACCTCTCAAGCTCAATTCAAACAGAATAGAGACCGTTATGTAAGATAACCATATTCTTACTGATCATAATTCCTTTCTTCACTCCATTTTTGTCGGAGAAAAGAGTTATCCCCCTCTCTTGCATTTCCCTTTCCCCCTCTCTTCTCCCTCTTCTTCACAAACCGATCCCTAAACCAGCAACAACAACACAAAAATAGCATTCGCCTCAGACAGGACTGCAGAAGCAAAATTTTCTAAAATCAAACTAAATTTTTGGAAGCAGACTCAACTACGAAAAAAGAGTAAAGCAACAATGCAGTAGAACCCTAAATTTAACTACAATCAAGCACATATCAGCAAGATTTTCGATTTGTCTGAGAGTTAACTACACGGAGAGAACAATTGATGCATAATTGAAATGCTCCAAGCAAGTTGAAGGCAAACCATAACTTTAGAATTTGGTCATTATAATAACCTTCAAGTATTGATGCTTCTAAGAACTATCATGTCCAACCCCCACTTATACAACTACGTAGCCATAGTAATTAGTTGTATAATGAGAAATATTACAAAGAAAACTACATAAACAACCAATGTAAGTAAATATTAAAACTAACAACTGATAAAACTTAAAATCTCTCTATTGGTATAAATGTATCTATTAGTAACTACTATGCAATCGAGTATATATGATTTTTAGGCACTGAATAAGAAAAGTATAGATGGCTCACAAATGAAGACGTAGCAACTGAAGGTAGCACACAAAAACCAAAAATAGAAAAAGAGATAAGAAAAAAGGCGAGAAAAAGTCAAACAAAGAAAAAGCCCACATAGGAATACCTCGCTAGCTTTAGGGACTCTCTGCCACAACAAACAACCTTCTTAAAAATCTAACACCCTGAGACATCAAACAAACCTCCCACGACACTAATGTATGGCATTCCTATTGTCCAATAGGTTTGCCCAATTTAGACTTCTAAATAAATGGACTTTTCACCATTAAACCAAAACTCACAATCATTAACAGTTAATGCAAAGACATACATTTCTGAGGTCAATCACAACATTTAAGCATAATTTTTAGTTGAAAAGAACAACCAAGTATTTAGCTAAATGATATAGTAGAATGGACACAATCTGCTACCTACTAATGATATAAACGTGTACCAGTACCATCGTTGTATCCTGACTTGCCATTTGCAACGGGCACTTTGAAAGACAGCTGCATTTTAGAGAATAAACACCCATAAGGGTGTTACGAAACCAAGCTTAATCCAAAATCTTCATATTCCACTTCGAAGACTCCATTTTCAAAAATAAGAGAGTTTAACATGTCAAATCACTCATTTGAAAAATCTCAAACAACTATTAATCAATGCAATATAAAGGCACGTTCCAAATTATGTACTTGTAGGAATAATCCCAAATAATTATCAATTAATGCCCCAACTACCTAATGTGCAGAATAGCCCTGGAGCTGTGCTGTTGTTTGCGTTGGTCTACCTTCAAACATAACATAGTTGCATCACGAACCAAAGCAATTAAGCAAAAATCTTCATATTCCAAGTAGAATGACTCAATTCAATTTGGCCAACGCTTTATACATATTGTTTACCCCTAGACCTGTTGCACTTGCGCCTTCAGATCTTCGTGAACACAATACAATTGCGGAGAGGAGGTTGTCAACGGAATAAAAATTGTTAATTAAGTGAATCACCATACAACTAAACAAACGCGCTCTTCTTGATTAGCTATCAAAATAGTGGGGGTCGCTACAATCCATCGGTTGCTCCCTCTGCGCCTAAGTTGTAGATATTAGGTTTCAGTTAGAACTTTGAGTGCATGAGGAGATATTTTGTAGTGGAGGAGATGACCCGGCGAGTAGAATAGGAAGATTTGGAGAGGCTGCGATGGGCAAATCAGTTAAAATCGAGATTTTACCTAAAATCGAAAACTGGGGTAAAATCAAAATCGTATAATCGAATCGTAAAATCGTAGGATTTTAAGTACCATATAGAACATAGCATATAAGGATATTAATAAGGTAAATTATTAATATCACAAAGACACATAGCATTTAAAATGATAATTCAGAAGATTTTTTTTCCATAAGATAATTCTCAAGATTAATGTTCCAAAATCACTATTTTAATTGTTATTTAATGTGTAACTCAAAATAATTCATGATGAAGGGATATAGTTCATGGGTTTGGCTCTTATTTTCATGTTATGTGTAGGTTGTTTAACTCAAAGTAATATTTCGACATCGTCTACTAAGTATGATTTAAAACTAAAAATAATTGAACTCCAATAAAATAAGTAATGTTAGTGGCTTGGTACAAATATATTCATTAATAAATTAATTAGTTAATAATGATGTTAGTTCTTACATACTTCCAATATTAGGACAGGTGTTTTACCAATAAGTTAAATGGGGTGAAGGGAAAGAGATTAACCGAACCCTAATTTGGTTATTTTTATTATTTTTGAATATTTTTCTAATAGAAAAATATCTGAGAAGATTCCATTGCCCTTTCCGCTGAAACAATTATACTTATTTTAAATTGGCTCAAACCACCTATTTTGTTCTCTTACGATCAAAATCCCGATTTTAAACGATTTTAAGGTCCACCGATTTTATAGTAAAATCAAGATCGGAATCCCTAAGTAAAATCCTAAAATCCTACGATTTTACGATCAAAATCCCGAATTTGACTGCATTGGCGATGTGTGCACGATTAGTGGGCCAAATAACAGTTTGGGCCCGTTTAAATGAAAATATATTTTTACTTTCGTGCTCAACAGACCGACCGCACTGGCATCTTCTAAATTTACCCCTAAAAAATTGCTCTGTACGCATCAAATTTGAAATGGAATCCCTCTTTTCTCATTTCACATTTCACATTTATATGATGTGTAGATTGTGATGAGTGTAGATGTAGACCTGTCATTGTCCTACAAATTCATTAACACGCCAAAAAGTGGTGAAATGAGCCACCCTATTAAACACAATCTTGTATAATGATCATTGGATCCAATCATGCCAGATTATGAAGAATTTTAAAATGTAGCGGTTATCCCGACTAAAACATTAAAAGAACCAGTCTCATATAGTTTGCACAAAGATATAATTTCTCCATAGTAATTCTGAAAAATAATATTAATTTAAGAAGTCGATATTGCTTCTACATGTTTAATATTGCAATTCGATATGCAATATTCGAACCAGTGATATTTGGGCTGCAATTTTAGGGTTATTGTATATTTATAAAATAGATAGAAATTTAAATTAAGTATTAAACTACAACTAAAATAATTAAAGTATTAAAACACCAAATAAGTACTTACGGGAGATTCAGTGGCCAGTTAATCGTTAAAAAAGTCATATGATTTTCATAATTTAGGTTCGTGTATGTTTGAATTTAAATAGATACAACAAATATACTTAGTTTGATTGGTTATGATCCTTGCTTGCCTTTAAAGAGACCAAGGTTCAAATCCCAGTGCATGCCTTTTTTATGAATAAATAAATAAGAAAATAAGCAATTGTGAAGACCAAAATGTCCTTCCTATAATCACTCTCGTTGCAGGAAATTTGAAATGGAGCAACAGTTTTCATCATTCGGCTTTTATTTATTATCTAGACTAGCTTATTACCCGGCCCGTTGGCCGAATTACTGTATGTTACCCACTTGTGGAATGAGAGAGAAAGCAAGTGAGAGTGAAGGGATTGAGATTCCACTTGATTAGGACCGACTCACTAATTCAATTCTTCCCGACCCGCCCCAACCTACAGGGTCAGAAAGAGTCAATAAGAAAATACGAACGGGGAGGATTAGTCATATATCTTGACTCTTCAGTAGTGGGTCAAACAGGATCAAGGTTGGGTGAGGGCAATTTTTAGCGCTAAGCAGAGTTCTGGGTTGAATACCTTTACTTAGGCCTAGAAATTGGTGCTGATGCAGACTGCAGTTTTTATTATACCATCATCAATCATCATTGAATTAGTCCTGGGCATCCCTCCCCGTTGTCGGTCTGAATTCTAATGATGGCTTCATTCCTTGCACCAGCCATATCAGCGAGTTGCCATCTCGAGCATGATTTGCCTATGTACAAATAATACAATTAGAGTATGAAAATGAATTCAATGAAAAGGAAAAGAGAATTCTATCACATGCCAATAAATACACACATAATAGTTGAAGCTAAGTGAAAGTCATTACTTGCACATCAATTCTCAAAAATTACAGACTAAACATTGGCTAGAATGGCACTGAAACTACCAAGAATCATGGACGAAACAACTTGTCAAATTAAATAATCCTTATACTGAAACTACCTTCTAACTTGAAATAAGACATGATCACAGTTCATAGCTCTCTTCTCACTATGAATTGGTTGCAGCTCGTCCTTATAACTACCTCTCAAGCTCAATTCAAACAGAATAGAGACCGTTATGTAAGATAACCATATTCTTACTGATCATAATTCCTTTCTTCACTCCATTTTTGTCGGAGAAAAGAGTTATCCCCCTCTCTTGCATTTCCCTTTCCCCCTCTCTTCTCCCTCTTCTTCACAAACCGATCCCTAAACCAGCAACAACAACACAAAAATAGCATTCGCCTCAGACAGGACTGCAGAAGCAAAATTTTCTAAAATCAAACTAAATTTTTGGAAGCAGACTCAACTACGAAAAAAGAGTAAAGCAACAATGCAGTAGAACCCTAAATTTAACTACAATCAAGCACATATCAGCAAGATTTTCGATTTGTCTGAGAGTTAACTACACGGAGAGAACAATTGATGCATAATTGAAATGCTCCAAGCAAGTTGAAGGCAAACCATAACTTTAGAATTTGGTCATTATAATAACCTTCAAGTATTGATGCTTCTAAGAACTATCATGTCCAACCCCCACTTATACAACTACGTAGCCATAGTAATTAGTTGTATAATGAGAAATATTACAAAGAAAACTACATAAACAACCAATGTAAGTAAATATTAAAACTAACAACTGATAAAACTTAAAATCTCTCTATTGGTATAAATGTATCTATTAGTAACTACTATGCAATCGAGTATATATGATTTTTAGGCACTGAATAAGAAAAGTATAGATGGCTCACAAATGAAGACGTAGCAACTGAAGGTAGCACACAAAAACCAAAAATAGAAAAAGAGATAAGAAAAAAGGCGAGAAAAAGTCAAACAAAGAAAAAGCCCACATAGGAATACCTCGCTAGCTTTAGGGACTCTCTGCCACAACAAACAACCTTCTTAAAAATCTAACACCCTGAGACATCAAACAAACCTCCCACGACACTAATGTATGGCATTCCTATTGTCCAATAGGTTTGCCCAATTTAGACTTCTAAATAAATGGACTTTTCACCATTAAACCAAAACTCACAATCATTAACAGTTAATGCAAAGACATACATTTCTGAGGTCAATCACAACATTTAAGCATAATTTTTAGTTGAAAAGAACAACCAAGTATTTAGCTAAATGATATAGTAGAATGGACACAATCTGCTACCTACTAATGATATAAACGTGTACCAGTACCATCGTTGTATCCTGACTTGCCATTTGCAACGGGCACTTTGAAAGACAGCTGCATTTTAGAGAATAAACACCCATAAGGGTGTTACGAAACCAAGCTTAATCCAAAATCTTCATATTCCACTTCGAAGACTCCATTTTCAAAAATAAGAGAGTTTAACATGTCAAATCACTCATTTGAAAAATCTCAAACAACTATTAATCAATGCAATATAAAGGCACGTTCCAAATTATGTACTTGTAGGAATAATCCCAAATAATTATCAATTAATGCCCCAACTACCTAATGTGCAGAATAGCCCTGGAGCTGTGCTGTTGTTTGCGTTGGTCTACCTTCAAACATAACATAGTTGCATCACGAACCAAAGCAATTAAGCAAAAATCTTCATATTCCAAGTAGAATGACTCAATTCAATTTGGCCAACGCTTTATACATATTGTTTACCCCTAGACCTGTTGCACTTGCGCCTTCAGATCTTCGTGAACACAATACAATTGCGGAGAGGAGGTTGTCAACGGAATAAAAATTGTTAATTAAGTGAATCACCATACAACTAAACAAACGCGCTCTTCTTGATTAGCTATCAAAATAGTGGGGGTCGCTACAATCCATCGGTTGCTCCCTCTGCGCCTAAGTTGTAGATATTAGGTTTCAGTTAGAACTTTGAGTACATGAGGAGATATTTTGTAGTGGAGGAGATGACCCGGCGAGTAGAATAGGAAGATTTGGAGAGGCTGCGATGGGCAAATCAGTTAAAATCGAGATTTTACCTAAAATCGAAAACTGGGGTAAAATCAAAATCGTATAATCGAATCGTAAAATCGTAGGATTTTAAGTACCATATAGAACATAGCATATAAGGATATTAATAAGGTAAATTATTAATATCACAAAGACACATAGCATTTAAAATGATAATTCAGAAGATTTTTTTTCCATAAGATAATTCTCAAGATTAATGTTCCAAAATCACTATTTTAATTGTTATTTAATGTGTAACTCAAAATAATTCATGATGAAGGGATATAGTTCATGGGTTTGGCTCTTATTTTCATGTTATGTGTAGGTTGTTTAACTCAAAGTAATATTTCGACATCGTCTACTAAGTATGATTTAAAACTAAAAATAATTGAACTCCAATAAAATAAGTAATGTTAGTGGCTTGGTACAAATATATTTATTAATAAATTAATTAGTTAATAATGATGTTAGTTCTTACATACTTCCAATATTAGGACAGGTGTTTTACCAATAAGTTAAATGGGGTGAAGGGAAAGAGATTAACCGAACCCTAATTTGGTTATTTTTATTATTTTTGAATATTTTTCTAATAGAAAAATATCTGAGAAGATTCCATTGCCCTTTCCGCTGAAACAATTATACTTATTTTAAATTGGCTCAAACCACCTATTTTGTTCTCTTACGATCAAAATCCCGATTTTAAACGATTTTAAGGTCCACCGATTTTATAGTAAAATCAAGATCGGAATCCCTAAGTAAAATCCTAAAATCCTACGATTTTACGATCAAAATCCCGAATTTGACTGCATTGGCGATGTGTGCACGATTAGTGGGCCAAATAACAGTTTGGGCCCGTTTAAATGAAAATATATTTTTACTTTCGTGCTCAACAGACCGACCGCACTGGCATCTTCTAAATTTACCCCTAAAAAATTGCTCTGTACGCATCAAATTTGAAATGGAATCCCTCTTTTCTCATTTCACATTTCACATTTATATGATGTGTAGATTGTGATGAGTGTAGATGTAGACCTGTCATTGTCCTACAAATTCATTAACACGCCAAAAAGTGGTGAAATGAGCCACCCTATTAAACACAATCTTGTATAATGATCATTGGATCCAATCATGCCAGATTATGAAGAATTTTAAAATGTAGCGGTTATCCCGACTAAAACATTAAAAGAACCAGTCTCATATAGTTTGCACAAAGATATAATTTCTCCATAGTAATTCTGAAAAATAATATTAATTTAAGAAGTCGATATTGCTTCTACATGTTTAATATTGCAATTCGATATGCAATATTCGAACCAGTGATATTTGGGCTGCAATTTTAGGGTTATTGTATATTTATAAAATAGATAGAAATTTAAATTAAGTATTAAACTACAACTAAAATAATTAAAGTATTAAAACACCAAATAAGTACTTACGGGAGATTCAGTGGCCAGTTAATCGTTAAAAAAGTCATATGATTTTCATAATTTAGGTTCGTGTATGTTTGAATTTAAATAGATACAACAAATATACTTAGTTTGATTGGTTATGATCCTTGCTTGCCTTTAAAGAGACCAAGGTTCAAATCCCAGTGCATGCCTTTTTTATGAATAAATAAATAAGAAAATAAGCAATTGTGAAGACCAAAATGTCCTTCCTATAATCACTCTCGTTGCAGAAAATTTGAAATGGAGCAACAGTTTTCATCATTCGGCTTTTATTTATTATCTAGATCAACCGATCATCCGAGACGGGAGTTGGGCCTGATACAATGGCCCCATTGTTCATTTTTTTCTCAGCGGGCCTAGCACACCTAGCAGTAACAGCCATCAACCTCTAAAAACTATACCAGGATATTATTTAAGGGCCTAAAAAAGCCCGCACAAAAAAAAAAAAAAAAAAAATTAGTCCCGGAACCGAGATGCGTACAAGAGAATTAGTGGAGTTAAACGCTTCAGCAATTAAGTTAGTATCTTCTTTATTTATCCAAGTAATTATTAAGTATCTTTACTTTACACTCGACTCGAGTTTAACCTCGTTGGAGTTAGAGTGAAAATTACAAAGAATATGATCCTTTACTTGGTCCGTGAGTTTACCATCTCGAAGGTCACTCTCCCTTACAAACAACCCGTGGAATCCATAAGGAACCCGCCGCGGCAGTCTAACCGCCGCCACAATCTCAAGCTCCGGCGACTGTGCATCCATCACCAAAAACCTTGACTCCCCTTTTATCTCGTCGTGAACGTACGTCACCACGTACCCCTCGTCCTCCTCCGCCTCCGGATTCTCCGGGTCCTTCGCCACAAAAAACGGCTCTCCGGCGAAGCAACCCGGCCCGAACATCCTGCAAGCCACCGTCCTCTCTTCCTCCGTCCGCCCCATCTCATCATCCCCAACGTCAAGCTTCACCACCCCCGATATCTTCGGCATCGGGTCCCCGACCCCGGCGTAGATGAACCGGTTCGTCCTCCCCACGTAACCCGGGTTCACCACCCCGAAATCCAGATTCCGGGTCGAAACCGGGACCCGATTAACAGTCCCCGTTTTCAAATCGATCCTCAACTTCTCCACTCGCGCCTGGACAAGCTCCAAACTCTCCAGCGCGTCCTCGACACAAATAACGTTTGAAACTAGCATAACTAGGCCATCGCCGTCCTCCTCGTCCCACGCGTTGATCGCGTGGACCGGGTTGAACCCGGCCACATCGAACCACTTCATCTCCGACCCGTCCGTCGCGTATCTCGGGATCACCCCGACCCGAGGCATCTTATTCGGGTCAGATCTGATCAGCGACCCGCCCCGGAAAGCCCAATCCACCGGGTCCATTACGATTTGTGTATCCACGAACATGGCGTACTTCTTCGTAATCGCGAAATCGTGGAGGAAAGGCGTTTTCCGGCTGAACGATAAGATCGGAACATCGGCTTGCTTCCTACCGTCGGCGTCGAATCGGAAGTAGGTGAGGCACGGCGACCTAGGGCCGTACCGAAACGCAAATGTCTCCCCGGTCTGCAGATCTATCTTCGGATGCGCCGTCATGCTCACCCCCAGCCTCCCGTCGAAATCGTGGCGGCCGATCGTCTCCACGTCGCCGTCCTCCGTCAATCTGACGGCGTAAGGGAGATCGGATTCCCCGAGAGCGAAGAGGCGGCCGCCGAAGAAGGCGAGATTGGTGTTGGCGAGGCCGATTCCCTTAGCCGGATTGAACTGGCCGAGAGCGACTCTGACGGCGGTTAATACAGCGCGGGCGACGGCGGCGGGTAATCGGTTGAAGGCGGAGAAGACATTGGGGACGAGTGGAGCTCCGGCTGCCTTCTCCGTCAAATACTTGTAGGTCTCGACATAGCGGCTGCAGAGAGTGGGAGGGCGGGCGCGTGAAATGGTTAGCGCGTGGAGCATTCCATCCCCGTCGAATAAGTGGTAGGGCCCACTAGGGTGGAATTGTGGGTTGGGCCCGTTGCGGATGTAGGACCCGTCGAGGCAAGGAGGGAGGGAGCCGTGGATGACGTGGCATTCAGTCGGCGGGAGCTCGTCGACGGGCGAGAAGTTGCCGGAGAGAACGGAGGCGGGGTCGGTGGAAGGGCAGTGGGGGCCGGGAGGGTCGATGACGGTGTTGATGAAGTCGTCGGCGGCCGTTAGAGCTAGAGAAGTTAAGGAGCGGTGATGGTGGTGCGGCGGCGCAGCCGCCGCTTGAACTCGTGCTCTGGTGCTACTGTTGATTGACGGTAAATTGTGGGAGAGAAGGATTGGGGTGGAGGTGAGGAAGGAAGATGATAAGGCGGCCGCCATTGTTATGATCGGCAGCAGCTGAAGTGACTTGAACGCAAGAAATAAGCAAAGATAAGGTTGCCTATATATATAAGACGACATAGAAAGCAATTGTTGGGCAGTAGCGTGTACGTTCTAGCTAACTGAACTGAAATTGGGCAGGGAATGGAGTTTCTGAAAGAAAAAATACACGGTGATGGCGACGGATAGTTCGTCGGAACTTAGGAATTCTGAAAGTACAATCAAGATGGAACTGGTTAGTAATTTGTCTAAAGGTTACAGAATGCTAGTTATAAATAGTGGCGATGAAACAACAAACCAATCTGGAATTTCATTGACCATTGATATTAATATGTGTTGAAATGGTGGTGTTTTGTCTGAATCTGGAAAGCAAAAATAGACTTCTTAGAACGCCATTATTTTCCTTGATCAACGCATTTTATTAATAATAGGATGTCGTTTTGTCCCAAGTCTCACAGCAATGTAACTAGTTACAACTTACAACCAGGGACACGTGGTTTACTGTTTTAGTGTAAGTGGTTGGTTACTGTAGATCGGTAGTTAATTGGTCAATTGATACTTCCATCAATACAATTGTATTTTCATTACCACGTAAATGTGGATGTTTTTGAGATGAAGCACAACCTGAAATGTTGAGTTCTTTTCTTGCACTGCATATGGGAGTTGGGAGCTGGGAGCACGACAGCACGTGTCATTCATTTTCTCAGCGGGCTTAAGGCCCATTACTGCCATCGGCCTCCAAAAAGTTATACAGCAATTCAGGAGTTGAAGCCTACGCGTAATTGTTCCAGAGCCCAAAGGCTAAGAAGTGAAAGGGTGGAGCCCAACATGACGTTCAATAATCAATATGTATGAAATTTTGTTCGAATTGCAGTGTTTATCATCACTAAAATGTAACTTTATTGTCCGATCAAAAAAAAAAAAAAAGTAACTTTATTGGAGTATATGTGAAAAAGAGGAAAATTTATGCTTGATTTGGAATGCATTTTGGGTAAATGTAATATTTGTTGAAAATTACCATGTTTTACCATATTAGAACATTTAGCATGTGATATTTCATCAAATATGATATCTAGAAAGGGTTAAAAAAGTGTGGTATTTTTTTATTTCCACACTGAATTAGTTAAACACCCATTTGCTCTTCTCTTATTATAAAAACAAAACTAACCTTCTTGTTTCCCAGCTCTAAGAAAACATAAATTGGAGATTGATATGTCTGCCGAATGCCGATGTAAATGACAAATAAAAGCATGAGGATATTGAGGACGATTATGATAATTAGTGTGTCCGGTTCGTCTACTAATATTTGAGAACCATTGGAAATTAAAAAAACACAATATCATTGAATTTCAGAAATAGTACTGACCCCTACTCCTAATATTTGAAGTATAGCATATCTCAATTATCATATATTGTTTTTCACCCAAACATAACATTTCTACTCAAATTTCACATTATGTGTGAGATGTACCTAAAGGCTAAATATCACACCTAAATGTGCATTCCAAACAACGTATTCTATATGTACACGTACATATCACATATATACAGATATACTCGATAATGACAACTACTATTACAGTATCTACGTAGCTAGCAGTAATTATCCCTTCACATTCTGAATTTACTCTTTTCACTCGGCACACCTTTACCTTACCTTTCGGAGGTCGCTCTCTCTCACAAACAGCCCATGAAATCCGTACGGAACCCGCCGCGGCAGCCTCACCGCCGCCACAATCTCAAGCTCCGGCGACTGAGCATCCATCACCAAAAACCTCGACTCCCCATTTATCTCGTCGTGAACGTACGTCACCACGTACCCATCGTCCTCCGCTGCCTCCGGGTTCTTCGCCACGAAAAACGGCTCCCCGGCAAAACAACCCGGCCCGAACATCCTGCAAGCCACCGTGCTCTCTTTCCTGTTCCTCCCCATCTCGTCCCCAACGTCAAGCTTCACCACCCCCGAGATCTTCGGCATCGGGTCCCCGACACCGGCGTAGACGAACCGGTTCTTCCTCCCCAAGTAACCCGGGTTAACCACCCCGAAATCCAAATTCCGGGTCGAAACCGGGACCCGATTAACCGTCCCCGTTTTCAAATCGATCCTAACCTTCTCCACCTGCGCGTGGATCAGCTCCAACCTCTCCATCGTGTGCTCCACCGACATGATGTTCGGCGCCACCAGCACCACCGTGTCCCCGCCGTCCTCCTCCCACGCGTTGATCGCGTGGATCGGGTTGAACCCGGTCACATCGAACCACTTCATCTCCGACTCGTCCGTCGCGTACCGCGGAATCACCCCGACCCGGGGCACCTTGTTCGGGTCGGCCCCAACGGGCGACCCGCCCCGGAAAATCATATCCATCGGGTTCATCCCGATCTGAATCTCCGCAAACAGGGCGTACTTGTTCGTAATCGCGAAGTCGTGGAGGAAAGACGGGCTCACCATTGAAAAAATCGGAACGTCCGGCTGCTTCTTCCCCTCCGAATCGAATCGGAAGTAGGTGAGAAACGGCGGCACGGGGCCGTACCGAAACGCGAACGTCTCCCCTGTCTGTAGATCTGTCTTCGGGTGCGCCGTCATGCTCATCCCCAATTTCCCGTCGAAATCGTGACGGCCGACGGTCACTAAATCGCCATTCTCCGTCAATCTGACGGCGTAAGGCAGATCCGACTCTCCCAAAGCGAAAAGACGGTCTCCGAAGAATGCCAGGCTGGTATTGGCGTTGCCGATGCCGTTAACCGGATTGAACTGTCCGGTAGCTATCCTCGCGGCGGACAGAGCCCCACGCGCTGCCGAGGCTGTGAGGCCGTTGAACCCGGAGAAGACGTTCGGAAGGAGCGGGGCCCCGGCGGCGCGTTCTTTCAAATACTTGTAGGTCTTGACGTAGCGGCTGGCGAGCGTGGCGCGGCCGCGTGAGATGGTGAGCGCGTGGAGCATGCCGTCCCCGTCGAACAAGTGGTAGGGCCCACGAGGGAGGTACTGTGGGTTGGGCCCGTTGCGGATGTAGGCCCCGTCGAGGCAGGGAGGGAGGGAGCCGTGGATGACGTGGCACTCGGTGGGAGGGAGCTCGTCGACGGGGGAGAAGTTGCCGGAGAGGACGAATCGCGGGTCGGTGGCGGGCTTGTGGGGAGGGTCGACGAAGGTGTTGATGAAGTCGTCGACGGCGTTGAACATGAGGGAAGGCATGGAAGGCTGCTGCCTCACGCGAATTGATCGTCGCTGCGGCGATGATCGGGTGGTGGGGGAATTTGTAGGGTTTTTAGAGGGCTGCGGTGGTGACGTTTTGACGGCATCGGAGGAGGTTGCTGGTTCGGTTCGGAGGGAGGAAATGTGGAGAGGAGAAGGGGAAAGTAAGTGGGAGCGGGGGGAAGGAGGAGGGGAGAGGAGTGTGGTTGATGAGAGGAAGGAGGAAGATAAGGTGGCATCCATTGCTGTCTGCGGAGGAGGAAGCAATATAATGGAGCTTTCTTTCCTCTTCTTCTGTAAAAAGGAAACTGGCTTAAAGTAGAAGAGAGAGATGATGGAGAAGATAGCGGTGGTGCGGTGGGGATATATACTGAGAGTGTAAGTGAGGCAAATTGAGGAGACGAAAGAATCTGGGCGGGGACCAGCTAGCTTAGCTTCTACTATGAATGTGTTAAGAATAGGTTGAGTCGAGAAGTTACCGAGGATCGTTAAAATTGAACACGTGTAAACCGTGAGTGATCAGGAAGGTGAATTTGGCCTGTGCATGCGGCGACCGTGTAAGTGTTGTAGTAGTACACAAACCATCTGTGTTTCTATTATTATTATGTGATCAACAAAAAAACATTAGTGAATAAGTATTCACTATAAAGTAGCTATTTGGTGCTTAGTTTGGGTGTAACCTGACATGGTACAATAATCTTAAGCTAGTTCCCGTCACATATTTTCCTCCATCTCTCTCTTGCAATTTCAGTTTCTGAACCAAAAAAAACTTGTCCTTCACATGATCCACTCGTAACAATTTTCCTCAAAGCAATCTTCCGCCACGGAAGAGCGTCCGTCCGCCGGAGCCTTTCGTACCACCAAACTTTAGTTTTGATTGCTCCTCAAGCGACTGTGGACATAATTCCAAACAAGAGACAAGGAGAGTTGGTTCTGGTGTGTTCTCTGGCATGCTTCATGAGAGTTACACGTGGTTTCACATATATTTATTTTATCTATATTATGAGCTTTATGACATGCTTTCGAAAATTTGTAGTCAGCATATGAGGTATCTAGTATGATTTTTCGTCTTTCCGATATGCTTCATGAAATTTGTAGCAATGTTGATGAGTTTTGTAGTCTACTTTAGAATTGACTGCCACATCAGATAAAGTTAACGTAGAGTGACTAAACGTGGTCCGTTTTACTAATTCGAGTGACCAAAATTGATATAAATTTTTTCCAGTGACTAAACATGACACGTTTTAGTATACCCAGTGACCAAACTTGACATTTACCCTATAGGATACATATGAAATGACATGATGAAAAAGAATAATAGTCAATTAATGACACAATTCATCCCATGTTTATATATTCTATTGGTATATCATATTCGGTCAACTCATAAGCTATAGTTCGAATCGCTCATAAATCATTGGTCGAGCTGTGTCCCTGGCCACTTTGTCAAGCCAACTCACGAACTTAAAAAGAGCTAGCTCACGAGTTTACCTTAACAAAAACTAAACTCTAAACTAATTTGCAAATTAAATACCTTAATCTTTGTATGTCGTATATGGTACATATATATGAAATGTCGAGATGAAAAAGAATAATAGTCAATGAATGAAACAATTCATCTCATGTTTATATACTCTATTAGTATCATATTTGCTCAACTCATAAGCTATAGTTCGAATCGCTCATAAATCATTGGTCGAGCTAGGTCGGTGGCCACTCTATCGACCCAACTCACGAACCGAACACGACGTAGCCCACGAGTTTACCTCAGCAACCCATCGAGCCGAACTGGCTCGCAAATCTTGCAAGTTAAACTAATACTGAATTCAAACTCGACTCATTAACAAACGAGCTGAATGCGAAATGAGTTGTTTTTTCTGGTACGAAAAATCGAACTGCACGTGACAGTTGCTAATCATTGTCTAAATGACAGTTACTAATCATTCTTTAACAATGAGTAGACGTTCATTGAATCTAAAGTAAAAAAAAAACCCTGACCACCACGATTGATGACAGGGGTGATTTGATACACACAAATATGAATTGTACCATAATGAGCATGTGCCAACGTGAATCAGATCAAATCAAATTGTGATGAAGGGTGATTTTTCGTGAGGTGACAAATTGGATTGAATCCCACCTCACTCAAAAAATTCATCTCCCAAATAAAGGCCCACTCTAAGCCCATGATCCCTTCAACCAGAAGAATTGTGGCTGGCAGAAAAAGATGGGAGAAGATATTTGGGTTTTGCCAATTTGCCATGGCATCATCATCATAAATGTACCACCACCGCTGGGACCAACCATGAACACACATATCACCTTCACAATCAAAATTAATTCACCCGTCCACAAGGACATATCTGAACACTGTACTTGTAATTGTATGGTCCAAAGCACTCTGCCCCCTCCATTTACAAACTTCGGGAAGGAAAATATCAGCAGAAGCAGCCATCAACCTTGCAACGATCGATCGATGCCCAAGTTTAGGTAATTAAAATTGGAAATCCTGTGACTAAAAGGCTCAAACCCACCTATTTCCCCCCACCAATTTCAACTGCCTCCATCAACCCAACAGTGATGGAGGTGGCCCGTCGGTAAAGGTTAATGAGTGAGTGAGACAGGAACAGGATAGAATAGAGATGAGGGATAAAAGACGCAAACTTTACTATAAGTTCATCCCTGCTAGCAACCTGATAACAACTTTATCATCCTGTAAAACTGACCCAAAATGAATCAACAGCTCAAAAGTTTGATCGTCTCACCCAGAAGCGCCATGGATGAAGGAGGTGAAACTGTATCCCAATTGTGATCTGACCTGAGAACCACCATTTTCATCAGCGGATCCTCACCAGCCAATTAGTGCACTAGATCAACGAGGCCGGTAAATGTTCTGTGCATATCACTCTGCAGAAACAGGACAGCCAATTAGGCCTAGTTCTTTCACTGCGTCGTTGTACCAATAATGCATGGCACTCAACTCTATCTATAATTCGTTCTAACCCACAGGATTCATCTAGTGGTAAGAAGATCATCACTGTTGCAAGTATCTGTAATGTGTGGATCAGATTTTCTTCCTATTTCTAACCAATGAACAATCCCATCAGTCAGTGTCAGTTATGCAGAGTTATTATCAAACCATTGACGCTTTCTCATGGAATGCACCCCGCTAGCAAAAGATAAGGGAATCTGGCCCCCTTACATTTTAATCATATACCTAATGTTCACCCATATATGATAAATCCATTTCTAATTAGAGTTGTTTGAAAAACATGATGGATAAAGAATGAAATGAACAGAGACTCACAGTACCTTGGCATCCAAATATGAAATACCACATGGGACCAGGATTTGACTTGTAATTTCCTTGGAATCACAATGACTCATCCTTGTCCAGAGAGAAGCAAGAATCTGTGCCAATTATCAATCTGAACCAGAATAACTCTTGGTATTGAGCGGTCCATACATACGAGTGGACGGAGTATCTGAACAATGAAAATCTGTTATCCATAGTACCGACATCAAACAAGCTACAAGCCAAGCTTTATCTCAGTTTCAATATCTTGAAATTGCCAGTGAGCACAGCAGATGTTGTTAACTCATTCTACAGATATCATTTACTCACTCAAATTCTTCATTCAAGTAATTATAGGCAAGAATTATCTTTGTAGTACCAATTACTGTGTATTAGTAAAGCTGCCCGACATTGTAACTGCAAGCAATGTAAGAAATGGTGGAACAAATTCAATTACCCCCTGTAGTACAACATAAATCTAGGTTTATTAAGAAACTGAAGCACAGCACAAGATCACAGAAGTCAGTTAAAACAGTGTGGTAAACCAATATGTCTAAGACAACTGATATTCATAAGCGTGCATGGATCTCAACAGCCTTATTATTTATGTTACCACTTTGAACTTCACAGAAACAATGATCAAGTATGTCTAGCCAGTTTGGGAGCTTTTCCAACAGTTTGTCAGAGATGAGCAGTACAAGCAGAAACAAGGCTTAGATTCTAACTGAATAATAAGGAAATGACCAGACCAGAGGGTGGTGGCGGAAAGTGAACAGTACCCCCGACAAAAATAGTAGAGATCAGATGAAAAGAATCAAACCATCACTTGGAAAGACAGAACTGCAAAACAAGCTACAACATGGAATTTTAATTCAGTTGTGCGGGTGCTTACTTGAAGTACTTTCTCAGTGCTACAGAATGATAAGTAGATGAACCCAACCTACTTTGTCACCACAGATCATCTGATCATGCTGCTGTTTCTGCTGCAAGGTACTAAAAAAACTCAACTTTTCCTTTCAACAATATTCACAAACCTCCTTTCATCTGCTTTAGTTTGTATGTACAAGCCCCAATGATACCCCACCTGACACGTTTAGTGATAAAGCCACTATGTACAAACCTGCAATGCACTAGCCACTGAAGATCACAATCTACACCAGAGTTCCACGAACAGTGTTCTCTAGAGTACCAGTGCCACATGCAAGCCTGACTCTGTTCAGCAAAGATTCAGTCACCTCGATAGCAGCCGCCTTCATCTGGTAAAGAAGCTTCAAGGCCTCAACATAAAACCCATTATGGAGATAGCACGTTAGCATAGCATTCCAATGCGCATCATCTCTATCGTCAGTGATCAGCTTGAAAACCTGTTTGGACTCTTCGACCATCCCACAACTACCATACATTTTAATCAGTCCACACTGGATAACAACCTTCCCTTCCAAGCCCTGCTTGATGGCAATCGCATGGACTTGTCGACCAGACATCCCACCATCGTCCATCTTAGCACAAGCCCTCAGTACAGCGGTTAAAACGCTAATTCTGCATATCCCGTCCCTCCCCATCCGGTTGGAATCGTGCACGACTTGACTGAAACGCCCTTCTCTGTAGCTATTTGCTAGCTTAGTACTCCAGATGGGTAGGCTATTACACTGAGGGAACTTATCAAACACATGGTTCACACTCTTCACAGGCCCCAAATTTCCGTGGAGTTCATTTAAAGAGACATCCAGACACGAACCATCAGCACAAGTAGATCCACACTTAAACAACAGCCCATGAAGTTGCTTCCCTAAACCTTGGTTTTCAGTATACACACATGCCTTGAGAACGGAAGCCATTGCAATCTGTGGAAAATGCAGTAAGGAATAGTCATGACTTAGCATCTGGATGAAGAAGCCGATAGATTCTTCGTGTTGAGCATCGTGGGAGTAACCGGTAATGATGATTGCCCAAGAGATCGCATCTCTCTTACCAGGCATTTGATCGAACAGCTGGCGGGCTAAATCAAAATGACCACAGGAAACGTGCATGAGGAGCAGCCGGTTCAGAAAGGCTACCTCCTGCTCGTTGAGGAGCCCATTTGAACTGGTGCGGGCATGGAGTTGGAGAGCGGAGGCCTTATCTCGTTGGTTCGTGCACTCTTTGATGAGGGAAACGCAGAGGTCGGGTGCAACAGGGAGGCATAGGGTGTCAAACAGACGCAGAACGTCGGCGGCGCAGCCGGCCTTGTTTTTCCGGGGAGAAGAAACGAAGGACCGAACGTCTGCGTCTCCTTCCTCGCTGTTATCGTTGCCTTTGATTGGCTTCGTCGGCGTGCAAGGAACAATGGGTTTCTGCTGCTGCTGCTGAAGATGCAGTCGTTGTGGAGTAGATGGTCTCCTTGGCGGTGGCAACTGCAACTTAAGTTGGTGCCTTGCCGGTGATGGCGCCGCGTCGTCTGGTCCGGGGTAGCCGGCGCAAGTTGGCTGGAGATGTCCGAGTCCTACCACGTTTGTGTGTAGTCTCGACAAAGCCATTGATCATCAACCGATTTCGTAGCTAATCCGGTACTGCAACGAAAGCTCTCAAACCAGCTGGCGAAAATTATTGATTTCGCTCCCAATGAAATCATTTTGGTCTTGCTCCTAATGAACCCTAAATTCATTAAACGAAGAAACCCTTGGCAGCTTACGTTACAGACGGTACTTGTGCCAAATGAAAGGAAACAAAAATCACTCCAACTTCGGGTATAACTTTCACCCATTCATTCCTTGAGGGTTTCGACCGTTTGGCAATCATAAACTGTAGAATACATGAATTCCAAGAATCTGTTTTGATAGTTGATGGCATCAAGGTCGAACCATCTTCTGCTCGTACAGCTCAAATCGCTCTCATGGGTCACTGGTTCACGGGGTTGTACTCAAAACTGTAACATGCCACTGGATGGGAATGTCGGAGTTTATTCATCTTCATCTTCATCGGCATCCTCATCCAAGTCTTCCAATCTGCTTCTTGACGATCTTGGTCTGTGATGAATCGATTGCAAGAAGTTGAAATAAGCATACTTGATATCAAACTGCATATCATACCCTGCCACATTTGCACAATAATCCGACAGTTAGCCTCTGCAACTAACTAGTATATCGTTTACCCAAAAATCTTAGCATCAAAGCTCAAATTCTTACAGTAGTTTACGGCAATGGTGCAGCCTCTCTCGTCTGGACTCTGTCGAACATGATGAAACCACATACTAGGCCTGCATCAAAAACATCTGAAATTACTGACCCCTTTAACTTGCAATCATTAGATATCCACGGGAAAGGAGGCGAGAACTTGCTTGCAAGTTGCATTTCACAAATGCTAAGCATTGTAGTAGCAGCAGCAGCTTACAGGTAAAGAATGTCTCCTGCCCTGACCGTACAATGAAATGGCTTTGGACCATTGAAATACATAGGGAACTTAGAAACTTCGACTTTTTTCGTCTCCGGTGAAGGGTAAGGATTCACACTGCACCATGGAACAAACCTCGCCGGCTCCTCCATCTCCAACCTAAATTTCCCGCCTTCCTAATTGATCATTCATTAACCCAAGTAAACGAAATTGAATCGTCGAAAACACCAAACCCTAAAGTAAGGTGGAAAAAAGAGTACCAGATCATAAGAGTAGTGTGCGGCTGGGTAATCGCGAATGTACATCCGGTAAACATCAGTAGGAGGGAGCAGTAAGAAATGCTTCTCTCCGGAAACCACAGCGTAGAGATTCTCGTAGTGGTCCTTATGGAAAGACGTCTCCGACAAGTGGTTCCCAATCCAAAGATTCACGGCCTCCGGCGGACATCCGAGAGCCTCCGTCGCCCAAGCTATGTGCGGATCGCAGTCGCCGCTCAAATTCGAGTACTCCTCCCGGAAGCAATCGTTCTGCTGCTGCAAGTAGGCGACAGAAGGATCTCGAGTACTCGCCTCCTCGCTCTTGCTGCTGCTGTCGAGAACGAATTGGAGAGCGCGAGGGAAAGGGACGCGCTCTACGTGAGCGGAGGCGAAGCATGGGGAACCGGAAGAGAGCGGGACGAGGGAATCGGCGCGGCCGTCGGGGGTGAGGTGGAGGGAGACCAGGGAATCGGAGAGGGATCGGGTGAGGTAGTTGTGGTCCGGCCAGAGGGAGAGTGCCGGCCAATGAGAGACGGCGTTGGAGATGATGCAGGGCTTGTTAGCGGAGACGAAGCGGCGGAGGAAGTCGAGCGGTGACGGCGGCGAGTCCAGTCGTTCTACTGAAGTCCCGAAGCTCAGTTCTCTCACTTCTTCCCACAGCGATTCTACCGCGTTCGCGTCCTCCGTCATTTTTTCTTCTCCGAGTTGGACGGCGGGCTGGGCAAACGGCGGCGGGGAACCTGGGTTTTCTGGCCATTGCTGTCTACGGTGATGCCATGACGGTCTTTACTTTCTAGACCGGGTCCGGCCCACTGGACCGTGGGCCTCTCGGGCCTGCAGGAGGAAGAGGGGGGATATTTGGGCCGTTTGTTGCAGTTTCGACTTTGGATACCAAATTTCAGATTCTGGTCTCCACCAGAACATATGACTGACGAGCCCTTTACTATGCTATAAAGTATTGGTGCTTTAATGTACAATTTGAAGTTGTACCATAACATTAAATGTATAAGTTTAAGTTGTACCATAAAGGAATTTGTACCCTTATGTTATGGTACAACTTTACAAGTTAAAGTTGTACCATAACATAAAGGTACAAGTTCAAGTTGTACCGATAAGAATATGTACAAAACAGTGTAGGTATAATCTATAATTGTACCATAACATTGAATGTACAATTTCAAGTTGTACCATAAAGGTAAAAACCTATAGCACCAATACTATATAGTATTGTAAAATTCCTCATGACTGATATGTAAGGTTGTCAAACCGGTTTATGCCAGTGTGTCGGTTTGGCAAGTGGAATGATTCGACCAGTGGCATATATCGGATTTTATCGGTTCATGCCGGTCAATATTATAATTAAAATTATAAATTAAATATTTAAACATGACATTTAACGTCAATACCTAAACATTTATACTTGAATCCAACAAATAACATCAATATTTAAGTTTTATAATCATAAAATAAATAATAAAATATTTTTTATCAATTAAATTCACTAAAATAAGGTCATTTTAATTATTTATATATCGATCATGCCGGTCATATCGATGATGTCAGGCCGGTTTTATGACCGATACCGGTTGAACTGAACCGATAGCTTCGTTGCCACCCTTGTTCGGGTCGGTTCCCACTCGGGACTATAAAGACTTTACCAGGTTTAACCGATGGCCTCGTTGCCGCTCTTATTCGGATCGGTTCCTGCTCGGGTCTATAAAGACTTTACCAGGTTCCACGGGGCCTGGTAAAGTCTATATAGACCCGAGTGGAAAACGACCCGATCCGAATAAGGGCGGCAACGAACCTTTTTGGGGCTTGGTAAAATCTTTATAGACCCGAGTGGGAACCGACCCGACCCGAATAAGGGCGGCAACGAACCTCTTTGCAGTAATGAATGAAATCTCATCAAACAGACATTAAACTGTGGGGGTGAAGTCGTAGTAGATTTACTAGTAGGTGAAGCTCACCGTTAGGTGTTGGGTGGAAAATGGAAATGCCGCCGTAGAAAAGTTCCGATCAGATACCTGAACTTAACTTCCCTTACAATTTCAACCCTCCACGGCTCTCTGGTCAAAACGCCGGCCACTCAATGTGAGCATTATTGCATACAGTTCACAGACGGAGCTGGACGGACACGATTCCGTGGTTGGAGCCAGAAGCTTTGCTGCCTGGAAAAAGGCAAACAGTACAACACAGGACGAAAATCATCAATTCTCCAACTCCAATTCTCCTCGCCCTTTTCAACTTCGTCCTCGCTCCGGAGAGAGAGCGGAGGGGGGAACTAACTAATTAGTGCTGCTGCTGCGATGATGACCCTCGTTTCCACCGGCGGCCGCTCCTTGGCTGTGGGGCCACTGCCTAACTTCAGGATCACGCCACCATCGTGGCGGAGGCCTGCGCCGCCTTCTCTGAAGACCCCGCGCGCGGCCATTGTGGAATCGAGGCCGGTCAAAATAGCGCATGCGGCAAGGGATAATGCCTCCAACGGTAACGGCGCGCTGGTACTCGTGTCCGGCGGAGGCGGAGCAGGATCCGGAGGAGGAGGTGGAGGTAGTCAGTCTGAAGATATTCAGGCGGAGGCTAGAGCCATGGCTCGTGCCGCCGATGCTCCCATTTTCACCCCGGAGCTTATTGCTAACAAATATGGCCGTAGACCTATCGAGGTTTGTTTTCGCATTCCATTTCGATTCATTCTTTCTTTCTCTTCCGTGCTCGAGTTGAACTTTCCGTCTCTCTTCATCTCCAGGTTTTGAGGAGGACGATAGAGATTTTGATAGCGATAGTTTCTTTTGGGTTGAAGCTGTGGTTGGACGAGAGAAATGGAGTGTTCGATCAGAATAAGAGAGTCCGAGCGGCGGAGCTTAGGCAGATTTTCACTCGATTAGGACCGACTTTCGTCAAATTGGGGCAAGGACTCTCCACCAGGCCTGATATCTGCCCTCCCGAGTATCTGGAAGAGCTCACTGAGCTTCAGGTTTCCTCTTCTTTCCTTTCTCCCATCCTCTGTAGCTACATTAACAATTTGAAGAACACTTAGGACGAGAATTTTCTCAAAGCCAATTCCTCACACTTAGGACGAGAATTTTCTCAAAGCCAATTCCTCACCGTTATTTGTGTAACAGGACGACTTGCCCACATTCCCTGATGAGGAAGCATTTGCCTGCATCGAGAGAGAGTTGGGGGTTTCTCTCGACTCCATTTACTCAACCATTTCGCCTTCTCCTATTGCAGCTGCGAGTCTCGGCCAAGTTTACAAAGCTCAACTCAAGAACTCTGGCCAAACTGTTGCTGTCAAGGTGCAACGCCCCGGCATCGAGAAGGCTATTGGTCTAGATTTCTACCTCGTCAGGGGGATTGGCGGATTGATTAACAAATACGTTGATTTCATCACCAGTGATGTTGTTGCTCTTATTGATGAATTTGCATACAGAGTTTACCAGGAGCTCAACTACGTCCAGGTTATTTCTCAGAGATTTCAATGTTGTTTCCACTCCCATGGTTGCCATTTTGCATACCTTAGGCATCCTTCTGTCAGCTGAACAGCTGCATGTGTTAGTAGTATCTTTTGGTAAGCTTCGTTTGGATTTTGATGTAAATTTGCACAGGATCATTGTGCAGGAGGGACAAAATGCGAGGAGATTCAAGAAGTTGTATGCTGACAATGAAGAAATATTAGTTCCTGATATTTTCTGGGAGTATACAAGTGGCAAGGTCTTGACCATGGAATGGGTTGAGGGTGTTAAGTTAAATCAACAGGAGGCTATAGAGGGTCAGGGCTTAAAGGTTCTGGATCTTGTGAACACGGGAATACAATGCAGCCTCAGGCAGCTCCTTGAATATGGATATTTCCATGCAGACCCTCATCCTGGTAATCTCTTAGCAACACCAGAGGGGAAGCTCGCCTTTCTTGATTTTGGAATGATGAGTGAGACCCCAGAAGAGGCAAGATATGCCATTATTGGTCACGTGGTGCACCTGGTTAACAGAGATTATGAAGCTATGGCTCAGGATTATTATGCTCTCAAATTCCTCTCCACGGATGTAGATGTTACCCCAATTGTTCCAGCATTGCAGAATTTCTTTGATGATGCACTCGATTATACAGTTAGTGAGCTTAACTTCAAAACCCTAGTGGATGGACTGGGGGCTGTTTTCTATCAGTACCCATTTAATGGTGAGCTTGACATAATTTTACTGCACTGCTTCTTTGAACTTGATTGTGTCATTTACATGGATGCGATGTTATACTGAATTGACATGCAGTTCCAGCTTATTATGCATTGATATTGAGATCCCTCACCGTGCTTGAAGGATTGGCCCTTTATGCTGATCCTAACTTCAAGGTTCTGGCTGCTTCATACCCTTATTTCGCAAAAAGGCTTCTCACTGATCCAAACCCATATCTTAGAGATGCTCTTGTCGAGCTGCTTTTTAAAGATGGGAGGTTCAGGCACGTGTGCGATCCCTCTCTCCGCTTTCCTTTGTTTCCTTAGCATGCTTGGATGTTTCAATTATCTTTTTTACCCGTGGTCCAGATGGAAGAGACTTGAAAATCTACTTAAGCAAGGAAGACAAGACCGAGATTTTTCAGCAAGAGATGCTCTACAGCCTGTATTGAAACTACTGCTGGCCCCAGATGGTGAAGAATTGAGAAGATTGGTTGTGAAGGAAGCTGTATATGTATCAGAAGCTGTAGTTTTGACCTCAGTTGTTGATACTTACAATTCCATACCCGCCATGTTAAGACCTCCAATCCTATATGGGAATGGAAGAGGACCTCTCACGATGAGTGATGCTGAACTGCTAAGAACTAGAGAGTTCAGGGACCTAGTTGTCAGAGTATGGGGACTTCTACGAACCTCTGAAGATTTTGACCCGGCCCTCTTGCAACCTATATTGCAGGTATTAAAGATCAGCCTCGTTGCTCAGTTCTGTAAAATTTCTCATATCAGTATACATCTGAATAAGTGCCAACATGGAACTTCCATACAGGTCCTTCAACAGCCCGAGGCACGCAGTCTAGGAGGACGTGTTATCGGTGGAGTAACTCAACGCCTTGCCGCACGATTCTTGCAACAAGTGCTTCGCACGCCGCCACCTGTTCCGACCTCATAGACATTCTTTTTCTGCGTTTCAGGTAAGAAAGATTCATGTAACCTTGCACACTATTGGAAAAGAAGGGGTAAAAGAAAAAGGGAAGGATGAAAAGTTGAGATGCTGAGTGGATCATCTCACCAATTGTTTCTCTGGCAATCATGTATAATAGAAAAGTTCCCAATACTCTGAACCAGTATCTTGCATCTTGACAGGCAGTGAACAATCTTACTGTTCAGGAAATCGTATGCAACTGCTCTTAATACTTTCGCGAGCCAACATTACACAGTAATTAGGGCAAGAAACGTAGATCCCAATCTTGAAAGCACTCAAGAAAGGTTCTCTGGGGATCCGTTTTAACATTGGATGGATCCGATAAAATTGGGACGATGTAGAGAAAATGGTCAATCGAAATTCGGATTCATTCATGAATAGCTTGGGTTTCTCCCTCCACGAGTCGCAGTATACTGATTATGTCAATTGTCAAATAATGCAACTCTTCCATAAGGCTTGCTATAAGCTCCTAGAATGGGCAATAGTAACTCAGAGAGAGAATGATTCTGGTCGTTACATAACAAGAAGATGTGAATTAACAGGGATAGAGATTGAAGTGAGGTTGTTACTTGTCACTTACGTTACATAAACCCTGGGAAGGCATTTCCCCGCCTACACTCTATCAATTACAAATTACCACAACCACCCCTACACTCTCTCGACTTGAGGGTTTCACAAATCCACCTCACAACAATTTGTGGGGGAAGAATTAGAGATGCAAGAAATTAATTGTAAGTTGAGGGGCGGGGTCGAGGGGCTATGTATAAAGTGTTACCGACATCAATTGGCGTTTGTGCAAGTGGGTTCCATCTATCAAATACGATTCGCCCACCTCGCCCGATTCTTCCTCGAAATCTGTACGTCACTGCTGATCCCCCATTCCTCGCCGATGGATCTGCTGGTGGTACTATCCCAGCAGATGCCAACTTCTCGGGTACAAGAGGCTTCGTGAACAACAATAGTGGTTCATTTGGATCCTGCGTTTTAGAAACAAATGGTGAAATGATGAGGAACTCATGCACTCGCAGTTTCTGCTGATGAGAGTCGGCCAACAAAAAGACAATGAATGAAGAGAGACCATGCACGCACCATTTTGTGGAGCCAACCGTCGACTGCATGCCTCCGACGTAGCTCTTGCTTCATGGTTGCTGCTGGTGGGAAGTTGACAATGTTTCTGGAATCCGTTATCATGGGGGTCGGATTTTGCAGGGGAAGGGGAGGACGCGTGCGTGGACGACTGTTTGCAAAGTCCTCTGAATCAAGAATTTCATCTTCGCTTGACACAAACTTGGAGATGGGTTGAAATCCATGAAGAGCCAAGCTATCCTCAAGTAGCTCTGTCTCATGCTGTATACACCAACGGGAAAAAACAAACCCAAAGAGTTGAAACTAACACGTGTCCTTCTGGTTATCAGTTAAATGACCAAGTTTTCTGGTTCAAATCTCTCTATTACTTTGGTCCGGCAATCTAAAAGGATTAATGAGCTATTGTTACTTGCTTCTGTATATTTTGGTTTGTGTGGCCTGTTCTTTGATGCACCTTAGTGTTCGCCATATTAAACACATTGGTAATGGATAACCCAATAACAGATTCAATAGTAGGTCAGATGCTGACAGCATACAGATAACAAGAGACGCGCAAAAACAAGCCAGACACCAACGCATACCTTGTACTTGATTTGGATCCTCTGGAGACTGACTTCACTCTCCATCACCTCTCTTTTCTTCTCTTCTCTCTGCAAAAGTAACCATAATCTTAGGACAGAATTCCACAATAGAAAATAAAAGAGCCTAAATTGATTAAATCTTTGATGTCAATGAAGTTTAAGCAAATCAAGAACCTTAATCAGAGCCTCGAGTATAGTCTTGGCTTGCTCAAGATTCCGCCTGACCTGAAAATAGCAATACAAAATGACAGTGAGTTTTACTACAATAGAGAATGTTCACCCTATTTGTTTTGGAACCGAACATTTGCCAGTGCTGCGTGAACCATGATATATGTAAGTATGCATGTAGATATATATAAGTGTGCGAGAGCGACGACCTAGTAATCAACAATCTAACGAAAAGCAAAATAAATTTTATCCACTGAAGAATAGTAAGCGCAAGGCCCCGAGTCAAGTTGGTATAGAATCCAGCTACCAGAGAGCACGACACATCTTCACCAACAATTCAAGATTATCATGCTCCCTAGACAACACATGATAATGGTTCTATCCCCATAGACCACACAAATTGGACACTGCAACTAAAACTCAGGTGGCAGTTTAAATGACAGCATTTCACTGACAAATCGTTTCTCAACAGCCAAAGGAGCCTTGGGAAAGCATGAAGCTTGTTCACAACTCACAAGACAAATAAGTAGAAAGTTGGCTGGCTTTGGCAGCTATGAGCAGATTCTTTGAGTCCAAACATCACAATCATACAGGTATACTAAGTTGAGACCTTAAAGAATATAGCGTTTGAGATCTTCTATGTTATACCAAACCTGTAGACAAGTGTAGCTTTTCAAAGAAAAACTAAACTGAAAAGAAATATCAACACTGACCTGCCGAAGCTTTTCAAATGATTGTACATTATTTTCCCTCCTCTGCATCTGTAGAGAGAAGCACTGAGAGTCTTAAGCATTGAGGTAGTTAACTATAAGTTTTCATATCAATGGACAATTGTAGAGCTATCCGGAAAAATTAGAGAATCGAATGGTAAACGGATATACCTACCCTTCTGGTATGCAGTCTGTGTGCTTTCTCTCGTGGCCGGAAGACATTGTATGGATTTGTGTCATTCACTGGGGGAGGAGGCTGTACCATGAAAGTGATGGCATTAAAATAAGAAAGTGCAGAAATCCGTATGAGAAAAGTCAACTAAAGCACAAGCAACCTGTTTCTACAGACCTCAAAACCCACTGAAACAAAGTACAATAAACCACAAGTCACCATGAGAAAGAAACATGTTTTTCTCTGTGGCCAACACTTTTTTGGGCATGTGTGACCCATGGTTGTTATGGCATCATCTATTTCTATCACAATTGTCCAAGAATTCTGGTGCATAGATGTCTAATCTAGTGTGGATCTCTTAGTATATCACATCCTCCTAGTTTCCTCACCTCAACGAATTATGATTATATTTTTAGTCCTTCTGGAGGGAAATCAATAATTTAGTTGTTGACATCCATAGCTTCTCCGAGTATGGAGTAGTCATGAAACCCCAACTAGCTGAATCGAACTATCCTTTTTTCTAAAGTCTACAAGTAGTTCCAGGTTATAGAGACTCGTAAAGTTAAACAACATGATATATCGATATGTATAAGAAGAATACATTTTACAAACAATCTCAAAAAATTACACAGTAGCAAAGGAAAATACCAACCTGCAGTCGGCGTAAAACAGGCTTTTGCCATCTTTCACGCTGCCCACAACAGGGGAAAAACGAAACTGTTAAACACTAAACTTTGATAATTGACATTGTAATATAAATAACACACCTGCACAACCCCAGCCAAAGAAAAAAAGAAAAAGAAAAAAAAAAGGGATTATAAATCATCCAACCAAAAACAAAGGCAAAAACCATATTGAGACATAAATAGTTTTTTCAATGATTCAGTTCCTTTCCCCTTGTTAAAATTTAAGGAGGATCATGTTGTAACACGTATTAGAGGTACTGTATAAGGATGGATTTGATAACTGTAACTGCTCAAATAATGGAGACATAGCCTAAGTGCCTAACATCAAAAGCCATTGTTTGGTCAAATATTAAGCAAGACAAAGGTGATATTGTAACAAATTCTTCTCGACCAGCCAAAGGATAGTGATGATAAAAGTACTTAAAGTGGGAAGCAAACTACTGACCAGTTGCAAAAAAGACCAACAACCGGGCAACTAAGACACAGAGTAACACCTCTAGATTAGTCAAAGCGATAGAAGGAAAAATAGGCTGTACAATTACAGGACCTACAAGTTAAAGGCGTAAAACTCAGGTAGGGGAAGAAGATTGATTTTGCACGTCTTGTTAGTTAGAAGTCTTCAGTTTGGGCTTGTTTGGAAACTTATCTTCATTAGAGAACAAGGACAGGCATAAAGCCAGCTAAATGTTACTGGAAATGATGAATGTTAACATCTGCTGCAGAACTTCTTCGATACTCTACAATCTCAAGTTCATATTTAGTATTTACTGAATAATTCAAATTAGTTCATGATATGATTTTCTATATCTCCATCATCACTGATTTGATATAGAATACAACCTTTTCTTTCCAGTAGTTATAAACCGACTGGAGAACCACATATCTGACAGACTGAGCTTGCAGTGCCTGCAAGTGGAAGGGAAAAAATAAAAGAATAATTGAGATGAAGGCAAATTATAATCATAGACCACTGGAAGGAAATTATAATGGAAATGACAGAATGCAGGAGTAACCGATTTGTAAACGAGTCAACTGTCAAGGGTACCCCCCCCCCCCCCCCCCCCCCCCCCCCCAAAAAAAAGCAAGAAATTTTTTTTTTGGGGTCCAGTGACACCAATAAAATTCGACATCTAAAACCTTGTAATACAATAGTGTATACAAAATAACCTCCAAAGCTCAACCTTACAACAAAGCCTCCCAGATCTATAGGGGGTATAATGACCATCCCAGGGCAAAGAGGCATTTTCTATGTACTTCATCTTAAATGTGATTGCAGTTACTCGTGGTTGATACATTAACCATAATACTCTTTAACCATGAAGACAGATACAGAAACAAATTTTTACCTCACTAGCAGCATCTAGTTGTAGAAGTACAGGGATGGGAGAACCAAGTGTTGGTGTTATAACTCCAGCTCTTTCCCTAGCCTTATGATCTAACACCTCCAACTTGAATAGAAGAACTTCAAACCTACAGCAATAGGCAATAGCAGTATAAGGAGATTATCCAGTAAGCTGTTGCTCGACTTTTATTAGCCTGAAAGATGTTATGGGATCACCAAAATGTCCAATTATAACTCCTCTAACAATACCTTCCAGAACTTCAATGCAGCATGACAAATGAACATTGTTAATAAGAGAAATAAGCCAAACTACATGAAATTTGATGCACTGAGCAGGCAAAACATATCCCATAAGCAAAATAAAAGCACGAAACTGACAAATGAAACCCTCAGCACAGACTATAACAGGCATAGAATACACAGGGGTGGTTGAGCTAGAGAAGCAAAAGGTCGATTGCCATTTGGATACACAGTCATACACTAAAGCATGTCCAGGCAAACTAATAACAATTTTGAAACAGCCGGTGATTAATGTTTACTTTTCAGGAGAAAGGTTATTCCTGTCTTTGTTGAACTCTTGAAGCCAATCCTCATCTTCGTTGTCAATATCATATTCAACAAATTCTCCGATCTCAGCTCGAGCTGCAAAAAAATTAGCAATGGAACACAGGTTACAATTAGTCAGAGCATAGACTCTAAATGTCATTAATAACCCAATCTATAAATTGGGTTGATTGGAAACTGAAATCAAACAAAAAAGGAAACATGGAGTTCTATTTTCATTTGCCAACTGGATTTGCGGTTAGAAACTTCAGTCTATGGAAATAAATAGTTTCTTAGACTATAAGTTAAGGAAAAGAATTTATAAATCCTATCTCTGCGGAATACCAAACATGATGACCAAGTGCAGCAGCAGAACGCCAAACAAAAGTCACTGACCTCCCCTTGCTCGAATGTAAGAATTGGGCTGAGCGAACGTGCGCTGATAGTCTCGTTCGTAAGTATCAACAGCATCAAATTGGGGTGTAGGTATTTCGGAAGCTAATTTCTTGGTAGGAACATGGGGATGATGCGCCTTAAAAACAGAAAAGGAAGATAAGAAAAGAAAAGAAGAAGAAAATTGGAGACGAGAGAAAGCCCCAAACATGCTCAAGCCAAATGGAGACCCAAGTGATCGGTCAGAGTAGTTAGCAGCAGAGCAATGCAGCTCAGAGAAATGAATTATACCTCATTGTCGAAATCGGCAGCAGCAACCCGAAGCAGCTGAGAATTGCGAGTAGAAGTGGGAGTTGAATCATCTTCTTCAAAGTCCTTTACTGATTTTACGATAGGGAGCTTCTTGTGAATGTCAAGCGGACGAGGCCTGAAGGACAGCCTACTCATCCTCACTTGCCACCTCTGCCTCTTACTACTACTTCTCCGCGTCTCCTACTCCCAGTTTAATGATATCTCATCTCCTGCACGCCCTATCTTCGACAATGCGATGCTCATGCAACGCAGAATTGACACTAGCTCGCCCACTCGCTCCAATCACGACAATTTAGGGTTTGCCCCGGCAAAAATTGTGGCACCAATTAGTCGCTGAAGTTTGTATCTCTTCTTCGCTTTACCGCCCACTGAGGACGTCGGAATCCGATTGCCGAATAATTATACGATAGGTTTTTAACTCTCCTCCGATTCCACCACGGTAGGCAATTCAACGCGATGCTTTTCGATTTTAGGGTTTGCAGAGAGAAAAGCGAGAAGAAACAGAGCGCGCGAACGCGAGAGCTGAGCGAGAGAACGTTGCAGAGAGAGGAGAGCGCGAGAGAGAGAGAGCGGAGGAACTGGACTTGGAGTGAGAAGGTAACGGGCTTCATATTTTGATTTTGATACGGGCCGTTGGTTTTGGGCCTTCAGTCCGGCCCACTTATACCCGGGCGGGTAAGTTCCGCTTGAATCTTGATCCTGCAAACCACATTCAGTTTTTGAAGCTGTTGTGAGAATTTCTGTCAATCGAACAGTTGATTTGATCTTCATTGGAGGAAGGAAGCAGGTGGTGGCAGAATGGAAGTCGAAGGGAGCCCCGTAATGAGGGTGCAGAGCATAGCACAAGCTGGGAAATCGGAAGTCCCTCCGCAATACATCCAGCCTCCCTCCGATCGACCGAATAGCGACGCTGATGGTAAGTCCGGCAGCGGCGGAGGTGTTCCGGTGATCGACCTCGGTGAAGATTCCGTCCGGGAAGCAGTTGGGCGGGCTTGTAGGGATTGGGGAGCTTTCCAGGTAACGAACCATGGGTGCCAATTCGGTTACTGGACGATATGAGGAAGGTCGGTTTGTCTTTCTTCAACGAATGCCCCATGAAAGACAAGCTCATGTACGCCTGCTCGCCGGATTCCGCCGCGGCGGAGGGCTACGGGAGCAAGATGCTCGTCGAGAGCGATGAAAACCATGGGGTTTTGGATTGGAGGGACTATTTCGACCATCACACTTTGCCTCTCTCTCTCGCCGGAATCCTTCCAATTGGCCTCATTACCCTCCCAATTACAGGTAGCCCTAGCTGTCTTCTTGTTGAGATCATGTCCAGGATTTGGGAGATGAAAGAAAAAGGGAAAGAGATCAGTTGATTGGGTTTTGGTTGCAGGGAGGTTGTTTCCCAGTATAGCGATGAAATGAATGTGCTTGCCCAGAAGCTGCTGGGGATCATCTCTGAGAGTCTTGGACTGCCACCTTCTTGCTTAAAGGATGCTGTTGGGGAGTTCTATCAGAATATTACCGTCAGTTATTACCCTCCCTGTCCTCAGCCAGACCTCACCTTGGGTCTACAGTCCCACTCGGATTTCGGAGCTCTCACTTTACTGATCCAAGACCAAGTTTCTGGTCTTTAAGTGCTCAAAGACTCCCATTGGTACACTGTCGACCCTCTTCCTGAAGCCATTGTTGTCCTTGTGTCAGATCAAACAGAGGTATGATACTCTGCTGTTATTTTGGTTTGCCAAGGGATAATTGCCATTGAATGTCATCTCTGGATTGAACTCTGTTACATGGTTGGCTTCTTGGTTCAAAATTCTGAATTGGTTGTGTGTGTTTTGGTTTAAGATCATATTGGCAACATCATGGGATATTATTTGTTTGTGTTTGGGTGATCGGTTTGTCCTTGAAATTAGGTTGTACCCTAGCACGCAGTTGTTGCAGCAGAAACGTTTGAGGTGCATGGAATATGATCTACTTCTATTGAAATGAAATGGTGATTAATGGCTGAGAACATATTTGTGGTGCGTGCTTGCCAGTTGCCATTGTGTCATCCTCCTCTACTCTTCATCACCCATTGTGTACAGTATGAGGTGTACCTGCTGCAATTCATTGAAGAAAATGGCATTTGTGTCTCATATCTCTGTCTTTTTTGTTATTCTATTCATTTCCATTTTGACTGCTGTTATAGATCATGCTTCTTGTAAATTAAGTTTCTATCTGGTCCTGTTCAAGGCACAAAGTGCCACAAACGCTTACTTTCACTGGGTTGGACAACATGCCAAATTCTCACTCCGTTCAGCATTTATGATGTTCCAATACAGCCAAGCAATTCCTCCAAACTCCACCAACCTGGAGTCATACTTCCACTGATTGATTCAAAGTGGACCAACTCTTGGCTGAATTAGAGTCCAAGTTAACATTTAGTATTCGTTTCTGAAATTACAGCTCGTAAACATCACCTTCTGTTGCCTCTGTGCGACTTTATATAAGGGTGCTGGCTTGGTTGGTTGCAGATCATCACCAATGGCAATTACAGGAGTGCAGTACACAGGGCGGTAACCAATTCCACGGGAGCAAGGTTGTCAGTGGCGACGTTCCACGATCCATCAAATACAAGAAACATATCCCCAGCTGCCGTGATCGTGGCTCAGTCATCTCCTCCAAGATACCGAGAAGTGAATTACGGTGATTACATGTCGAGATGGTATACCAAAGGCCCCGAAGGGAAAAGGAATATTGATTCACTCCTAATTGGCCCTTAGGCTTTCATAACCTCTTGCAGCTGCCTTCGTCAAATGCTGATATCTGCGTGATTGCAGAAATAGATTAACTTGTTTTTATAATGTCAGTGTCTTTCTTTTTTATCATACAAGTGAATATTGTTGAAAATTTAATGCAGAACCTCTCTCCTTCGACCCTGCAAATGGTTCCATGTTGCTTCTGAGTTTGAGGTTGACTAATGTTATGGTCTGATTATAGTTGAAGATCTTACCCGACGTATGCTTCTTGATAGGAATCTTTTCAACGATGATGGTCGAGTTCTGTGACGAGATATCATGGCAATGTGGACAAATTGCCCACCAGAAGAAGTGATAAGGAGTTCAACATGAGGCAACAAGACACATCATTGTTCAAGAAAGATATGAAGAATTTGGAAATCAGCCTAAGCAAATTAACTCCAAGTAAAATAAAGATTGTTAAGCGTCGACATAGGTAATAACAATATGATACAAACTTTAGGGGGCTTTCGACATCGCTTCAAAGCTACTTTGGTGGGTTTACTCGTAATTTTAAAGATATGGATTGTTTAGAACCTTCTTAAACATACCAGGCACTTCAAAACATATGATACAAATTTTACTAATACATTTTTGGCCTTCTGCCAAAGATGTTCAATCGAATATTCTTTTAGCCTTTTATGTCCACCGTCATCACGAATCAAAGCATTTCAAACCAAATATTATTGTAGTGTCAGCCTGTTTGATTCGAGTTTGTCCCAAGAAATACACAATCAAAATCGTCATGCATTTCATCATACTAACAATCTTGTTCATTCCCAATTATCATATAATGTAAAGATAATGCAAGTTAGCATTATATTCCTCAAAGTTGGGACACCTCAAGGCCGATCAGGATTGCGGAAAATTTCAACGATATTGGAGAGTGTCAAATGTCCTCTCAACATCCTTCTTTAATAATTTATCTCGTTCAACAAATACATTTTCATTGTCATCAATTGGTATGTGTAAGTGTAACATCCAGATGTCGTCACTGTTCTAATTTTCTTGTGCTCAAAAGGGGTGCAACATTGCAATTCGTAAGATGTATTCCATATTATTACAATTTTGTTTGATCATAAACTTTTTGGTTTAGCCTTTCGGAAAATGAACAATATTTTTTTCGTTACGATGAAAAATTTCTCATAAATCACATCAAGAACACTCGATAAAGTCCATAAAAAAACAATTTAAACAGTCACAATAGCCCTACAAGTGGGCACCACGAGAGTAACACAAATTCTTAAACACAAAAGGGCCTCCAAATCCATGGTGATAGACATAAATATCAATTACCCCTATGAATTACATTGTTGTTTTTATTTGATATTCTGTTGTTATTATTTAATTTGCGGGTGTCAAATTTATCAAACATCCTCACTATTGAAAGCATGGTTGTCGCTCCAAGTGGAATGCCGACTGATTGAAAGAGAATTTGGCAGCTCCCTGTTTCGGAAAGAGTCCGGTGTTTTGCCTTGCTAGTTTGTTTGGGCAAGATAGCGACGAACCGCCTCAGATTCTCTAGAAGGTGTGCGCAGTCTGCCTCCTGCTACCGCTGCGAAGAGGTTGCCGAGACGATTTGCCATGTCCTCCAGGATTGTCCGCCTGTCGTCTTCTTTTGGAACAGGCAGGTGCCGGCGCCTGAGCAGCAAGCTTTCTTCTCAGCACCTACGGGAGTTTGGCTGCAGGAAAACCTTCTCAAGGAGGATACCATGGTGTCAGGTGTCAAGTGGAATGCCTTCTTCAGCATAGCGATCTGGTGTCTATGGAAGAACAGGTGCACGGGCTGCTTCAAAGGGACTGCGACTACTCTGACTGCTCCATCTCTGAGTCACTCGATCATGCATAAGATCAACCTTTGGCACAAGGCGTGGAGTGCACCCTCTATATCACCAGGTAAGCCTAGGATGGTCTGTGAAGAGAGGACTGAGAGTATTAGATGGCTCGCCCCTCCAAGGGGGTGGATGAAGCTCAATGTGGACGGGGCTACAGCGGGAAATCCCGGGTGTGCAGGGACTGGCGGTTTGATTAGGGATGATCAAGGCCGTTGGATAGCTGGGTTTGTGGCTAAGATTGGGGAGGCCTCGGCGGCTCTGGCCGAGCTGTGGGCTATTCGGCATGGTTTGGATATGGCTTGGCGTCACAGGTGTACGAGTTTGATTGTTGAGTCGGATTCTCATGTGGCTATCCAGCTGATTAAGGATCGACAGAATCCCATCCACTCGTACGCTGGCATTTTGACGACGATCCGACGGCTTTTTGGCTCAGGATTGGTTGGTCAATATTGTTCATTCATACCGGGAAGGGAATAGAGCCGCAGACTGGCTCTCGAAGCACAGTCTCGTCTATCCCTACGGTATGCGAGAACTTGTTGACCCGCCCAGAGATTTGTATCATGTTTTGCAGGAAGATAATCAGGGTATTTCTTTTGAGCGCCGGGTTGTGGTGCATAGAAATAGTTAGTCTTCTTCTTTTCTGGTCTTCTCTCTCCTGATGTAGCTTTTCTCCTTCTTGGCCTTGGCCTCCCTTAATGCAATTTTTTTTTGATATTCTGTTGTTATTATTTAATTTGCGAGTGTCAAATTTATCAAACATCCTCACTATTGAAAGCATGGTTGTCGCTCCAAGTGGAATGCCGACTGATTGAACCTGGTATAATTGACGACGATCGTGAAATTACTGGGACCTGAAATACCATCAATATGATATCTACACGATCGATTTCTATCTATAAATAAAATAACGTTTTATCATAAATCACATCGAACACTCAATAAGTCCATAAAAAGCAATTTAAACAGTCACAATAGTCCCACAAGTGGGCACCACGAGAGTAACACAAATTCTTAAACACAAAAGGACCTCCCAAATCCAAACACGGTGATAGACATAAATATTAATTAACCTATGAATTACATTGGAATTTTTCCAATAATAGCACCTTTAAAAAAAATTACAAAAATAGCACCTATGTAAAAGAAATTCCACTAATAGCACCTTATTTTTTGGAACGCACCCCTAAGATGCGTTTTAAATGTAAACCGCACCTTACAGATGCGATCTATAGGTAAAACGCATCAGAGGAGTGCGATCTAAAATATAAAACGCACCAGGTCGAGGCGATTCGGGGAGGACGCGTTGCGATCCACCAGATCGTCGGATTGATAGCCGATCCAACGGCTGAGCGCACGCCAGCGGAGCGATCCGCGCCTTGGATCCCAGACCGCACGCCAGCAATGCGATCCGCGCCAGTGTCAGTCAAACCGCACTGGGAGGGTGCGATCTGCGCCTGGGGAAGCGGAAAACGCATTGGGAGAATGCGATCCGAGCGGGGCAAAATTCCCAACTCGCTCCTGGAGCCTGCGATCTGAAAACTATAAATAGCCCCCCTCCCCCTCTCATTTCTTCACACCTTCAACCCATTCTTCCTTCTCTCTCTAAGTTTTATCTCTCTAAACCCTCCCCCTCCCAAAAGCCTAGGAAATAGTGGTCTATTGGTTGCGGCAAAGTCCGATCTGCCATTAGAAAACATTTCTTAGGTTTTTTCCTCAAAACCCGCCGAGCCGAGCCGAAGCTCTGTCCGAATTGCGCCGAAAAAATGGCCGATTGGTGGCAAGGAGAAGGAGTTTTTGTTGATGAATTTCAAGCGGTACGTACTCATTATTCGGGTTTAATTTTTGTTGTTCTTATCTTGCTTTTTAATTAATCTATTTACTAACCTCGTTGTTATTTTCTCGTAGGCTGCGGAGGACGTCGATATTTACAACCAACGGTATTATCTCGAGCAAGGACCGTTGGATCCAATTGACTTGTACGACCAACCCAACCATCGGTCAAGGGATGTTTGGAACGCTCACCCGGTACATACAATTCTTTACCATTTGTCCTTCTTTTATTTTGTTTATGTATTTAGTGAAATATAAAATAAATTTATGTTGAATTTTTAATCGTGTTGGTTGTTTTCAATAATTTAATCTGATACATTGCGCCACTTACTTCGACTCTTTATAAAGAGATGCACGTCTAAGGAAATGGGGTTTTAAGCGATTATCATATCCTCCCATTTCCTGGGAAAATCGGGTATTAAGAGATCCTCGGATCCCCCCTTTTTCTGTCAACAAGACTGCGTTTCTAAGAAGATGTATACCTCTTCTAAGAGTCTAACGAGTGTTGCTTTGTATTCGATTAAATTATTTAAAACAACCAAAACGATTAAATAATTTACCAAACAGTCCTTACGATTTAAAATTTATGTGTACAAATGGAATTTTATTAATTTCAAACAATTGAATATGTATGTTTCTCTTTAAAATATTGATTCATTAACAATGTCATTTAATTTAGTTAATTTAGTATGTTTATTTTACGATAATTAGTATGTATCTCTTTACGATAATTTAATATGTATGTATCGTATCTCTTTAAATTATTATTCATTTATAATGCTATTATGTTAATTATATGAAATGTCTAAAGTATGATAATAAAATTCTGCTTGAAGTTAAATAATTTAATTTAAGTAATTTAGTTATAAGGATTAAACCCTTACTAATATATAATAATTAACGTGTAAATTTTCTCTAGGAGGCACAAACAATAATCCGCTACAGGGGTACGACCAATGTGCTCCCATTCCACCCAGCCATCTTGCCCTTTCTCAAAAGGGCACGATTGGACTCGATTAGGCATTTTAACGGCATCAAAGTTGATCGCCAACTCATCACCGCCCTAGTTGAGAGATGGAGAAAGGAGACCCATTGCTTCAACTTGAGAGAAGGAGAGGCCACCATCACACTAAAGGATGTCGCCATCCTAACCCATCTCCCCATCGACGGCAAACCCGTGTGCGTTAGTGATCATGCCCCCGACGATGTCGACGGTATGCCCGGTTGGGTTCATTTCATCTATAGTGTTTTGGGAGTAAAAGTACCGGTGAAGGGGCATGTTGATGCGACCGATCGCTTGCCACCAATGAGGAAACACCAAGTGTCAATTACTTGGTTGACGAGGTACTTTAGAGAGCATTACGAGAGTCATCCCCTAACCGAGGAAAGTCCGGAGGATGAGATCGAGAGATATGCTCGGGTCTATCTCATTGGCATGATCGGAGGAGTGTTCTTCTCCAAAAAAGCAAGCAATCTCCTTAGTTGTGGATGGCTTAGGATCATCCTCGGTAGTTGGGAGGAGATGGGGGAGTATAGTTGGGCATCCGCTTGCCTAGCGCATATCTACAACAACTTGTGCAATGCCTCTCTAAAAGCTGTGAGGGAGGTCGGCGGCGCAATGTTCATCGTCCAATTTTGGGCTTGGGAGCATATGCCATGGCTTGCACCGGTAGAACGTCCCGACCGGGATTGGCCAATCGATCATCCCCTAAGAGGGGAAGCTTATGGAACAAGGTAAACTTCTCATACCCATCATGTTTTTTCTTGGTTGATTTTCCCTTGTGTTTTATCTTATTGTAATTTCGATTATTGTTTTATTAATAAGGTGGATCGGACACTCCACTTGTGACAACCTTGCCCAACACAAGTTGGATGAGTATCGGCGGAGGTTTGAGCGACTTTGGGAAGGAGAGATAACTTCTATACTCCGATCTATTTATACCTTTTTGCCATTGAGACATGTATTTTTCCAATTCTAACTATCTTAATTTACTCATTTTGCGCGTGTAGATCATCTTCGATCCATACCCGGAGAACATCGTGCAATGGCATCTCCAGCAATTCCCCGAGCATATCGGCCAATGGTGCACGAGGGTCCCACTCATTTGTTTTGGGATTGTGGAGTGGCACTTGCCGGATCGATGCCTCCGTCAGTTTGGTCGGGAGCAGTGCATTCCATTGGCCGTCCCCGAAAGTCAAAAGGCCTTCCATGGTCGAGATGGGCGGCAAGGTACTCGAGATTGGCCCTTTAAGCACAGGGAATACATCGCCATGTGGGCGGAACGACAATCGCAAGATATTGTCACTCCATCAGCAGTGGGTCGAATGGGGTATCATGACCCGTACTTGGATCGCTATCGGCAAACATCGGTCCGTTACATGACTCCGGAGGGTGCTGCCGATGGTGCATTAGTAAGTATATTCGACTCTACATAATTAAATGTATTGTTTTTGTTCCTAAATTGTTTCATAACTTATTGTTTTGTGATTTAGACTGACGGGATTGAGCGGATTAAAGACATTACCACCGGGAGGTCGCAGCTGGGAAATGAAGATGTGAGCTTCATCAGGAAGATGGCAAACAGTCTTCTCGGATGTATCAGAGCTCAAGGGAGGGATCATCGTAGATATCCGCCCATGCCCGCACCCCCGCCACCTCCGGTACAAGTGGATGTCTCTGATCCCCCACCACCATACGAGAGGAAGCCAAACAAGAGGGTTCGGGAAAGGCCCATCGAGCCCGAAGTCACGCCATATCCCGGGTGGAAAGTACCGCCTCCATTGGTTGTTCCCCAAGGTGTCGGCCCGAGATCCCCCCAAGTCGGCGGCCCGAGTTCTCCCCAAGTTGACGGCCCGAGTTCACCCCAAGGCGCCGGCCAGAGTTCCAGCCAAACTGGCCACCAAGGCTCGTACTACGATCCTCGGGCGACATACCATCAAGGTGCTCCGAGTCCCACCCCGATCTCATACAACGATCCCCGTCAAGGATCGTACTACGAGTATCGCCCGATCTACCCCCCATCTCCCCGCCAAGGAGGTTACCACGATTACCGCCCGGTCTACCCACCATCTCCCCGCCAAGGAGGTTACTACGACTACCTCCCGGTCTACCCACCATCTCCCCGCCATACATCATCCGGTACTTGGCATGATGGTTCCTCCGCGACGGCACACCACGATTTTACGCCATGGGGTCGCCCTCCGACTACCCACCGAGCTTCCGTGGATGTCCCCCGCTCAACCCCGGAAGTGCCGATTCCCCGCCGACATAGCACCGACGACCGCCAAACTACCTCCGCCCAAGTTCGAAACTTGCCACCGCCTCCACCGATTGTTACTCCCGTCGGTCGTCGTACAAGGAGCAAGAAGACCGTGGGATCGACCGAAGCTCGTGGACTTCCTTGAGCGGATTGATGAGAGTTGAATTTAATTTATATGTAATTTGAACTATTCCTATTATCTTAGTTTATTCGAATTGATTGTTGTTTCAATTTGGTCTTATTTTATCCCATTAGAACTATGCCTTTTATCTTTATGTAATCCCAATTAGTTCAATCAACAATACAGTGGAGATAAGTAATTTGATTGAAAATTATGGCTTCTAACCCAACTTCAAGTTAATACGAACAAGGCTGCATTTTTTCCTAAGTGTTGAGACAGTTTTGGGAAGGGTACTTTGGAAGGCCGTATCTCTCAAAACCCTTCACTGGAAATGCAAGGTTAGGGTCGCATTTTGAACCTTGGATGGGCGTTTATAGTTTTATGCATTTGGTTTGTTATTAATAAGGTTAGGAGGATTGTTTTCCAACGCCATCAAAACCCTACTCATGCACTATGGAATCTGCTTGTTTTTGTCTAAGGCAGGAAAACAGTTTGAGGTACAAACTTTGAGCTCAAATTCAAGGAGTTTGTGGCATGACCAGCTGGAGCTTGGAGTTGGGAATGGAATGAAAAAAAATGAACAAAGCAAACTATGTCGCATTAGCTGAGTCTGGCACATCAGGACCCGCATTTTGCGGACCAATCGGGCCTGGACATCTTCGTTTATCATGTCCTGGAACTTTGCATATTGAACATCGTCTTGGGCCTCGTGGTGGTCTTCCACTTTGATCCATTTCGTTCTGAATTCTCTTTTTCCTCGGGCGACCCGGCTCACGCCTCTGTCCGAACGGCGGGATGATCAATTTTCCTTCGTACATCGGCCAATAAACTTCATCAGGCAATGCACGGAAACTCCGTCCATATGTGTTTTTGAGTGAGTCGATATTGTAGAACGGACTAACGAAGTGACGTGGGTCTTTGCTCCTGTTTTTAATTACGGCCATTGCATGAGAACAAGGCCACCCTCTCCCTTGATACTTCTGGCAGGAGCACTCACCAACTTTTGTCCTGAAATTGACCACAACTTCATGGCGGTGGCCCCCCGTCTACCGTCCTCCCGATGCCCGGTCGTCACGCTATACTCGCCATTCGCCCGATTCATAACGGTTACACTATGTCGACTGCTCTTGCGATTGTCATTCTCCATTACTTCCATGACTTTATAGGCATGGACCTTACCCTGTGCCTCGTTCGTTCTTGCCCAGTGGAGTCGGTTGACGAACCATGCATTCGTTTTCCAAAAAATCATCTCGACAATGGCAGAGATTGGCAGTGCACGAACGGCCTTGTAGACAGAGTTGATACTCTCACCTGAGTTCGTTGTGGCAATACCCCATCTTGTCCCTCCATCTTTATGAAATGTCCACATGGATAGGTCATGTCCAGTGCACCACTGTGCCCCTTCAGGGCATAACTCGCGCAATTTCTGCATCTTCTCCAGATATTTTTTCTCTTGATAGGCAACCGCTGAGGAAGACACAGAAAAGAATCAAAGTTAGTCAATTTTTGGCAATTTAGCACAATTTCGAACAACCCGAAAGTACTCTCGCTATACTCTTAGGAGAGGTATACATCCCCTTAGAAACACAGCCTGTTTGACAGAAAAAGGGGGGATCCGAAGATCGCTTAAAACCCGATTTTCCCAGGAAATGGGAGGATCATGATAATCGCTTAAACCCCCATTTCCTTAGGCATGCATCACTTTAGAAAGAGTCTAACCAGAGCACGTATCGCCAAAAGTACTAAGATTTTGTAATTGGAACTAAATTATACATCTAATTACAAACTTACCAATCCACCACAAATTATCAGCAAGCTTCTTCCGCTTGAAATGATGGTTCCAGTTGCTCTTGAAGTGTCGTATGCACCACCTTTGGGACCACTTCCACGCTGGATCTAAACCTAAGATGGCAGCTCTGATGCCGGCGTGCCGATCAGAGATTATTGTAGGTTCGTCCTCCTAGTACAATGGATCTGAATTTGCCGAAAGAACCATCCATAGCTATCAGCATTCTCTCCCTCGACGATGGCGAAGGCTAAAGGAAAGACTTGTCTGTTTGCATCCGCCCCACTGGCAATCAGGAGAGTGCCCTTGTACTTGCCGGTAAGGAATGTTCCATCCACTTGGATGACAGGGACACAGAAGCCAAAACCATCAATACATGGCTTGAATGCCCAGAAAAGTCGTCTGAAATGGCGCTTGTTACCTGGCTCTGGGGGTTGTATCTCTTCATCTTGGTATCGAGGGGAGAAAACCGTGCCAGGGTTAGACGCCTCCAATGCCAAAATTAACCTGGGAAGGAACGCATATGATTCTTCCCAATCACCAAAGACGGCGGCCAGAGCTTTCTGCTTTCCATGCCACGCCTTCTTATAGTTAATCATATAACCATAACGACTTGCAATGTCAGCGATTATGACTTTCACCTTTAGGTCTGGCTCTTGTTCAATTAGATGCTTGATAGCCGCAGCAACCACCCTGGATTTCAACTGTCGATGGCCTTGGGAAGTTATGGATGACACACATGTGTGTGTGTTCACCGCACGGGATATGACCCAGCAACCGTGTCTCTTGCTGTTGATGGCCCGAATCCTAACATTGCACCCCTCGTGATGATTACGGCATCTGACTAAGAGCCTTTTAGTGTTTGAATGAGTTGTGACCCATTCAAAATGCCGAGTCATTGCTTCTGTCTCAATGGCGTGACACACATCCTTCTTCGAGCCAAATTGTTGGTCCTTCATAAACCCAGTGAGTGGACCCCATATTGGGACCTCTGGCGGCTCCATGTCGCTGTCGACCATCCAATTGTCGTCTGGAATGTGATTGTAGTAGGGGACTGGTACACGGTCACGAGCCCCCTCATCATCATTAGCTGAGTCTGACTCTGGTCCGGAATCATCGGTACCTTCAAGAGGGTCGGAGCTGTCTGCACTGACGTTGATCTCTCCTTCTTCGTCGGATGGGTCACTGACTGGTGCTGGCATGACATCCTCCATCTGATCCAACTCATGAAAGGCACCTTCATCAGATCCATAATGGTAGTTGTGAAAACTACCGCTGCCTGAGAGGAAGTTGTACTGAGGTTGGTTGGGCCGGTCCGGTTGAACTTCTTCTTCATATGATTGATAATGACCTTCACCTTGCTCTTGGTACTGAAAATATGAATGAGGATCATGGTAACTTTGCTAGGGATGATCGCCATATAATTCACCTCCACCATGGGTACCAGATGTTTGACCGTGTCCAGAATGACCTCCAACGCCTACGACCGGCTCGGTGTAAACGAACATCTCGGCTTTGGAAAGATTGTTGGACCTCATGAATTCGAGCATGGCGTCTACCTCATCCTGAGTGGTTATGAGATATTCCTCATGCCACAATGACCCACTTTCTCTGTTTAGATATCGGTACACCATACGATCAACTTTTCTCGTGCCATCCATGCAAGTAACGTTAGTGCACATTTGATGGAGGTCTTCGAGCAGCGGTCTGGTAGCGACCTTTATCTTCTGAAAATTGCCACCTACGTAGGTGGCACCCTTTCCGGTCTCTTCCGTGTAACCATTCCACCGTAAGCCAAGCGTGAACTTTTGGAATGCCATCTGCGATAAAACCGTAGTTAAGTTAATATCATAAAAATCAAAAATAAAAATTAACAATACAAAGTAATACTAAATCAACTTACGAATTAACGTTAATCACAAAACTACTAAAGAAATATGTAATACTAAATCAACTTACGAGTTAACGTTAATCACAAAACTACTAAAGAAATATGTAATACTAAATCAACTTACGAGTTAACGTTAATCGCAAAACTACTAAA